TCTCTACTTGATGTGCGCTCTCTACTTGATGTGCGCTCTCTACTTGATGTGCGCTTGTAACGTGGCGACTGGACTTGAACAAACATACAATCACGACACGTAGTGCTACATATAGGTGCTCGAGTAGTTACATCAACTCCGTCTTGGGGTCACCACGGGACAAACGCCAACGCATGTCCGATTTCCTCCTTTCCGATGCCAAGTCTGGGTGGGGGAGGGGCGGGCAGGCCACCTTATCAACGACGACCAAATCAGTATGTTTGGTGTCGGCTGCTGGGCTCTCGGCGCCGATGCTTTTATCCAGACAAGATCTAAACCTGTCTGCGGTCTGCATTGCAAGTGAGACAAGGCGTGATTACGTGCCGATTGAGAGGCGTTTTCAGCACTCGGCAAGGCGGCGCGGATGTGGAATGCGACAAGGAGGGGCAACATTGAGCGCCTCCGGCTTACGTGCAAGCCGCCCGGGGCTAGCTGTTGAACGGCCGGGTGCCAAGTTCAACGAGGTAGTTGACGATACTGGGACTCGGGGTCTGTCTTTGTCTTTGTGCGGATGCGCATGCGCATGCCGGATTCGGCAGAGCGGCGCGTCTGGCTGGCTGATTCATGATGTTGGAAGGGGACGTGGGAAAGTGGACAGTGGAAAGGGGAAAGTGGAAAGCGAGGAGGGGGAGGGGGATGGGGATCTGGGAGTGATCCGAGGAACATGCAGGTACGGAGTACATACAGACGAGCGGTGGAGTTTGTAACTACGTTGGGGGGAGCAAGCGAGTGGGCCTACGGAGTAGAGAGGGGAGAGAGGGAGAGAGAGAGAGAAACAAAGGACCGAGAGGATACCGAGGGTTCCTTGTTCTCGAAGAAATCAACGTCAGGCGTTGGATGGGACGGCGGTCCTTGGATAGTCTTGTTCTGCTGAGTAGCCGGAATGGCCATGCTGCCGTCACGTCGTTGCGTGACTAGTGGCAGATTTGGATGGATGGGCCTTTTCATGCACGAACCCGAGGGACTGGGCTTGACACGGGCTTTTTGGAAACGGTCTCCCTGTCGGCATGGCTGTGGGAAACATGATCCCTGGTTATAGTGCTGGTGACTATGGGGTGCATGGTCCATCTTGCCAGCCCTACGGAGTACAGCCAGCCTACAGGACCGGCGCGGGTCTGGGACCGACGAGAGGGCTGCTGAGGTTGAGGTTGTTTGACAATGGGGGGGCAGGGATCTGGGATTTTCTGCTGGGCTCGTTTCGACGGCTGCTCGGGGGCTTGGAGGGCTGAAAAGAGAGCATTCTGTCGGACATCGAGATCGCGCCAGCTCTGGTTGCTGGTTGCTCGACGAGTGGGCAGACACATGATGGGAGTCGTACTAACTACTCCATGATGGAGCCGCAGCCATTTACGGAATGAGGACCAGGCGGTCGATCGAGGCCATCGGCAGGCAGGCTAGGAGCAAGTTGGCCCTGCTGATTGATGGATTTGCTGGGATGGAGGGTTGGATAGTCGAGTCGTCGTCGTGTCCTCGCCCGTCCTCGCCCGCAGAGGGTGGGTAGTGGCAGTACGGAGGACTAGGAGCATTCATGCCGCTTCTTTCATTCCTCCAAGGCACATGGAAACATCGCTCGAGTGGTCATGAGGCGGTCCTGCTGGCGGCCGCTTGGACCGGGTCTCTGGAATGGGCTTCTGGGCCAAAAGCCGCATCACGAGACGGCCCAATTTGAGCCTTGCGCCTTCTCTGTCTCCTCATTTTTGGAAAGGGGGGGGGCCAGGTTTGCTGGCTGGCCTTTTGGGAGATTGGAAATACGAGGCGGGAAGTCGATCGATCGTCTTCCTTCCCGAGCTGTTCTGGAATGCGTTTTTCTTTTCTTTCTCAGTCCGGCCCGAGGCGAGAGAACAACTCGTCATAAAGATGCACTAATTGTGATGACGAATTTCCGCCATTGTCTGCACGCCGTGACTGCTGGCAGTGGGATGTGCCATCTGCAGCAGAAGACGGATGCTTCAGCATCGTCATCAGCCGGCGACGGTGGTGGTGTCGGGTGGGTTGTTCTGATTGGTTGGCTACACGCGTAAAGGTAAACAAAGAACGCGTCTCCCCAGACGCGTCCGCCTTTTGGACCGGCTTCCCCTCCTTTCTGGGCGGCCGACTTCACGCGACCCGCCACGACGACACTCGAACATCACGGCCACGCTGCGACCTGGATGCCGCTGAACGGTGCCATCCCGCCCTCCGCTCCGCGTATATCCGGCCGATTGCCAGCCAGTTAATCATCGGCGACCCCGCCCATCCCTGACATTCTTCTCAATTAGTATTGCTCTGTGGTCCATCATGTGTCAAGTTGAGCGGCCTCCCTTGGGCCTTGGGACGATTATCGTTGTAGTAGTAGTAGTAGTAGTAGTAGCAGTAGTAGTAGCAGTAGTAGTAATCGCGAACTGCCAGGCTCGCAAATGACAGGACGAGGTCTCTGGGAATTACTCAACCTTTTCTCCACTTGGGATATGCGATTTGCTGTGTGGTGAATGGCAATGTCAGACATGTGTCTTGCATCTAAGTCGCAAAACGGCCCAAAAGTGGGCAAGAGGAGGGAGCCAAGATTGACGTGGTGGGCGGTGGTTTCGTGTGGCGTGCCTGTCCTTCTCTTCGCTCTCGCAAGCCACGCCAAGTACATGTCAGCGACTATCATCGTCATTGACATTAACTACATAGGGACGTACCCAGCCAGGTAGATTGATATGTCGATACGTGCGCGGCCTCCATCCACTTGGCGCGTAGAGGAACATTGAAGCGATACGGCGTGACTGCTGGTGGCGAGATGAGGCGAGGCCCGTAGGAACTTGTCCATCTTCAGTCTTGGATGTCAGCTCTTCGGAAACGTCACGGTATCTTGAGGACGGTGAGTTGGACATACGTACATACATTTGGCGAAGTAGCATCGCATCCAACATCCAGCGTCTAGCAGCCAGCAGCCAGCAGCCAGCAGCCAACATCCACCAGATGAGACGCCGCGCTTGCAGTGTGAGCACGACGGCGCGGCGTCCATGCCAAAGGGACTCGTCGAGCGCATGTGCTTCGGAATACCGGATGGATGCATGAACCCATCCATAGCGGTGGTCACAAACTCGAGTTGCGCCATAGGCCCGTCATCGCTATCATCGACCCATCTCGTTCATTCCGAAACCCCGCTCGAGCCCCCCCCCCCCTTCCCTTCCCTTCCGCCAGCAGGCTTGCCAGCCTACGTACTCCGCACAACATGTACCGTGATGATTAAGATTGTGAGCGAGTGCACGGGAGGGCGGTGCGTGTCCGGGACGCCGAACCAGCACCGCAGGGCAGCGCGAACTCGACTCAAATCCCCCAGAGGAGAGGGGGGAGGGGAGTCTGCCAAAGACATTTGGCCGGAACTTGGCCCTCGCGGCGCCAAACGCCAAACGTGTGTCTCTGGTTCGCGCTCTGGAGATAGCCTCAACTTTCAAGTCCATCGACGCTCGGCCAGAGACACCCCTGATCTTCGTGTCAGCCTAGAGCGCCTCTCAGCCAATGGCTTGCCCACAGCGCCCCATCTAGGGCCCCACCCGGGTCGAACCTGGTCGGACCTGGCCAGACCTGACCAAACCTGGTCTGCCCGCCCCACCTGCGCAGCGCTTGAGGTCGATGTCGAGCCCCGAGCCAAAGTTGCAAGGTCCTGCCTGTCCTGCCTGCCCTGCCTGCCCTGCCTGCCTTGAGCCTCCCGCACCGCCATGCGATTCATCAATGCTCAATATCGAGCATCCATGAGGCATTGATCCATGAGCAATTGGCGCATCCATGGAACCCATAGCACATACCTACCTACCTCTTGACCTTCCTTCGTGCTCCGCCGCCCGGCGTAGCGCGCACAAGTACCGCTGCTAGTCCTTCTTTATACCCGGGTAGCCTTTTTTGCCCTTTACCTTTCAGTCTCCCCCATCCCTTCCCATCCCCTTCCTTTCTTCCATCTAATCCTTCGTTTCTCTTTTCCCTCTCTTGCCGCCCGTTTTCTCCAGCTTCAACATTTGACAGCCCTCGACGCAAAGAAAGGACACCCGTTGCTGTCTTTTATTTTTGACCCTTTTGCTTGCCTTTGCCAGAGCACAAGACGAAAGAAATTCGTCGCTAGTCGTGATCGGCTCTGCTCTATCAAATCACGACGCGTCAAATCCACCGCCCTTTCGCCTCCAACGCCATACAACCATCGGCAATCATACCCAAAGGCCAATTCTCAAGGCCAGCGTCCGCGCCCTGCATTCGCGACCCACACTCAATTTCAGAGTACAGCTTCATTCAAGTACGTGGCATCTGTTCTCGGCCGCTCTTCTATCCCTGTATATATATATGTTTTTACTTTTGCTCTTTTTTTTTATTCAAACTTGCCGTCCTGCTTCATCCAATCTCTCTAGCTCCTGGGCCAAACTTCACCCTTGAGTGCGCACCCGGATAGCCGTTTAGCCTCCTGGACTTGGCTTGACTGACGACTTCAACACAGACTTGGACCTCTCGCTCCGACATTTGGCTGTCAAACACGCGTTCAGCTCCCCGCCTGCAGCTCTGTTCGGCCACAATGGCCAGAGCCACGCCCTTCTCCGGCCCTAATGAGCCCCTACATATATTCCAAGACAACGTTTTCGATCGAAGCGTTCCCATGACGAGCCACGCCCCCATGCCTTCGGTCACAAAGCCTGCTCGTCGCCCCTTGGGAAGCTCCAACTCCAACGTCATTCTCAACCCCCCGACGGCCCATAGCACGAGCCTATCGCCACACAAGATGAGGTCATCGTCACCACGATCGCCATTGAAAACATCCTCGCAGACCAACAAATTGCACATGGTGTCGATGGCGCCACCAATGGGCAGGGCGCCTACCACAGATTCATTGCAGAAGAAGCCTCAGCTGTCCAAATTCAAGACGGGTCCCCAGCGACCACAAGTTGACATGCTTAACTTTGGAAAGGAGAACATCCACCCGCAGATTTTTCCTGCCCCGCCGACAATCAACCTGTCCGTCGAAAGCTATTTCCAGAAGCCCAACGGCAAACGAGGATTGATGGATGCTCCTCAAATCAATGACTCGAGACCGGTCAAGAAGACCAAGTCGGACATTCCTGCCCATGATTCATTCCCTCCCATTACCGACGACGGAACAAAGCCGCAGCACAGCTATGCTCAGCTCATCGGAATGGCTATTCTTCGGTCGCCTATGCGGCGCCTCACTTTGGCCCAGATTTACAAATGGATCAGTGATAACTATTCCTTCTACAATCCCAACGATGCTGGATGGCAGAATAGTATTCGACACAACTTGAGCCTGCACAAGAACTTCATCAAGATTGAGCGACCCAAGGACGATCCTGGCAAGGGTAACTACTGGGGCATAGAGCCTGGCACTGAATTCCAATTCCTTAAAGAGAAGCCCACGCGAAAATCGGCACCTACAGCAGAGAACATACCAGTCATGTCTACACGTCTCGAACCATCCGGATCAGCCGCGACCCCCTTCCAAGAACCGACGCTTCCCCCGCCAGTCCCAATGCATCACACGACGCTCCCATCCCTGCCAACCTCGCAGGCTACGCAGCCCACGCAGGCGGAGCTCTCGTCCGATGCCACGATCCCAATCTCAGACAACGCCGGCCCAGAAGATGTAGCAGACAAGATTGCGGACAATGATTTGCCCATCGAGTCATCCCTCTATTCGCCATTGCCTGCCAACATGCATTCTTCTCCTCCCGTCTCGAGACACGCCGAGGCGCGGAGTGGCACTCCACCTCCCATGTCTCGAAACCCAGCTTCCTCGATATCTCGATCTCATAAACGGAAGTTTGCATCAATGGATGACAGTGGTTACATCTCGTCATTGGAATCCTCTGCAATGCGACCAAACCAAAAAGCTCTGCTCCTTACTTCAGAGGCTGATCGGCCTCGCCTTACCCGTGGTCGTGCTGAGGAGGAAATCGCTCGCATTCGAAACTCGAGTCCCCTGAGCCCGACCAAGTCTCGGTCTCTGACCCTTTATGGTCCCGTGTCATCCTCACCCTTGCGGCAGTCAAATGACCAGCATCAGACACTTCCACCGTTGACGCCCGTCGTGACAATGAAGCCTCCCGTCCGACCACCCCCTTCAGCCTCGCCAAATACAAATTTGCGCATTCACCGTGATAAGGTCCGACATATGCTGCAATCGCCACTGCGACGTGTAACTGGAATTGGAGAGGACAGCATTCCGTGGAGTCCTGCATTCAACCTGGACGATTCTGTGTATGCCTTTGATGACATGGGAATGACATCGACTGAGTTCGACATTTTCCACGACTTCACCTCTATGGATGATCATCTCTTTCCCAGCATCGGCTCAGTAGATGCTGGTTCCCCAGTCAAGCGTTCAGCGAAGCGGGCTCGGTTGGACAGGTCTGTATCGACGTCAGCACTAGGTGAAATTGCAAACTCGGTTACGAGTAGTTCGGTCACCTCTGTCCCGTTTCTCAAGGTCTCTGAGCACTCACCGTCACGTTTCCTGGAGACACCTAGCAAAGTATTCGAGGGCATGGGCTCACCGTCCAAACTATTCCAGCAATCACCATCACGGCAGGGTTCCCCAAGCAAATTCTCTGCATTGTTAGGGCTTGCAGTCGACAATGACTGGCCAACGCTGGGCATTGATACCAGTGACATTGGCGCTCACAGTAGCAGTGGAAACACAGACTTCACCGGCCTAGATATCTTGCAGGGATTTGAGAAAATTGGATCTGGATCACAGTCTTCACGGCCACAACAAAAGGGCAGTAAGCCATCGCTCAGTCGGAGCCACACTACTGCTTTCTAAATTGATACGGAAGAGCACAGCATTTAACGTCTGAAGATCATTTTTATGACACTAATGAACTGATGAAAGGGAGGATTTGTACTCTGAGCTGCCGCGGTCTGTTCTGATGCTATCAGCAAACCTGTAAGGCAAATGTAACTCAGACGAGAGAGAATATTAGAAGTGTGGATGTTGGTCGGGAACTCATTCCCGACCGGAGCTTCGCAGCTGAATTGTCACGTTAATGATGCACATACGGTATATGTTGAGACTGGGCGGGGGTTGTCTTCTTCCTTTTTCGGCTTTTCTTTCTTCTTTCTTCTTTGTTCCCTTTCCCTCGTTCTTCTTTTGGTGCTGGAATAGCCACGATGATTATTATCAGGTCTCTTTGCTCTTTTTTTTTTTTTGGCACATTTTCATTTTGGCAGGTCCGTCGGTTGTTGGCCGGCGACTGTCACCTTGGGGCGCGGCTTTCTTGCTTTAACTTGTATTTGGATGATGGGAGTCAGGAATAGCAAACTAGAAAGGGCACGGCTTGGACGAACTGTTGTACGCTTGGATCGTTATTAAGATGTTGTCACTAGAAACGTTGCGGTCTCTTAGGGAATTATATGACACATCTACATTATCAACTGAGGTCAGGCACCGTTGCCCCCGTGTGATGGGTGATGTAGAGAAGAGTTGTGTCAACCAAGGAGGGCTGGCGGAGGAACGATGAGCACGGAAGTGATGTAGAGGCGTGGTTGGCAATGGATTCGTGTGAACTATGGGGGTATCTATTTCAAAGCAACATGCGCCATTCCATCCACCAACGCCAGATTTGGATGCAAAAGCATGGCATAATATGTACAGGTGGCCTTGGCAGGTCAGGTATATCAGGAATCAGACGATGGTCTCCTCAGCAGGATAGTGCTGTATATCGGGGGTTTCTCCGTGCTCGCCTGCAGTCCCTGGGAGGGGAGAGCTAGTAGATTCTCATGCGGGAGGCCCAGCCCGTCTCTTTTTGATCAATGTTAATCTTGAAAGGGAACGGATTGCCACCCTGCGCGGTAATGGGCGGGATGTGGTCTTTATGGGCGTTGGCAAAGGTGACGATTTTCATGACGGTAGTGAGAAGGGTTTGTTCCATGGCACGCCGGACTTTGGCTCGCTCTACGAGGGAGGGCGCACATTAGCTTTGACCGGGGGGGGGAGAAGACGAGACAAGACAGGAAGGAACGCAAGCGAGGTCGAGGCGAGGCATACCAGTTTCCGTCCTGGGCTCGGCAACGGTCACCTTGAGCGTCCAAGTCTCCCAGCAGACCTCCTCGTCGCCGCGGGACAGCCAGGCCTTGCGGCGGCGCTTCTCGAAGAACTTGATGGCGACTTGACCGCGCCCTCCGCCATTGGTTGCGGCATGGGTGCCGACGCCGGAGGAGCGTTCGGCGTCGAGTTGGCGCTCGAGAGCTGAGGCGCGCTGGTCAATCATGGTTTCGAGCTCGTCGTCGTCGACGTACGGGAGAGTGAGGTCGAGGACGTCGCGGGTGCGGGGCGTGAGGGAGGGGAAGAAGCGTGTGAAGAAGATGGTGTGGAGGATGCCTTTGTTTCGCGTACGTGTTAGCTTGGGGCTCTACTTTTTTAAATTAAAAAAAAAGCAAAAAGCAAAAAGCGACAATCATCGGCCGAGAGAGCCCTGAAAACGGGCCCCCGGAGGCAAGGGGGGTTATATTGCGACGTCGTGCGAATTGGAGCGTCGGGGGCCACGTGTGTTTTGGCCGTGTGTGATGGCTGACCTTTGACGACGTCCCGGACGGAGCGGGGATCGGTAAATACGTCGAGTATGAACTCGGGCGGATCCTTCTGCCGGTCCATGGCGGGTAGGGTTTTGGATATTCGGGGATTCAGGGCGGCCGGGCTGCGGGTTGGGCGAGAGGCAAGGGAGCGTGTGTCCGGCACGGAGCTCGTCGAGGTGAGAAGGGCGCGCGGAGAGGGGGAAGCTGGGCCGGTATTTATTGCGAGGTAAGCTGGTTTGGCGGGCGGACAAGGCGGAGTTGGTTGGCGCAGGTGGTGGTTCTTGATCAGCCGCGACGTCAGAGCTTGGTTTGGCGGGGCGAGGGCGGGGGGTTCGGTCGGTCGGTTGGACGTTCGTCTAGTTGATCTGGCATCGAGGGGCCAGGCCAGGCCAGGCCAGGCCAGGCACGTTTGGGATGGACCGGGCTGCCGGGCTGCCGGGCTGCCGGGCCACGGGCAGCAGCGTTCGACTCGGCCATCCGTCAGTGACGGAATCTGGCGTCTGCACCAGGCATTTGTGGGTTGCGTGCACATGTGCAGCTGGCGGGCTGACGGCGCTGCTGCAGCCCAAGAGAAAGCTGGCACTGGCACACCAGTGGTGGTGGACATTGAAGGCTGGACTGGACTTGCCCAGGCGCCGCGTCCTCCCCCCAGCACCAGCCACATCCATGTCGGGAGTACTCACACTCACACTCGCCACAGTCCAGCACCGCTGCATGTGTACCGAGGGACCCAGGTAACCAGGTACCCCGTCCAGCCTTCACCTTCTCTTTCTTCTGTGCAGCAGGCCTCGGCTCCCCCAGAGCTCCCATCCCCCAATCCGAAATAGTCGAGGCCGGAGCTGCTTCTTCTACTCCGGACGTCTTGGCTCTTGACCACATCGACCCAGCCCTTCTTCACTTTCCTCTCCTGCAGCACATCTCCGTCACCTCTGATGTGTTTTCCTCCCTTTGTCTCTCCTTCTTTTCGCCCCCGCCTTTTCTGGCTCACGTTTTGTTTGCTCCCACCCGGTATTTCGAAAATTGCCATCACGAGAGTCGCTGCTTGCGCCTGATTAGATTATACAACACCTCGCGTTTGATGGGCACGCCTTGCCCGCCTATTCCATGGTCCAAGTCACCAATATTTCCTAGTTCCCCGTTCCTCGTCAGCCATGTTCTCGTCCGCGCGGCGCTGGCTACGCAACAACCGGACGCCCATTGCCATCGGAGTCGGCATCGCCGGTGCCGGATACGTTGCTACCCAATATGTCTTGAACAAGATCAATGATGCGCGTGAGCGCATGAGCAGCGATCGCATTGCCAAGGAGAAGTGTGTGCCTCCAATCTTTCGTGTCCTCCATCCGCAATTCCATGGACTCATGTTGGCAAAGCTTTCTACACAATGTGCTGGTGCTAATTGGCATCACAGCCTCCGACGACGATTCGAACAAAACCAAGAGGACTGTACATTTACCGTCCTTGCCCTTCTCCCTACGGCTACTAGCAATGTCATGAGCGCCATGAACACGGAACAAATCACGTACGAGATCCAGCAAATCAAAGGCTCGACAAAGGGCCTGAAGACCGGCACCGCCGAATCAACGACCAGCCCGCCCAGCATTGCCGATACTACCATGACCGAAGAAGATGGCAAAAGCTTGGCTACGTCCACCAGTATGCATAGCGAAAGTGGGATTCATGCCAGCCAGATTGCCTCCCCTACGCCCTTTTCTGCCGCCGCTGGTCAAGACGGCCGGCAGGACGGTGCCACTGCGCCGAGAGTGTCCCGCAAGACGAAGCGACAGCTTTGGGATGACTTGACAATCAGTGGTGGGTCGAGGCTGTACTGTACCCGAAATCAAGTCTGCACATGATTGCTAACTGGTATTCCTGTCACTTGCCGTCATGCACAGCCGTTACTAGAGCCTTCACGCTCATGTACACGCTTGCCCTTCTCACCATGTTGACCCGCGTCCAGTTGAATCTCCTTGGCCGCCGAAGCTACCTGTCCAGCGTTGTGGCTCTCGCCACTGGTTCTCAGCAGGCTACCATCAGCCTCGAAAACAACGACGATGACAATCCAGAGCAGGCCTACGGCAGTGACTTTGACACCAACCGCAAGTACCTCACATTCAGCTGGTGGCTCCTGAACAAGGGTTGGATCCAGGTCATGAAACGCGTTGAAAGTGCAGTACGAACTGTCTTTGACGGCCTCAGCCCCCGCGACCTGGTCAGCTTTGACCGATTCAGTGATCTCACCATGGAAGTCCGCAAGCTGGTTGAGGGTTCCACCGCGGATGAGCGTAGACAGACAGACTGGCTGACCTTCTTGCTCCCTCCCCGCGATCAGGAGGAAGAGGTCATTCGCCAGTCCGGCATCCTGGAAGACAACTCCATGCAAGGCGGCGCTGCAGCTGAGCCATCGTCTGCGGCACTTCGAAGGCTACTTGATGAGACTGCTGACTTGATTGAGTCACCTTCCTTTTCGCACGTCCTCACTCTTATCCTGGACGCCGCCTTCGAGGCGCTGGTCGACAAGAAGCTGGCCACTGAAGCTTTTGATCTTCCTTGCCAGTCACCATTCCCGCCTCCCGAATCGATGGAGCTCCGTCACTCCAAAGTCGTCCTCCTTCCCAAGATCTTATCCGTCTTGACACGCCAAGCCCACGCCATTGGCAACGGTGTACCCAATGAATATCTCCAAGAGATGGAGACGGTGCGCGCCTTGGAGTCTTTCGCCGCTGTGGTCTACTCAAGTAATTGGGAAAACGAGATCCGTGATGAGGGCATCATGGACAGCGCGGTGAACATGAGAAGAGGAGAAGCGGACTCGCAACTCATTCAACACCTAGAGCAGAACAAGCAGACGAGTGTGGGAGAGAGCATCGTCATGGTTGATTCACGGGGTGGGTTTGAAGATGCGTGGGATAAGGCGATGCAGCAGAAATCATAACCGTGAGATGAACGGTTAAGTATCGTTTCGCCTTGGCATTTACGAAGTAAATTACAATCACGGCCAAGTGGTTGGGCTGCGACTTTTTTGGGGCGTAATGGCGTCACGTACGAATGAATGGCATTGGAGTAGGCTTATAGTCAATGTGGCATGGGTCATTGCTACCGGTAGAACATGCAGCATAGTTGGACTCTAATTCAAGTTTCTGGCATCTGTCTTTTTCATAAATGAGAAAAATATAGACCCCAGGCCATGCAATGTGCCATCCTTGACCAAGGAAACGAGCCTTGCAGTTGGACATGGCGATTGAGTTCTGGATACCTACTTGTGGCCGATGTCGAGCACGGCATGTGGCGTACCCACCATCAGGAATACCTACCAAACGGCAATTTGGCCCGCCAAACGGGCTCAGGCATCTGAGACCTGTGGCACGAGATACGGCCCCGTCGTCCAGTGTTGACATGGACAAGACGGAGATCTTCAGAACCGTGACGATTGTGCCCGGTGCCGGAATCGGCCGTCTTGGACATCTTGCTGAATTGCACCCCTGGCTACGTCTTCACATCAAACCACGAACAAACTGGTCCAAGCCCATCTCAAACAGCTCATTGTTGACCCCCTCGCCGCCTTTGTGTTCAACAGGGGCCAGCGGATTCTTGACAACTACAGAGGGGTGCATCTTGTCAGGAAAAAAAAAAAATTCAACGGAAGGAGAGAAAGGATAAACGAGGCAAAGAATGCAGAATGCTGCAGGGCACGCACCGTACTCGACCCAGAGGTTGATATATATCTGGTGCAGCACGTTGCGCATGCTCGGCGATCCGGTGTCGGTCAGCATGACGAAGCGCAAATTGGCGGGTGTCTCGTAGTAGTGAAGCTTGTACTGGCCGGTGCGGTAGGTGATGAAGGCGTCGTCGTCGCCGCCGAGCTTGCGGACCATGTTGCGCAGGGAGAAGACGGTTCCGAAGATGAGCTTAGCGTCGTCGGAGGCACTGTTGGCGGTGCGCGAGGAGGGCCGTTGGGCAGGGAGCCATGACTTGGTGTATATGCATTCGGCTGGTGATTCTGATTAGCGACGCTTTGGTTGTGGTTCGGCTTGGTTCCGAGGATGTCACGCCCCGGGGGAGGGGAGGGGGCGTACTGTGCCGGTCGAATATGTAGAAGGAGAAGACGGCCATGGTGGTGATGGCGGGCGAGGACGGAGGGTGTAGGGAGCGGTGGTGAGAAATGGGCGGAACGAGAGATGGCGTAGAGGGATCGACGAACGGCCTCGCGGGCGAATTCTCGGTGCGGCGGATGTGGATGAGTGAATCGGCGGAGGAGGTCGTTTAAGATGTTGGTGTCGCGCAGCGCAGGCAGAAGCAATGGGCCAGTGACTTGGTGGTGACTGGTTGAGGTGCGTCCCGAGCACCCCGCCCCCAAGGGGTCGACCCTCCGTCTCTTCTCTTCAAGTACTTGGCCAGACTGATCTTCACTCGCCTGCTTGGCCTTTCGATGATTGCGCCTCCATGGGCACATGGATGCTGACCCGCCGCATCTTCTTCTCGCGTCTAGTACTCGAGCAGCCTCTTTTGACAGCTGTTTGTTTCTGAAATTTCATTGCCTCCAGTCCGGCGCCGCTGACGCCGTGTACGAGCCTGAGAGCCGTCTATATTTCTCCATTTCCACGGGAATCTTCGCGGCAACACCCGCCACCACCGTCCAGTGAATTAGGCGTGAATGGGTTGGCATCGGCCTTGATCTCCTCGTGGCAGCCTCCCCTGCAGCCTGATGATGCATGGTTTCCTTTGGAGCAATTCGAGCCACTTGCACACCTGGTCCGCTTTGCGCAACAACCTAAAAAGCCCAGCACCATCGATCTTTTCTACTCACCATGGTCACCAATGCTACGACTCCCATCTCTCATGAGCCAGATGCGACTGGCCTGCGTTCGCCTCGGTTGACTGTTGATAGTGTTGATGACAACGAAAACACTATGGATAGATCACGACCAACTAGCGTGTAAGTCACCGGACGATTGACATCTCAAACGAGAATCTCTCCACGTGGTTTGAAAAAACTAGTTAACCATTGGAACATCAGTTCTGAGCCACCTGCATTACACGACTATTCTAGTCCTATGAGACAGCATAAACGAGCCCCCAGCGCGCATAGAGAAATAAAGGTCAGTTCTCTCGAATCCAGCATGTTGCTCCAGCAGTGGTTTCATCTCGTTATCTTATTGTGTGGCATGAAAACGCAACCTGACCTCGTATTCGCCCAACAGGAAACTCTAGATGCCCGTGTTGAGTTTACCAGTGACGAAGTTGACGGAAGGACGTATCATCGCATCAACCAGTACGTCATCGTCGAAGAAATTGGTAGGGGCTCGTACGGAGCTGTCCACCGTGCTACCGATCAGTTTGGCAACGAGTTTGTAAGGTTTTTTTTTTGGGGGGGGGAGGGCTTCTTTAATCCGTCTCCACCCTGTAGGACAATCATGCACTAACACATCCCGTTGAAGGCTGTCAAGGAGTTCTCAAAAAGTCGGCTGAGGAAACGAGCACAGTCTCATATTCTTCGTCTTGGACCGCATAACTCACCTGGTCAACGTCCTCCACGTCTTCGTGGAGCTGGTGGGCCATTATCACCCCAACTGACTGGGCTACGGGCCGGCGAGGAGAATGATGCTTTGTTTCTGATTCGAGAGGAAATTGCCATCATGAAGAAGCTCAACCATCCGAATCTGGTTCAGTTGATTGAGGTCTTGGACGATCCTGAAGAAGATTCCTTGTACATGGTCATGGAAATGTGCAAGAAGGGCGTCATCATGAAGGTAGGGTTGGATGAAAACGTTGACCCATACGACGATGAGTCTTGCCGATACTGGTTCCGGGATCTACTATTGGGCATCGAATATTGTAAGGTCTCTTCCCTCTTCTCCACCGTTGTCGCCGAAGTCAAGTATTCCAATGTGTTGTGATTTTGGGGTAGGGGGGCTAACGTTTTTCGGTAGTGCATGCCCAAAGGGTCGTCCACCGTGACATCAAGCCTGATAATCTATTGCTTTCAGAGGATGAGGTTCTGAAGATTGTTGATTTTGGTGTTTCAGAGATGTTTGACAAGCCCGACAACATGCGAATATCCAAATCTGCCGGGTCACCTGCATTCATGCCGCCAGAGCTATGTGGCAAACACCAGGAAGTCTCCGGTAAAGCAGCAGATATGTGGTCTATGGGTGTTACTCTCTATTGTCTCAGATACGGCAAAATACCGTTCAACCGCCCAACCGTCCTAGAAATCTACGAGGCTATAAAATCAGATGATCCCCCCATTCCTCAAGACGAACATCCTGCATTTGTGGACCTGGTGAAGAGGATCCTTGCCAAGGACCCTAAGAAACGGATCCCAATGTCCGAATTGAGAGTAAGAATTGAATACGAAATTATGACAGATCTTGTGCTAACACAATCATCCTCTACAGGAACATCCATGGGTCACTAAAGGAGGATCTGATCCTCTACTGTCTGTTGAAGACAACTGCGAGCATATTATTGAGCCTCCAAATGAGCTTGAACTGAACCGAGCTTTTACCAGGAAAATGAATCATTTACTTTCCATGATGAAAGCGATTCATAAATTTAGGACCCTCCTGGCGAGAATTCGAGCCAGGAAAAACACTAGCGTGACCAGCTCTTCGACATCAGTCCAGTGTGTCATGTCAGAAGGCGAGTCATTCGATGCGGCCGACGATAAAGCCAAAGCAGAAGAAATAGAAGCTCTTTTGGCCTGTCGTCGGCACCTGCTCAGCCAACAGGATGAAGGTTCGGACAAAGGCCACGCTGGAGAGATTGGCGATCAGGAGCCTCTCCTCCTCGGCATAGGCACTGGCGCGCGAGATGCTTTCTCCTGGGACGAGGCTACTCCAGACGTAGTGGCCGACTCTCCGACCGCAGTTGATTTCGACGTATACGGCCGAGCTTATGAAGAAGCCGTTAAGCAGAGGAAAGAATCCACGTCATCGAAGAAACCCACCATGTACTTGACCAAGTTCGTCGAAGCAGGAGGAGACTACCTGAAAATGGAAAACTTGGTAGAAGGCACGGTTCCATCGCCATCCAGTCTGAAGACTGGGTTGAAACAAGCTACCCATCTGTTGAAGGATAACTTGTCTTCTGATCCGGGGGTCAAACTTGCCGAAATTATCGACAGGGTTGCATTGTCCATTTCTGGGGCAGAGAAACGTTTGAAGCAACCCGAGCCAGAGCGCCAGACGTAAAAGAGCCTGGCCCAGTCGACTCGAGCTGCTATACTACCCCGTATCCGATATCTTGGCAGTCTAGCCTGCCTTTTTTTTTTTTTGGTGTGCTTGGGTAGATTCCGAAAAACCCAAGCACTGCCGATCTTAGTACTACAAAAGAACAGGCATGTGAAGCGAGGTCTCAATTTCGATTTAGTACCTCAGCCCTGAGGTTTCGGTCCCTTGAGAGTCTAGACTGAGGGGGGGCAACATTGCAAGCCTTTCAAAAGAAACAGTGAATGTGGTTATCGACAAAGCACAGTCTCCGCATTAGAATACAAGGCATCAATTTTCCGAAAATTCCACCGACTCGGTCCATCACGATTCGAAAGACGACTTGGATGGTGCTCTTCACAAGTGGCATTTGCTGCCATGTCAAACACGCAGTCATCCAACAGATGTCAGGGATGTGATTCATGCCGTTTGCCACGGAACCAGGCCGATGGGAGCAGCCTAATCTCTGGGGCCGGAAACCTGAAACACTTGGATGCGAGAAACATAGCACGACGGTCCTAGGATGCGCGACGTCATTCATACCCAGGGTCTTGTATGGGACGTGGCTGTCTAGGAACTGCCACATGAGGCTTTGTGTCTTCGTCTTTGTTTTCCACCTTATCGATCTAAAGGACAAGAAGATGACACTGTCGGGTTTCAGACAAGGGTTATATGTCGTCACAAAAGATTTGAGGTAACGGGTAAGGTGATAGAAGTTTGCAATCTCGATTCACCAATTGTCGTATTAGCAATGCTAAGTGGTGTAGCTCGAGAGTCGTCGTTCCCAGGAATTTTCGCATGCCTCATGTCACGGGTCTATCAGCGAGGCTGACAAGTGGAATGAATCGATGGATCAGTCGACCAGAGTTCGGGGAACTACGACGGCGATGTGGTCTTTGCGACGGTCCGGCGGCAGGCCTTGACTCTTGAGCCATTGGATGTGGTTATGTACGGAGTAGTACACGGTACATACGGAGTCTCAGATGCCTCGGCACGGGGTTTGATGTCATGTACAGTAGGAGGAGCATCTCCAAGCATCTGGCTGGTTCAAGTAAAAATGCTCTTTAGCAGCTGGTCAATTCAAAAATATAGCTCATGCTACTTGTGTATGTAATATCGTGACCCTCGTGATGTGGCGTTGAGCTAGCTGCAGGGGGCCGCTGGGAGGGTCCCCGAAGGCCCGAAGGGGGTAAACGGACAGCAGATGAAAATGCTTTTGGCTCCAATAAACTATTTGTGGTATTGGTGTACGAAAGCTTAAGGCAACGTACAATTGCTACCATCTGTGGCATCTCGTGGGCGGAAACGTGTATAATCTTCCATGTATCAACCATGGCTAGTGGCAAGCTATATAACTATGTGCCCGTGTGGATCACGTGATAGTAATTCGAAAAGGTCTGCCACTTTGCCTACCCTAGCTAGGTCAACATTTCGCTGGCATCAGGGTCTAGTATTACCTGGCTAGTTAAGCTAGCGACCTGGGAAACTTGATATACATTGTGTAAATTTAATTCCAAATTTCTTACTAGCTTCAAAGTTGCTATTACGAGGCGCTTTATTTTTTAAAGTTCCTTCTGAGCCACGTAATTGATCAAATCTTTGTGAAGCGACCTCTTTAGGTCGGCGCGAAAAAGTGGGGCGAGCACCTGCAGCCGCACGGCATGACATGACATGTCACGTGTCCGGATTGTCGGCCGCAAACTTGCAAAACTTGTATTCTGAACGGCACACCTCTTGCATCCCTTGGTTGGAACTTGGCATGCAGTGGCACCGTTCCAAATCGCTCTACATGGGCAGTCAAGCACCGTCAACTCATCTGGTTGCTCCTCGCATTTCCGTGGCTTCACCGGCGCCACGGGACTACGACGGCGCTACGGCTTTGTTGCACGGGATTACGACTTTCGTCTATACATGCGTCTAGCGACGCAATGTGCCGGCAGCTCAGCCAGCTAATCGAAGGAGGGACGCCGTGCATCGGTCGTCATCTTATGATCTGGCGGAGCATCAATGGTCGGCGGGAAACATGCAATCTGTCCCCATGAATATCCAGTCGGAGCCTGGGAAGCCAAATCCTGTGATACGATGTAGGCTGTGACACGATGTAGGACCGGCCGGTGAAAGAGCAGTTGCTGAGTGAGTGGGTCAAAGGTGCCTGCGGAGTTCGTGGTTTTGTACGGCGCACGATAGCCTCCGAGGTTGCCAATTCCATGAGCCTCACGGGAACGCATCTGAATACTCCAACGACGTCTGTCCACAAGCCAAGAGTCACAATGACCACCATGGCCGCGGAACTCGACTCCCACTGGACCATCAACATGACCAACGCTGGTGCTGTAGCATCTCGAGAGTATCAAGAGATTCAGGCGTCTACACCTATACCTTTGGACAGAGACACCGTTGATGTCAAGAAAGCAATGGAAAAGTCGTCTGTCATAGGTACACCATCCAATGGCGATACAATAGGTGACCAGACCTGGAGGGCCTGCCACCGGTTGGCATCGGGCAGGCGACCTGGAGCGGATCTGGAACTGGAACAGAGTAGTTCCCGCTTCAATCGAGCGATGCGTTCACGAAATGATTGAGGAGCGTGTCCGAGAGCAGGCAGATGCCCCGGCCGTGTGCTCACTGAACGAGCGGTCTTTTGTTCCCGAGACGGTGGTCGGCGTCCCGTCTGGGCGATGTTGCTACACCATAGTGGCATTCTTGGCCGTTCTCAAGGCCAGTTTAGCTTATTTGCCATTGGACGGGAAGCTACCCGTCGCCAGGGTTGAGATGATACAGTCCTCGGCGGCAGGGCAGAAACCCGTTCTGGTAGGGCAAGACGTTGGCGTGCCGGCGCTGAAAGACGTCGAACCCGTCCGAGTCAAGGACATTCTTGACGAGAATGCTGCCGCGGTCAAGGAGTGGACATGCTCACAGTCGCCGTTGGATGCAGCAGGACCAGGACCCAACAGCAACAGCCTTGCGTACGTCGTGTTCACGTCTGGGTCGGCTGGCAAGCCAAGGGCGTCATGATCAAACACGGCACTATTCTTAGAACATGCGGCACTATTCTTAGAACATCCAAAGGGGGCAACTTCAGGGGCAGCCTACGGGCTGCGCCCGTCATGGCCCACATGTCCAGCATCTCTCTTGACATGTCCACCGCGGAGGTGTATCCGACCATCTTGAATGGAGGCACTCTGGTCTGCATCAGAACGTGCGAGTTGATGGAGAGTGCCGTCGTGGTCGGGATTTTCAAAAGGCACAAGATCAACAGTCTAGTCCTAACACCGGCATTGCTGCACCAGTTTCTAAGCCATTACCCTGAGGTGTTTTCGGCCATTCAGACCGTGTGGGTGGGCGGCGATGTAGCTCGACCAGAGAACCTGCGGCGCTTGAGGCACGAGATGATGACGACGGCACACGGGCGAATTTTCAACGACTACGGCCCAACTGAAAACACTTGTCTCAGCACCAGCTACGCCGTGCCCGAGGATGATGGCATCTTTGCAAGTGGCGTTCCCATCGGCCGTGCCGTTGACAACTCGGGTGCGTACGTCGCTGATGCTCTCCAGAGACCTGTGCCTCCTGGTGTTGTTGGGAACTCGTGGTGACAGGAAATGGCCTGGCCAGGGGCTATCTTGATCCACGGCAGGACACGGACGAGCTCATCAAGGTCAGTACGGGTGGCGATGACAAACTACGGGCTTATAGAACGGGTGACCTTGTCCGTCGGCGTCCAGTAGATGGACAGCTGGAGTACCTTGGCAGGTTGGACGGACAGGTGGAAGTACGAGGTCATCGCGTCGAGTTGGGAGAAATCGACGAGGCCTTGCGCGGGCATCATCTTGTGAATGAGGCAGCGGCGGCCATCCAAGGTGATGTCGTTGTCGGGTTCGTTACCCTTCGGAACCACAGTGGAGATGACGAAGAAGAGGAATCGCGGCTCGTGAAGCTGTGGGAGGATTCGTTTGACGCCGACAAGTATGCAGAGGCTGATGCCACCAAGCTCCGCAAGACCGGGCGAGACCTCCGCGGATGGACATCCATGTACGACAGGCAGGATATTGACGAGGCCGATGTGAATGAATGGCTCCATGATACTATACAGCTGATTCTCAACGGCAAACCCGCAAGCGGCCAGCGAGATGCGCAGTCTATGCGCGGTTGACCTTCAAAAACGCCGGATACAGAGTGCAAGTCAGTTGGGCTCGTCAGTCGTCTCTGCGCGGCAGCCTCGATGCCGTCTTTCACCGGCGTGGCTCGCACCATGGCGTCGCCGCGGACAGGTCTAGCGAGATGGGAAGTGTCCTGTTTGCGTTCCCACACGATGACCATGGACAGTCGAGTGTCTCCCTCAGCAGCCAGCCTCTACAGATGCAGATACGGGACAAGGTGCAGATGGAGCTGCAGAGCATGCTATGCTGCGAGCGAAACCGCCCACGTACATGGTGCCACATAGAGTCACGGTGCTGGACTCGATGCCGCTCAACGACGGCGGCAAGATTGACCGTGGTGCACTCAGTAGCCGGCCTGTGGCCAAAGGAACACGCCAGGTGCGCAAGAGGGAGGTCTCCTCAGACGTGGAGCGCAAACTGCAGCAGATTTGGGGCCAGGTCCTGAATATCGATGCCGCCACCATCTCGGCCGACGACAGCTTCTTCCGGCTCGGTGGCGACTCTGTCACGGCAGTGCAGGTATCGGCCACGGCTCGAGCACACAATCTGAACATTGCCACGGCTGATGTTGTACAAGATGCGGTGCTACACGAGCTCGCAGCCGCTGTGGCCATGACAGACCCCATGGTGACGCAGACACGGACACGCGACCTGAAAGTCGCCGGCGTCCACATGGAACCAGACGATGGTGAAGCATTCCCACTGAGTCCCGTTCAGAACCTCAACATGTACCTGGAGCCAGGTCCGACCGGATGCTTCGGTCAGAGCTTCATGCCGAAACTGCGGGACCGCGTCGCCTTTCCCGCCCTGGCCAGGGCATTGGAAGACGTCGTTTCGGCTCACCCAATGCTTCGCGCTCGTTTCAGCCGTGGCGATGGCGGGCAGTGGCAGCAACGCGTGAGCGACGATGTTTTTGGCTCATTTCACCTTTGCAAGGAGGCGGGCATGGCAGGCGGCAAGGACAAGCAAGGCGAGGCGAGCAGTATTCGCCGATGCCGTGAACGCTTTAACTTGGAAACTGGACCAATGCTGGCTTGTGTCATGTTTGACGGGGACGAGTTTCAAAGCGTCTTGATCGCAGCGCACCATCTAGTCGTAGATCTTGTATCGTGGCGCATTTTACCTCAAGATTTGCAAGATTCCCTGACCAGGAAAGAGGACGCTGCTAGGTTGATGGCGCAACCCACGACGAGCTTCCGGTCCTGGACTCTTCAACAGATGCGCCACGTCTAGGAGAACTTGGCCAGCATCACACCCGAAGAGGAGCATGTTGACGGGCTCTCCGTGCCATACAGGGGAGTGAATCCCGAAGCGAGCACGCGAGGGGCAGAAAAATCCACCACGTTTCCTCTCAGCGAGTCCCATACCGACACGCTCCTTGGTGCGTGCAACGACGTGCTCGACACTCGCCCCATCGAGGTGTTGATTGCCGCTCTCGTGCACTCCCTTGCCGCCGTCTTCTCGTCTTCTCTGATCGTGCACCTCCTGCCGTCTTCAACGAGGGTCACGGCCGCGAGCCATGGAACCATCAACTCGACCCCTCTCGTACCGTGGGATGGATGGTTCACGACCATTTGGCCGGCTGCCAAAGTCCACGCCGTGGCTACGAACCTACCAGATACGATACGGCTCGCCAAGGACCATATGAGAAGCCAGCCCAAGAACGGCTGGTCATACTTCGGCTCTCGGTTTACCGACGCGCCCAAGGTCCCGGTCAATGCGGCCATGTTCCCGGTAATAAGACTCTGGACTCCTGTTATTCCAGGAATCTATACGGTATTGCAAGCAATTTCCTTGTTTGCCTTGGAGTAGTTGCAGTGCTGGTCTTTGTCATGGTCTGGGCCAGATGGCCCGGCCTGGCGAGCGGGACATGGCACATGGCCTACCTCTTGGTCGACTACTTCGTACCTGTGTAGAGTCCCATGGCTCCTCGGGCTGGTCCACCACATGGATCTACGGTCTTGGCGACGAAGGCGTCAACGTGGAACGAGCGGTGGGAATGCCTCGATTTGCTCCTGATGGCCTTGATATTTGAGGTAAGTATCGGGATGACCTTCTGTGCATGTAATTGGCTCAAACTCCCCCGGCGCCACGAGAATCACCGACAACCGAAATTCGCACTAGCTCAATTCGGGATGCGTGTGACAAGTCGACAGTGACGTCACTTCCCACCAACGCACCGAACGACATTTCTGGATGGGATTTGACGTTTGACTGGCCGGAGACAGAAAAGTCTTTGACGAGTGTTTGCATTGCGTTGGTTTGCTCAGAAGAGTCCAGGTTTGCCTGGCTGACTCACAGCAGCATTTTCTACTGGCTGGCGCCGCCAACTACAGGCTTGATTTTTCACTTTTGCACCCCCCGAGTTTATCACATATGATTTTGAACCAGTGATGCACTTGGTGCCGAGTCGAGCGTCTAGCTCATGCTCTCCTGGTCCGTGGCGGCGGTTTTCCTGCGTCTTTGACTTACACTTCATGTCTACACGCGCTGTGAATGACTAGCCTCGACGCCGCCTTGTAGCCAGCCAGGCACTCGGAGCGTTTGGTCGCACAAATGGAGGCCAATCATCAATGCAGACGTCTCTTCTCCGCTGCTTCACCATCTCGATGACTCGTTTTAGTCAGGCACCCAGGACGTCTAGTAGCACAAGAGGGGAACAGGCCAGTCACGGATGCAGATGCTCCACAAGCGCCTGGTCCCTAGATGCTAATTACTACTATATAGCAGGCGCCATGGCTGGCTGGTCTTCTGGCCCGGGTCTGCCATCTATTTGCAATTTTCAAAGTTGATTCTCTGGCCATATTCCTCGTTTGTTGTTGCTCTCTACGCGGTGCTCAGCATGAGTGCCTCGTCCGGAAAGTCGTTACAAATCATCAACACGGCGGAAGTAGGACTGGTTCGTTCCCGCAGTTCGCAAAGCTCCCCCCGGAGCTTCTTTGCATGATATGGGCGCAATCACTCTGCTACGAACGCCTCATTCGAGTGGAACTCTTGCCGGCAAGAAGTGTTGAAGACCTGTTGGACGAGGACCGACACGTTCCCTGTTATTTAAATGATCAAATCATACAAGAAATGTCCGACCGCCTTGGTTACCGTGCTCGCCTTGAGCGCGAGAGCAACTTCCTGGTCGTCTTGAGAAGCAGGCACGAGATGAGCGAGCTCTTCCGCGTTTGCTCCGAGTCGCGACAAAGCGCCATGCGTTTCTATCGTGTTCCAAGTCCCTTGCTATTATAAGCGGCTGGGCGAAGCTCCGACAGAGGGTGTATTCTATTTCCATCCGGAGCTGGACATCGTGGATATTGTCGGGTTGAGATACCTTCCCAGATTCGCCAACACACTGTTGGCCAATGATCCCCGGCACGTCGGGCTCATCAACCTAGCGTCTGTACGGGGCAAAGCTGAAGGATGCTACGATGATTTGTTTCAGCCCACCGAGGGCGACGAGCATCTTGTACGTCGACTCCTGTCAAGACTTGGTCGTGTCATCTTCGGCTACGATGGACCGCTCGGACGTGCTGTTCATCCTCTTGAGGCTCGTGAGGCCCGGAAGCGTAGATGGAAGCCTCAGTTGCATCGGTCCATGATTGCCGTCAACAATACACGGGTGGCGGACCGAGACGAAGCACTTTTTGCGCTCGGGGAAGAGAAGGAGCAATGGGATGCGTGCCGTGGGGAGAGAATATCCAAAGGAAACCCCTGCGAGGAAGACGACGATGAACTCGCTTCAGCCTATGGGTTCTGGCTCTTTCCCATAGAGGCATTCGGGCACATCCCAAATGACGCACCATCGTCAGGGCCCAAGGACTATCAGACGAGCAGGCTATGGACGTCACCTAAACATCGTCTAAACATCAAGCTAAACCGACTCCCTTTTTAGCCCTCAATAGCCGATGGTACCCCTGCAGGCGGTGAGGCTACATTTGCGACTGCCCGACTTTCCAAAGGCTAACCCAATCCGTGCCTCTGCCTACTTCACGCGTCCTCTCTGCTTTCCAATGCGCTTCCCAGACCTTTGCCACGAGATTTCCCTCGGCATCGTGCGGCAGCCCTGCGCCCGGGTGCCCCTAATGGGCAGCGTACACGGGGGACGGCACACCAGAGGGCGGACCTCCGGTGCAGGGCTCTTTACAAGTCGGGAACTCGAGACAGATCAACCGCGTCTCGGGCTGAGGCGAAGCCAGCTGTAAGCACCGTGATGCCCAGCGACGGCGCATCGGCGGAGCAAGCTTATAAATATATTTTAGAGTTTTTAGTCCTAAATTTTTATTATTATTTACATTAGTATGTAAAAGAAAAACTTTTTAGCTCCAAGTCTACTATACTGCTATACTAGCCTTAGACTATCTCTAAAGTTCTAATTAATACAAGGACCCTCTTTCTTATACTTAATTGCCTCTACTTATCATACTATATAGTAGCTATACTAGAGGTAAGGTAGAGAAGGGGATACTAATAGTTATTAATGTACTACAACAAAAAGAGCAAGTTGCACCAAGGAGTTTCGTTACAGAATAAATGCAATCAAGTCAGAAACACCGCAACGTGACTCATCTCGACGAAATGCAGGCCAAAGGGCGAACATGGAATGGAGGCCATCCAATGTCCGAGCCGACTCTTCTACATCATCTCAAAGCCCCGTGACTCGACTCGGGTACTCCAGTCGACCCGGCGCACGTCGCCTCGTTCAGTTTTGGTGCCACGCACAGCTGTAACAATCAACCAAGCCTCCCGCGCCACCGACAGAGCAGCAATCTCGTCGATTCTCTGCCTCGCTGGTGCTGCATCTTTCTGCTTTGTAAACGACAATGTTGTTGGGAACTAGCCCCGGTCCCTAAGCCTGGGACATGGTCGTGTGCAGCAAAGGCCTCAAAGAGGGTGGGAATTCACCTACCCCGGCAGTCAAACATTTCAAGGAGATGGCTTCTGCTTGGCTGCGTCTCCAATGCTCAAACGGCCCAGGTCCGGCCTGCAGGCTCATGCGAACATGTTCTCACGATTTGATGCCGCAGCGCCGTGCGTCTAGCAGCCTCACGCGTGATACGGCCATGTCCCGGCGGCCACCACCCCCGTGACGCGTGGGAATTAGAATGTAGGCCTTGGTCACGTTGTTTATTTTTTTTATTTTTTTACTGCTTTAAGTGTAAACAGCATCGCGCGCCGGGTCCACGATCGTGGAACCAGGTTGGGAGAGTTGAGGACCCAATGTCGCCACGCCCGTGTAGGTCATGATACTTTGCTTTCGGACACTCGGGGTTTGACAAGTCGCAGCAATGTAGAGGGACTATGGAAGATGAGGTGCGACGCCAAATGTTGGCTAGATGAGGACGAGTGGCTCGAGGTGCAGTGAGTAACGGTAAAAAAAGTCCCCCGTGTTTACACCGAAACTTGTACTTTTAAAACGTCATACCAAGTAGTAGATTAAAGTAGACTACCAAAAAAGGTAATTTCAAATAGATAGTTACTTGAATACTGTTTTTCCAAGTTTGATTTTTTTTTTTATGTTTTATTTCAGAAATTATACTAAAATAAAGTAAAAGATGAAAGCTCGTGGAACAAGGGAATTTATATTTAAGCTATTCCTATTTCAATTCAAGTACTTGAATAAAGAGAGCACAACTGGACAAGCTGTAGTATTATTCTCAGCATGGACTCTTTTCTCTCTCTCTCTCTCTCTCTATACCCTAGCAAGGTCGGCGCGCCATGCCAAGCGAGGATTCCGATTGTGAATTCTGGCAACGCCCTTGGCAATGGTGGTACGGAGTGACACCAACGGAGTTGCCGAGAGGAACGGAGCCTGATTTGTTGCCTGCAGAATAGCATCATCAGACATGTGTGCAGACGCGGACTCGCTGGTCGCCGTGACAGTCCGACATTCGCTGCCTAGGCTCAGAATTTTCGCTGTCCAAGGAATGCATTCCCTCCCACTAGGCGTTGAATTGAGATTGCTCCTTCAATGAAGCCGAAACCTGTCGTCTTGGCGCCCATGGCCCCCTGTGGCTGGCGGCGGCCGTCTGGACTTCGGTGCTCCGCAATGCCCACCCAGGCTGAGCCGGCTTGGCGGACGGAGAGCACTTGGGGTTTCTTGGCCCGTCGGGTCAAGCACGACGATATTGGCCAAGAACACGTCGCCAGTCGTCCCTAGTCTTCCAATTTCTTGTGGTTCAAAGTGCCGGGCCACCGGGCCACATACACAATAACTCAGTTGTTATGTAGTGTATTTTATATCGGTGCTTTGTAGGTTCTCAGGTTTGCCAAATCCAGCGCGCAACCCTGAACTCGCCAATCTCGGTCTTGGGGTTTTCCCCCTGCGGCCTGGTCCGTCGTTTATCGAGTTGTCGTCTGAAGACAGGAAAAGGTAATAATAGAATGTTGGTCTCAGATGCGGTGCGGATGCCGGATGTGGCCCATGCCCCTGCTGGTCCTAGACAGACCCTCCAGATGTCTCAAGTTTATTGAACCCATGGCGTGGTGGTTCACATCGTTCAAAAACCATGTCGGGTGTAGCAGGCGAATAGTATCAAAGACTGACTGAACCCAGTCGACGTAAGGGTGCGAGGTGGCTCTTGGCGCTTGGTCGTGGATGAGCATTGAGGACAGGCCACTTGGGGTGTGACGGGCAGCATTCCCTGGGGTTTCGGGAGCATTGGAACGGACTATTGCACAAGATAGCAATGCGGGTGTCTCTGCTGAAAAATGAAGATGGCCTGGAGGCTCCGCGACCCCAAGTCCTCACGTCACGGTGCATGACGACGGGATTGCTGCTGGACATTCTGCCGCCGCCTACTCGCCAGTCGCCCGCGGGACAATCCGAAGTCGAGCTTGGCGTCCTGAACCAAGCACTGAAGGGCTGGGGCTGGCACGGAGAACAAATTCGACGAGGTTTGTTTGGGCGTTCAATTTGGCTCACTAGCACCAGACGCCAGACAAGTTTGACTCGTCCAAACACTACCCTCAGTGCTGGCATCACGGAAGACAGAGAGGTGCTAACTAGGCAGGTGCAACCCGCCGTAGGTAGGTAGAGACAATCCGGTACACACGGCAGGTGCGCTCCTTCCCGGGTTGGTCACCCGAGACACGGCAAGACTGACGCCCAGTAGAGAGACTCCGTAGTCAGCACGGCCTGCACCGATACGGGCCGCTGGCATGGTGTGCCATTGTGGAGGATAGATGCAGGACATGATGGTATCTACACAGCACACGCTGCAAATGTACACATAAAAATCGCACTGGGCTGCAATGTGCTCCGTAAATGTTATGGAGTAAAAGTCATCACTGTGAGGATCAGCGCTGTCCCGGCGACAGCGACAGGCACAGGGCGGTGGGCTGCCGCGGCTTTGCTTTGCTGCTCCGTGGCAGCTGATGCATTGATTCGTCGGCTGCCTGCTTTGCTTCTTGATTCGTCACTGACCAATGTTCCCCAGTGCCAAAGCCTAGCCTCGCATCCGCTGCCCACTTGTGGCGGGATTTATTGTTTGTTATAATGTACTTGGACGGAGCACGTCCAACGCGCGCTGGTGGCTGGGCTCATTCATCACTCCCCATGTCCCTCGCAGAGAGCCGCCGCCGCCGCCGGCCTCACCCTCACCCTCACACCAGCCTCACACCAACCAGACCGACTCCAGAGAGAGAAAGTCGTTTGACCCTCGGCTCGCGGTGGTGAGCTGCTGATCCTCATCACACGTCGACCAACCTCGACGCCTTGTTTTCGCCGGGCTTCCCCCTTTTTCCCTTTCTTGACACCTGCGAATTCAAAACAAAAGACGCATGTCGGCAGCATCGACGCATACGGCTCTTTTGTGTCTTGCCAAGGCCATCGAATACCCTCCTCGGCCGCGGGCACATACCTCAGGTACAGACAGGGTACGGAGTACTCGAGGGGAACCTGTACTGCTTACCTACTTACCTAGGTACTTACCTACTTGGCGGGTCTGCGGAGTGCTCCGTACTCGGAATTCTCCTTTTCAAAAAGCCAACTGCCAGCCAGCCGCCTGCGCTGGTTTGGGCCGGGTCCTGCGCGGCGCGGCGCGGGTCGAATTTTTTTTTCTTTTTTTTTTTTGTCAAGGTCGACGAGGACGAGGACGAGGCCGCTGGTCACGGGTCACGGGTCAACAACACAGCAAGACGGCAAGACGGCAAGCGTTGTCGGCGGGCTTTGTCTCGCACCAACCAAGACTGATTAATTGCAAGCCGGCCACCGCTTTGATCGCCAGGCGAGCAGCAATTGACGGCGGTGCATTCGCAAGTACTCGATACGAACCGCACCGCACCGCACCGCACCGCCTGCCGGTTCTGCGACACTTGGCTGATCCCTGTCGCCTCGTTTTTGCGCGCTGCACACTGCAACACTGCAGCTGCACGCTGCACGCTGCACGCCGCAAGCACCGCACGCACCGAACTGCCACCCAGCACTGGCCGCCCCCTCTGCCATCCCTCTGCAGCCTGCACCGTCGAGTCTCGACGCCGCCGCCGCCTCCCGCCTTCCGCCTCCATCGAGCCGTCCACAGAGAGCAGAGCACCAAAGAGGCCTCGAGTTTCACCTGCCTCCCGGCCCGTCGCCTGTCCCTCCACCGTCTCGCCCTCTGGCTGGCGGCTGGCCCTTGGTGTCGCCGTCCGTCAGCTCGCCGCCCGTCGAACCACGTCCCTCCTCCCTCGTTCACCCTGCGAGGGCCGCCGGCTTTGTAATCGCCAACGCGGTGCACACGGACACGACGCCCGGTGCCGCCTTTGATAAATCACGAGGCGACCCGGCTGCTGCCACTCGCTCGCTCGCTCGCTCACTGCGCCGGCCACTGCCACTGCCACTGCCACTGCCACTGCCACTTTCCGCTGCTACTTTCCGCTGCCACCATCCGTCCGTCATCCGCCATCCGCCATCCGCACCAGATAGAGATCATCACCCATCCCGACCCGTCCATCTCGGAGAGGCCTTTTTGTCTTTATTCATCATCATTCACTTTGCTTCCACGTAATCACGGAGCATTCTAGTACCCTTGCAAACTTAGTCTCCTTCTTGCTCGTTCTGAACGCCTTCTTCCCTTCCCCCACCCCCCCCCATTCGTCGACGTGCTTCCTCGACCCTCAACGTGCTCGCCGCTTTGGCAACGCGACTCCTTGCGCCTGCGACCGTGACAGCGGCGAGCGCCCGCACTTCCCGCCTGGAGGTTGGAGAGTGACCGAGATTGACAACGACCGCGACCGCGACTGCGGCACTCGTCACCCAGTCATCTCACGGCGCTACGTCAGTCTTGCTGCGCTGCTACTTCGAAAATGCCCGCCGCATCCGGTGATTCGTCAAAACCCAGTTCCGCGCCGAGCTCGAAACCTTCGTCCATTAAATCCCACGATGGCTCTAGACATTCTCCCGGTCTCACCCCTCAGGATTGCGATTGCGCGAGCGAGTCCTCACACCTCAAGCCCCATTCAGAAAGATCCTCTGTCAAGGAACGCTTCACCCGCATGTTCTCAAGTAAAGACTTGCCCAAGCTGAACAACGGCAATGGCGAACACGCTGGGAGACCTCGTGGCCCCTCCCAGAGTGGCGCCGTGTCCCCTGCTTCGTCGCGCAAGGAGTCCTCTGAACGTCCCGCCGAGAAGCCCTCGTCAAATGCGTCCAAGGTCATTCCCGGCAAGGATCTCGGCAGTCGCTTCTCTTGCAACTCAGAAGTCCCGGGTGGCCACGAACATCACCTCAAGTCAAGCCGACGTCAGGAAAAACTCTCCGACATGTGGAGGTCCCTTCTGGGGAAGAAGCCAGAGGCCACTCCCGATAGTGATCTCTCGCTGGTATCCAACTGGGTCGACTCCCTGCGCCAGGAAAAGGAAGAAGCCGCAGACCGCAAGGCATGCCCCAATGTGTCCACGACGCTCGTCGAGAAGTATGGCAAATGTCAGGAGGTTGTGGGCCGAGGCGCCTTTGGTATTGTCCGAATCTCCCACAAGAAGCTTGGCACCAGCGAAAAGCTCTTTGCCGTCAAGGAGTTTCGCCGACGACCCGAAGAAACCGAAAAGAAGTACAGCAAGCGCCTGACGGCCGAGTTTTGCATATCCTCGTCTCTGCGCCACCCCAACGTAATTCACACCCTGGACCTGTTGAAGGATGCCAAGGGCGACTACTGCGAGGTGATGGAGTTCTGCGCTGGTGGCGATCTTTACACCCTTATCCTGTCGAGTGGCAAGCTTGAAGTTCAAGAGGCCGACTGCTTCTTCAAACAGATGATGAGAGGTGTAGAGTATCTCCACGAAATGGGCGTCGCCCACAGGGACCTCAAGCCAGAAAACCTTCTCCTGACCACCAGGGGTGCGCTCAAAATCACGGATTTCGGCAACGGCGAGTGTTTCCGAATGGCTTGGGAGACGGATGCTCACATGGTGTCTGGACTATGTGGCTCGGCCCCGTACATCTCCCCCGAGGAGTACACGGACAAGGAATTCGATGCTCGCGCCGTCGACGTATGGGCTTGCGGTGTCATTTACATGGCTATGCGAACCGGTCGTCACCTTTGGCGAGTGGCCAAGAAGGACGAGGATGAGTTCTACGCCCGATATCTCGAGGGCCGGCGTGACGAAGAGGGCTACGGCCCCATTGAGTCGCTGCATCGGGCGAGATGCCGCAACGTCATCTACTCAGTTCTGGATCCCCATCCCACCCGCCGCCTAACCGCGGCTCAGGTCCTGAAATCAGAGTGGGTTCGCGAAATCAAACTGTGCAAGGCTGGAGAGGAGGGTGTCTAACCCCCCGTCCGTCATGCTGCCTTGGCATGGCGGACTGCAATCTGATTGTCGGCACAACTCACAACACCAACTTTGGCCAAGACGTCTTGCAGCTTCTTCTGCCCTACCTACCTCCCCCTTTTGATTCGGCACCGCTGGGATAAACTGGACCAGGGGATGGCCATGCCTATGGGCGTTCTCTTTCATGCGAACTGAACGATCGATGTGACGACTTGATGACTTCTTCTTCATCTACAGCCATACATGTACTCATCTCAAGCTTGATTCATAGTTCTACCTCGATATTGCGAACCTATACCTTTCCATATCCGTCCTGACCCCCGGTCGCCCCTCCCTTTCTTTTTTCTTACTTTTTTTTCCGCCCTTGATTGAGACTGTCGTCTCTCTCCTTGGTTTTGAAACGGTCGTTTCGTTGTCGATACACTACCGAGCACCGGTGTTTTTGGCGTATTTCACCAGCCTCTTATATTTTCACCTTGTCCGTCTTTATTTTTTATTTTTTTTTCGTTTCCTGAATTCTGGGTGGGTGGCACAATGCTCTACAAGCGACACTTTTGGCGTACTCTCTGTTGTCCAGGGTTACTCTTATAAGTAGGTTGAAGAATCGGCTTAGAGGGAGCTAAGAGGCTTGGGATGGAGGCTTTGGTTCACTTTTCGGGCATATGGTATCAGTAAAACCGGAGTTTGTCCTCTAGCACTAGGGGCACGGCTGGCTGGCTAGCTTATTTTGTTTGTACCACAAGACTCGGGACTCTTTTTTTTTTTTTTGTGATTTGTTCGGGGAGAAGAAGGGGGGGGCATTTGATCATGGGGCATGCCCGGCCCCAACCCGCGGGTTTATCTGTGCGTGAACTCTGCTTACCGGTTGGATGAGAGGATTGCTTGGACAGTTGCGACTGCGCGTTCGAGCATCGCCGACTATACATACAATGTAGCCTTGGGGAATTTTTTTTTTTCGCGCCTTGCAAGACTTGCCACTGCTTTTGTTGGGTGTTTTCATCGTGGTGCTTGGCCCGAGCCGCTCAGCTCGACGGGTATGCTGAGATTCAGAGCCGACGGTGATTTATCAAACTGCTGTGCTGGGCTTTCTGGATCCTCGAGTGTCCGTCCTAGCGCCTCTTATTCATCGCCGGTTTGGCTCGCATATTCTTCTGATGGAGCTCGTGCACCTTGTCCTTCTCCTTCTCCCTTCGCCGTGTAGCACCCTGTTCTGGATTGCATGTCGAATACACACTCTGGCTTCACGGTCGTCGCGTCGGTTGGCATCTTCAGAGGAGGCGCAAAGCTGGCTAGTATGGATTTTCCTTTGTATATGTATTATCGATACCTATTCAACTCCAGCTAAAATATTATATAAACCAAGGCTACCTGCCATTTCCAGAATTCCTTACTCTTTTTCCCAATGTTGCCTCACACAATTCATCCGCCCCCCATCGTTTGCTCATGTCAAGTAGCTTGTGATAATGTAAGGTCCCCCCACCCTTCCCAAAGATGAAAGCGAATTCTAGTTCTGCCTGCACATGGACAATCAACCCACCACACAGGTATAATCCTGAACTCAGGAATTAGCAACAGAAATTCGAAACCGATCCAGCATTCTGCCTTTTGGTACAGCAGGTGAAGGTCCAAGTAAATAAAATAGAGTACCCAGAGGGCATCAGTAATAACAAAAGTGAAAAAAAAAAAAAATAAACATGACCTTGCGAAACCAAAGTCTGAAGATCCGCCGTAGCCAGGACACTGGTTGGCAGGCAGGTCGCGAACATAGTATGTCCAGCACAAGATCCAAATCCTCTTGATGTGTCTCCAGAATAAACAGTAAGCAGACGTGGCAAAGGAATCCGGTAAAATTTATAAGTGTGAGGCGCGCAGCCATGCAGCCAAAATATCCAAAACGCATGATTTCTTCACGAACGCGCAGACCGCTCCTGTACCGGGAATTTGGTCATCAACGCCAAGACATGTGCAGTGGCCAACTAGTCAAAATGGTGGTTAGACAAGCGAGCTGAATATACAAGTCAACCAGATTCACCATACTGTGACGTGGCATTGGTGGATTACGAGTTATGAGTGAAATAAGTCCCACGCCCTAGAGCAAAGGCGAAGAAATTCGTCCTTCTTTGCGCGCTGTGTTTCAGGGCTGTCTCTGCCTTCACCAAACGGGCCACGCTTCGTTGCAGATGGTCCGTAGCCCAGAGGCGGAGTTGCGCCATCCTCATACTCGGCTCTGGTGCGGCGTCTGGTAGAAGTTCGGCTTCCATCAGTTTGTCGATTTCCCGCAGAAGGAGACGGAGGAGTGGGGGGTTGGTGGCCGCCATAATGGATAATCTTAGGGAGCAACTCAGGCCTTCCTCCGGCAAGTTCGTGTTGTGCCTCTTCGGCAGACTTGTATTCTCTTGGGCGGCTCGATGACGGTGGTTGTTGGTGTGCTGAATGCAGACTTGGGGAAGCCAGAGGCGCACCTCGTTGGAAAGCTGGCGGCGCATTGTCTGGGTGGGCAGTAGCACTGTGTCCGAAGACGTCGCTGATAGGGGGCAAGCGGTTATTCGTCTGATTTGCAGGAACATGGTGAATATGTGAGCTGCTGGACAGATGTGAAGGGTGGTTAGCCACGTGGCGTGACATGGACGCGGGATGTTGAGAGCCGGTGAAGCTGCGACCAAGCGGTGCCGACTGAATTACTCGCTCGTTGGCAAAGTGCTCGTGAGATGGCGCTACGATGGAGAGTCCAGGAGGCGCTTTGCCTCTGCGAGACATGCCAGGTGTCTTGGCGGCAAAGTGTGAAAGCGCATCTTTGTCTTTGTCGCTAGGGCCGTCTCCCTTTGCAGATTGCTGTAGCCTTTGTTCAATAATGCTACGCTGCTGTTCCCTCACAGACATGCTTCTTTGCAGCTGCTCCTTCATAACTGGGTCCTGTGTCACGAATCCAGGTGATAAGCAGGCGATGCCAACTTCCTGGATACCCAAGCTGTCACGGGCCGACATGGGCACTGCGGAGGCCGGGTTGTTGGGTGTTGAAAGGGTGTTTTTGGACAAGTCCAACCGCCGCGGTCGAGGTTTCATATTTGGAATTGTTGGAGATCCGGGTTCCTTTTTCACCGTGACCTTGGGTCGGCCTTTTTCACTACGATTACTGCAACGGATATAATTAGCAAAAACTCGGCTACGTTTGACGCGCACGTTTGGATGAGCTGCGCAACTTACGAGCCATTTGGCGACGACTTGACGCCTGAGGATGCTCCAGTTCCTTTGGGGCTACTTCTATCACTGTTTTTCTGAGGGCCAGCGCTCGTACTCTTGCTGTTAGACACCGATGCAGCTGCGGGTGTTCTGTGGGAGGGAGATGTTGGACCAGCGGCTTTGGTGCTCCCGGATGCTTCCGAGGCCACTACATCGGCTGCAGAAAAGGGCGGCCTCTCGTGGGGAGCTGGAGATGGCGCCATCGCAATTGCGGCACTCATATTGAGTTGAGAGGTCTAAGGTTGGCAAGGTCGATATCAGATAGGTGTTGGATCAAATGGCCACGCGGTGGAGATCAAGCCGAGGCGACAGGCTTTGCGGTCCTCTGGCTGTCGATGAAGAACAACCAATGTGTTCTTCGCTATTATCGTTTCCAGTGAGTATGGGCGAAGCGCAAGTCGAAGCTAGGTCGGGGTGTTATCACCAGTTGTCTCGCTTTATGCCTTTGCGGGCCGGTGGTGACTCCGGGCTCAGCAGCTGACAGAACTTGATCAAACTCTTGCTATGCGGTCTGTGTGATCGGGATGCTAGCCTCGGTACGAGATCTGTCCTTCGAGGATGGTAACACGAAGGCAATATTATCACAACATGAATCGGAAAGGGGGCCGCCCTTTGTAGTGAGGGTTGTTACCGAAACGGTGTCTCTTTTTTTTTTCCTGGAAAAATTGCACAACAATGACGTCCCGGTCGGGCTCGACGGTCACGTTTGTGCAGTACCAAAATGGTGCAGGAGTGGCAGAAGGTACAGCGCACCGATGGAATGCGGTTGCAGGCCAGAGGGAGAGTCGACAGGTCTGCTAATAAAAAGAACAGAAAGAGAGCGAGAGCGACGGTGACAATGAGAAGCGCCGAGCGAAAGCTCAGAATGCAACACGATGCAGACGCCCGCAAAATGGCACTGGTGGACGGGCTCAAACACGCAGGGGTGGCGGTTGCGGACTATTATGGGCGAATCAATAGTATGGAAGCGTTCCAGTGGTGAGCCACGACGGCGGTTGCGGTGGATTCGAGATTGTCAGCGCGAAACGGATCCAGTTCAGCGAGTGGTTGAGGTTGGAGCAGCCAAGGGCACGTTGTCCGTGAAAGTGGACTAGCGACGCACACCCGACAGCACAGGGTTTAAAGGAGGACTGCGGCAGAGGCGACAGTCGAACTTGGCGAGCGAGGTGCGGGTGATGCCGCTGAAGTAGTCGTTGGTGGTTGTGGTGAGGATGAAGCTCGACACGGCATGAATGAGGCCGATTGACAGTCGACATGCAGAGCAAGATGGTACAGCACAGGAGGAGCAGGGAAAGAAAAGCGGACAGAGGGGGAGGGGGGGAGGAGAGGAGGGAAGGATGAAATCTGGTGTCGAAGATGAAAAAAAGAAGGAGCAAGGCGCCGAGCAGTACTCCGTATGAGGCGTCGATTAGGAAGGAGTCAGGAGCCCTCCTCAGAGTTTCGAGGACCCTACTCAGGGCTCAGGACTCAGGAGCAACTCCATACTTGAGACTAGACCAGACTCTGGCACACGTCGTCGACGGAACTCGGTACAATCCAATCCAATCCATCCAATCCATCCAATCCCATCCAATCCAGCAATGCTCCGAGAGTCAAGTCACGGCAGTCTTGAGCATCGCAGCGCTGAGACGGACAGAGTGGGCTCGCACACGCTGCGACTGGCGCTGGTCCTGACTCCTGGGGGGGGATCCTGAAGCAATGGACTGCAGCCAAAGAGACCACGACCACGGGGTGAGCATGGGATGATGAGATGGCGCGCACACCACAATGCCAACCAGGAGGGGGCCGGTGTGCAGCACAAAGCGCAGGGATTACCCCAAGGCACCGCAAGCCAGCCCGTCAGCCAGCAAGCACAAGCGTCGCCAGGGCTCGCCACGGGGCACACAGACTGGTAGTTATTACGGGTTCATAGGCGGGGGCTTGGGCGGTTCTCAAATCTTCTCCGCCGGCCTGAGGGGGTGGCTGCTGATTGTCCGTCACCAAAACGCTGACACGATTCTGTGTCGGCGCAGTCAACATGCTCGCCCCTATGGGCCGAAGCTAATCTCAACGAGGAGTCCAGTGCGCGTCGCAGCGAGAGCCACATTTCAGCAGCCTTTTATCGCAAGTACGGAATAGATCGACTCCAACCGTCCGTCCACTGGGGAGAGACGATGAGCAGTAGCTATCAACGACACAGACTTGCCCCGACGGTACACCACACGAGTGAGCACACTCTGCAACATGGTCGCGGACCAGTTAGGTCTCTGCCCGTTGCAATTCGTCACAAAAGCCTCCCCTCCTCGCCTAGCCCTCAGACCGAGGGCTTGCGTTGCTGGCCATGGCCCTGTTTGAAACCCGCCGCATCGCCATGAAGAGGCGGCGCCCCGGCTTTCAATCCATGCTGGGAAGCTCCACCAAAGTGCCACATCAGACGGGACGCCAGGACTTCTGCCATCGCCAGGAAGGACCCACAGCCGAACCCGCTTCAGTCAGCTCTCTTCGTTTCCCTAATCGTGCCCGCCCCACTTTATGTGGTTCGGCTAGCAAAAGCCCTCACCACCAAAGGTGGTGCTCGACAGCAAGGCGGGCCGGACACCAAGGCGGGCCAATTTTCAACCTAATAACGCTATTAACCTCTTCGCCTATAATGTACACCCTTCTCGTCCCAAATTTCTAGTAGATCTAGTACAGAATCCAGACGCCATTTACGTGCCTTTTTAGCTGCTTCAAAAAACGTCCTCTTGGCGTGGTTGTGGCGCCTTTTGTCGGCATGCTCTTTATGCTTGCTGTTCGCCTGATGAACTCGAGAAAGGTCTTTGCAAAGGCGTGATTGGAAGGAGAAACGGCGAATGGTTGACGCGACAGGTATGCATTTGTTGGCGGTGACGGGAGGGGAGCCATATGAAGAGGTGCATTATCTGTTGACTGTTTTTCTAGACCGGGAAATAAAAATAGGACATGTATAGAAAACCAGATATTACAGCCCTTTTTAAAAAAAAAATCAAAAAAATCAAAGGTCGTCACTCATTCATTGGAAGCTTCAACGAAAAAAAAAACCCCGGATGTAATTACGCAGCTCATTAAAGATCCACCTGATCAATCGCCGGCCACCATTGAGACCAGGCCCCCTGCTCGTCGAGGTTATTGCTGACTTCCGCGAAAAGCTGGTTCAACAAGGTATTAGTGTCGAGCTCGTGCTCGTGCTCGTGCTCGTGCTCGTGCCCTTGAACCGGCCAAGTCGCCTGCGCCGAGGGCCGCTCCGCGCCCCGAATCTCCCGAGTATGCGCGTCGGATCTATCCACGACACGGAACTCGTGGACAGACTGGTGTAGAGTATCAAAGTCTGCTCGTGTGCGCCCCTGGTATCGTGTCCGGTCCTCGGTTGCTCGCTCGTAGAGCACGGATGCATGGTGTATCGTTTTGATCTTGCGCGTGCCGCCCTCTCAATGTTAGCGCAACGGTGGCCACGGTCGTGTCATGCTTGCGGGCGGCTTACCCATCCGTCGGCGATTTTCCAGACAAGTCGAAACTTTTCCAGGTAGTCGAGACACATTTTGAGACAGTCGCTTGCTCGCGGGCTGCGGCCCAGGTTCATTCGGGGGTATTTCGCCACGTAGAGGTTGAGGTAGCCGGCTGAGAATGCGCAGAACCCGGCAAAGGGCGTCATGAGATGCACGCCACACTCGGAGGCCTCGTGTAGAATGGCGGCGATGTGCTCTGCCGCGCCGAAGAGGAGTCGGGAGCTGTCGTCCCACCAGCCCTCGGGGGCGGGCGCCCCCAGCATGGGCTGGTCGACTGGACCCCGTGGCTCCGACTCCGGGGTCGGCAGGAAGGGGAAGTACTCGCGGTGAAGCATGAGGGTGCTGACAAGGCGTAAGCAGGGGCGGCGGCGGCAAGTTGGGAGCCCCGTCGACCGCTACCGCTGTGGGAAGGGGATTCTTACCTCACGTAGTACAGGAGATTGAGGTAGACGAACGTCTCGCCGAAGCCGAGCGTCATGTGGACGGCCACCGAGTTGCTGGGGTAATGGAGCTTCCGATGCTGGCCTGCCCTCCAGGCCTCGAGCTGGCTTCGGGATTGTGACCAGGGCGACGCCGGGACCCAGGGGCAGTTCTGGGGTGCGCACATGCCCGGTGCCCGGCGTCCGTCGTTGAAGATGAAGGTCATTACCTGGGCCCAGATGTCGAAAGCGAAACGTCAGTAAAAGCGGACACGAAATATTCATGAGAGTCGGGATATCAAGTTCCAAGTTTCATACAACGTCACCGCTGTACTATGGTGGACTACATTGGCGCAGTAAATACCATCTCTCTCCACAGTGGGTTAGTGTTGCACAGTTTCCCGGTGACTTTTCATCTTGTTGGAATAGCTATGCCTCTATTTTCTGACGGCTGAGTAGTTAAGTCTTTCTTCGCAGCAAATCCCCAAGGAGGAGCCTTCGCACGCAATAAAATACTCGTCTATTGACAAATTATTAGAGGAGCCGCAAGGTAAAGCAGCGTCTCCAAGACGTCAAGTCACAAAGCACAGCGCTCATCAAAAGACGGTTGCATACATGTACAGTCACGAGATTCGCATCCGAAATCGTACTGCTAAATGCAGGGAAGGAAGCTGTCGGTCTTCTCCATCTGTACGACAAGGACAAAAGCAAGGGATCCATGATCCACGTGGGCCGGTCCAGCCAGCCGCACTAATAGAGTCAATCTCAGCTTGACAGCCAACGGCGGTGCATCAGGAGAAGAAAAGGTGCGGTATGTTGAGTCGAAATGGCATGGCCCCCTGTAGGCCCGACACTTCCTCAAATCGAGACTACGTACTAATATGGACCATCGCCGCTGATACTAACAATAATGAGTGGTGTCGACTATCCATGTAAAGACAGTATTCGACGGCGGTGCCAAGTTTCTGCGTACTACGAAGTAGATGCCCATGAAGTCGTGGCCCAATTAATGGCCCTGGGCCCCCTGCAGAATATATTACGGAGTCGTACGGAGTACACTATGGATTACGTATATGCATGCGTATTCTTGAATCAGGACCTGACGGCGAGGACAAAAAGACATACGGCACGGAGTATTCGAGACCCGGTCCCCCCCCCCCCCCGGGGGGGGCATGTAACTAACATGTTCATGCTCAGGCCCATCATTCCCCGCTGCCACGCGGTTTTTCTATTACACTGAGTCGGCGGTGATAATTTTATCAACAAAATGGGTTGTTATTGGCAGCCGGGAAAGTCTTGCAGGAGGACGAGAAGATGGCCATCTGCCACGTTATAGCACTCAACCTCTACTCTCGTGCCAGTTTCCCAGTGTTTCAGTTATAACGCGGATGCTTGGCATCGTCTGAAGTATCCTACATCTCGTAGTTCTACGAGTAGAGCTAGCTGCAGGCCTGGTACTTTACTGACAATCCCACGATCCTACGATCCCACGCCTGTCGACTCACCATCTCGACAGACAGGTAAGCGAGGCTCCCTACTCGGGGTTGTCTGGGAAGGCCTTGAACGAACATAGCGACAGAGGTGATGTTATCTATAACTTGTCCGCTGGCTGTTGTTCTTCGTCTCTTCTTAGGTCTCTTCAACGGCCGTCCCCACAAACCACCGACCGACGCCATGTTACATATTACGTACGTCCATTCGACGTGAAATGTACTCCGTAACTCGCCGCATGTCATCGGGCACCCCTGCGTTTTCAGTGGTAGTGGTGGCTGCAATCCAACACAGCCAAAAATGCTTTTTGCGCATGCATTCGTGGCGAAAGTGAGCACCGGGCACTAGTACAAGTTAATTGTCGCGTGAGCTCGGAGATTACCGTCGAGCACAATGTACGTTCTCACACAATGCCCTGCGCTTTAATTGCCCCCGATTATGGAGCATAATAATGCAGCAGGCGGTACGAATACGCAGCATGAAAGTCAGCCGGCCCTTGTCGAGACTAGCTGACCCGGAAAGTTGGGCACGACGTCATGACATGCCCATTTTTAGAGTACGCGCAGGGAGTGCTCCGACGGCACACCGTACCCAGCACCAAGGGAGAGGTCGTGACGGCGAAAAAGCTTCTTTCGCTTGGTTTCTCCCCCGTCTTATTGCCCATCAACCCATGCCATCCATGGCCGTTTGCTGTCTGTGGGGGGGCCGCTCTGGAAGCCGAGACAAGGACCGTTGATGGTCACGGCCACCACCATCTTCGCTTTCAGGCCTGCTTGGCTGCTCGCGGTGTGTCGAGACCGAGTTGACGACTGGGGAAGGAGTTCCCTGTCGTCGTAGGTCCATTCCGGCCTTGCTCTGCGACGACAGGGCGACGGACGAGTGCGGCGCGCGAGTCTCCAGCGCGGTGTGGCGTTGAATAGCAGCCGGCAACTCTGCCAAAAGGTTGAACCTGGCGGTGGTGGTGACACTGGCGAGTCGTCGTTCCAGCGCGAACTGACCAGTTAGTCGCCGAAGCTGTACATGCAGAGTGCTCTGTGGCCGGGCCTGTGTACGGAGTATGTTTGTACTATTCGTTCCTTCGTTCACATGTCATGGTCCATGTCCTCCTCTCCTCCTGTGTGTGACATCTTGATGTGCACCCGACCGGTCCAACCAACTACATGGCCCGGCTACTAGTTGGAGTCGACTGGTTGGTTCGTCATTCATCAATGTTCCCCCCTCAGGGGCCAAGCTATGCCCTCTGCAGTCGAGGGTGGGCTGGACCTGAGACGTCGTCGTCTCAGGTTGTCGTTGCAACGGTGGGGTCAAATGCCGTATCGCTTTGATTCTTGATGGATGGACTTGAACATGGTTTCCGAAGAGGGGGAGGGCAAGGGACCCCCCACGCTTGTCAGCACTTGATTTATCGTGTCGATCCCCGGTCGAACTTCTCGGTTGCAAGGTTCCTTGCTTGGACCGTTATCATCAATCCCACGTTATAATGTCGACGGCATTGCCGGGAAGAAATACGGGACGAGTTGATGGGGATTGTCAAATGCCGATCGTCTGTTGGTACGTACGCCGTTCTTGGTTTCAACCTCATTGACTGACCCGAATGACCGACCTGCCCAGCACTGGAGGACACTCGACGCTGCGCCATTGGTCCAACGACACTGCGAGTTACATAACCATTCCGGCGGATCAAGCGTGCGGGATACCGGAGTACGGAGCCCTACGCAGCGACATGCACTCGGCAGTAAGTACTCCGTACTCCGTGCTGTCAGGGATTGCTACTCCGCTGCTCCCATTGGCTTGTGACCCCTGAGGCAAAGCCTCGTGAGGGCTGGCGAACGAGATGGGACATCCAGGCCGTAAGAAAAGGCGCGCGCCGGATTTCCGTCTGGTGATTACGGAGTACGGGTGTCGTGTATATTTTGTTTTGCCAGGGCCATCTGCCAGCCATCTGCCATATTGTTGTCGTAAAGCAAGGCACCTACCTATTTTTATGCTTTGCGTCCTTTTCCCCTTTTCTAACCTGGCCGTTGTGTCGAGCAGTACGGAGTACGTACTAGGTAGCACTAGTCGTAGGTACCTAGATTCGTAGGTACCTAGGTACCTAGTAGTAGTGACTGTCGTGTGGCCCTTGGCAAACAGCCCTATTACTTTGACTAACTCTGGCCGTCATACAATGCTCAACCGACCACAGATGGCGGTCGATGGTCGTCGCCGGCTCGCTCCCCTCTGCAATCACACCCTCCCTGCAGCTGAAGCAACCAGTGGGCTCATAATAGTTATTGCATCTGCGAAATAATGTTCACGTCGTGAAATGCTGCTATCTACCCTATACTCGTCCGTTACTCTGATTCTGACACGTGAAAATTTGTCCAAGAACAAAAATGGAAAGGAGACCCGACAACACCACACCACCGCTGTCATGGGACGAGAATAAAAGTACAGGGGTACAACCAAGACATAGAAATCGTCTATCGGGGCAGAAAGCAAAAAAAGGCAAAAGAAAACGCCCGAGGGGGGTCTCGAACCCCCAACCTTGGGATTAAAAGTCCCACGCTCTAGCCATTGAGCTACCCGGGCCAAGCTCGGATGATTGTGAAATTGTGCTCATAATGCAACAAATAAATCCATAAAATTCCATTACCTCCTTACGCCAGCCCGGCGCCCCATCAGTGCGGCTCCATCGACGTCAAAAATTCTGGAAAGTAAGAAAAAGCTGGACAAACCGCATACGACGAGGACAACAAAGGCTGTGTAAGCGTCCGACAACTAGTTCTGACGCCACGTCCTGGACAATCTCCAAGTGTTCCTATTTTCTCTTTTGTTGCTGGGGCGGGCGGGCTGAGAGCTTCGTGCCTCGATATATATACCAAAAAAATGCCCGGCCGTACAAAGAAGACGGAGGATTCGTCGCAAGACGCCAACATGCACGATGTCCCGCCCTCCGCGCAGGCTGCTACCGTGGAAGACGCCGAAATGGGAGACGCCGCAGAGGGGGAGGAACTAGAAGAAGAAGAGGACGGGGAGGAGGTCGAACCGCAAAGAGTCAAGATTGTACGTTTCTGGTGTGCGAGAATCTGCTGCGGCATGTATCATGACCTTGCTAATGGGTTGGCAGCTGCCGGGCTCTACGGACACGGCTGCCTCGTTTGAGTTTACGGACGAGGGACATACCCTTGGCAACGCTCTGCGGTACATCATTATGAAGAAGTGAGCATGTCCATCCCCTGCCGTGCGACTGACCAAGGCGGGTTTTTCTATTATACTGACGACATTTTCTGCAGCCCTGATGTTGAGTTTTGCGCTTATGCTATTCCTCATCCGTCTGAGCCCAAGATGAACATAAGAATCCAGACCTACGGTATGTATCCATTTATGTGTCCTTGTTCTCATTTATCCTGTAAACGCTATCCTTGGAGAGCCATCGTCCATTGCTGACTGAATTTGGTAGAGGGCATGGCGGTAGATGCTTTGAAGAAAGGCTTGGCGGACCTGCAGGACGTGTGTGATGTAATTTCCGATGAGTTTTGGACCAAGAGACAGGCTTTCAATGCGGACAATGGCATCGAGCGTTGATTTGTTTTTCTGTGTCTCACATTGGCAAATTCTATGGGGACTTTGTTTCAATTCTTTGCTACATGTCTTTTATGTTCACTTGTCACAAAAGTTCGCTTGGATTATACGGTCCGTTGACAGGGATAGAAGGAGCTTGCGGCGTTGTGGTTTGCATGAAGAAAAGTCTCCATCAAGGAAAGATTTATTTACATGGAGCAGTTTTCGCTCTTGTCTAATTCCGGCCCTGCGAGGTGAGGACAGTCAGCGTTTGTCAATCAATGGTGTGTATGGCCGGATGGATTGGGCATGTGTAAGTAAGGTCGTCGTACCTCCAAGAATCCATCGATGAAGCTCGATGGCAGCCTCTTGTCTCCTCTAAAGTTCTCTTCTTTGAAGTAGGACATGACGTGGGTGGTTTGCTTCCAGAAGTTCATCATCTCCTGTGTTTCCAACCCATTAGCCTCTCAAGTTCTGCGTTTTCGCCCAACTCAACCCGTGAGAAACATACCTGATACTCGGCGTGGGACTTGAACAGAAGCACATCGACAACAGGGAGCTTGTTTGCGTATCGGTTTCGCTCGAATTCCTGACGTACCCGGGTCCGAATCGCGGAGATGGGCAGGGGCATGTTGTACATGGTTTGGATCTCTGGAGCCTAGATTGCCTAGTCAGCGGCACACAATACCGCGCATGAGGGGATTTTATGTCCCCTAATATCGACTCCGTTCGGCGACAAATCGTCGCGAGATACTCTATCCGTGCGAAGAGTTGTCAATTGGCAACAGCGGGACGTACAGCTCGGATCCATTCGCGATAGGAGGAGAGAACTCGACGTTTTGCATCCGACCAGTTGGCCGCTGCGCTGTTTGTTAGTACACTGGTAATGAGCGTCACGGCGAGGAGCATACACTGCGCCGTCTTTTTGGCAAATTGCGTCGGCGTGATAGCCATGGCGGGAAGTCAATGCTTCTCAACTTGGAGAACACTGTCTGTCCAGTGACGTTGAGCTGCCAAACGATGTGCATCGCGAACGCTCCGTAGACAGACTATCACGTGATGCGTCCCGCCACACTCGAAGGTGACGCCACAATTTGATAGCGACCCTCTGTGGGCGACTTCCGACTCCGTAACGATTCATACCCAGACATTGGTTTTCTCTCTCGTCATTCCCAGGCAACTTTCGTATCCCGTTACTGTCTTTATGGAATCTGGGCGCTTCTGGGTGTATATATAAAACAAAGCATCATGCCTGCGATACGACATTCCACAAAACGAAAGCCACCACCGGAAGGTTTCAGTGACATCGAAAATGACCTTCTCATCTTTGCGAACAAGATGAAGGATGCTCAGAATAGGCCTCCTCCTGCGGGACCGAAACATCAAGCACAGTGGGAGATTTTCCAGTTATCGCATCAGCGGAGTCGATATGTGTATGATCTATATTATGAGAAGGAAGCCATCAGCAAACAGCTGTACGACTGGTTGTTGAAGAATGGATACGCGGATGCTATGCTGATAGCAAAGTGGAAGAAGCAGGGTTACGAGAAGGTTTGCTTCGGATTTATTTTTTTCATGGGCTGTGCAGTCAAATTTGCTAATATGCCCCTAGCTTTGCTGTCTTCGGTGTGTCCAGACGAAGGAGACCAACTTCAATAGCACGTGCATCTGTAGAGTACCTCGAACCGAAATCAAGGAGAGTCGCGATGTCCAATGCGTCAACTGTGGATGCAGAGGGTGCGCATCGAGTGACTGAGCTCTGGAATGCGCAAGGCTCTGAGCTTATGCACAAAGGATGTATCATGAAGGCGTATGGCGTTTATGGGCTACAGCTGAGAGATTTTGCGGGGAACAGCGGACAGATTGATGATGAACGCGTACACATCTGTTGAGGTTGAGGGGGCTCGAGAGGAAGAGATCATCTTTTTAGCCGATGACCGTCAAATCATTATTACTCATACTGATCATTATCATTATGCAGTTGCTCTTTTGTGAGTTCTCTTCATGATTTTGAGAAACCCGCTCGGCCGCCACGGCCGAACCGGATACTGTGAGGGACAAATTGTAGCGCTGACATGGTCTCCGTAAGATCTGCCATGTCTGCATCCACATTTTCCCTCTTGGACGTCGTTTCCTTGACGTGATCTGAGGAAAGCAGTTTCATGTGTTTGACATCGTCCTTTGACCCGGCGTCTTGTTCTTTTAGTGTGCCTGCTCTGCGACGTGCTTCATGTGCTATTGAGGCTGTTGATGATCTCCGCCGACGGTGGTCACCTTCGACCAGCAGTGAACGTCTTCCGTCAATACCTTCCTTTGTGACACCAAAGAAGAAATTTTTCGGATACATGTGCTTGTCAATCATGTGTAGCCTGCGTTTTTGATGGGTAAGACATTTGCGCTCACATCCCTCAACGAAGCAGGAGAACTACACATATGTTAGGGCGCATTCGTCATCGACAAGGTTGCATGAAATAAGGACTTCACAACGATGTAAAGGAAGACTTACAGTGTGTTCACCCCTGTCTCTTCGAACCCTCACAAGAGGATCGTGATACTCCTCAAGGTGTACGCCCAGTAGGTGTTCTGAGGGAAAGTTCTTGCGGCATTCGAGACATCGATTTGTGTGAAATATGTTGTAGTGTGATTCGTATTCCTGATAGGACCTGAAAGTGATTGGTTCCATATGAGGAGGCAGCGAACATTTCATTGTGGGTGTGCCGTCGGTGTTGGCGTCGGCGTCGGCGTCGTCTTCGTCTTGGATTGCAATGTCAAGTTGTGGTATCTTGGCCGCGGGTAAGGCTGCGTCTCGAAACTCAACCCAGTCTGGAGTATCCTGGTTTTGGAAATTGGAGTCTAGATATTCTGAAGGCTCTCGTGAGCGCTTCATCTTTAAATATCAAAGAAAATTTGGCGTGGCGGGGCAAAATAATACTTTTTGTTGAGGGTGTCGCGAGTAACAAAATGGACTTTTCCAGGATTTTGTATGTCGAGGCGGTGGCGGAGGGGGTTCGAGACGGACTGTGGCATATAGTCGTGAGTGCCAATCTTGATGACGCGGGAGGAGAATGTTGCAAAAACCTACGGGACACTACTGCAGCGGAAATGCGGTGCCTCGCGAGAAAATGGGCCGTAACAGTTTACTATGCTGATGGAGGTGGTTAACCACCGAGATTCTTGATCCGGACGCAGGTATGTTCAAATGTTAGGTCGTCGGTCAGTCGCCAGTGTGAGGTATAATAAGTACCTCAATACTTGCGTACTGGGTACCTCCCAGGTATCTGCTTAAAGGTGGTGGTTTACATGCAGCAGTCGTGCGAGAGGCGGCCGGGGCCACGTCTGGCTGGTCTATGCCCCAGAAATTTCAACGCAACACTTCAGATTTTCTTTGGCCACCAGTTTCTGGGATTTCATTTTCTGATTTCTACTTGAATCCTGTGCGTTGGGTGCCTTCATTTTCGGCCGGGCGGCCAGTTTGCACGCAACGAGAGACGCTAACTGGTCTGGTGGATCCACGGCCGAAGATTGATGTGCCATTCCCCTCGGTTCTACGAACCTGGGAAGTAACAGCAAGTACTCCGTAAGTACTCAGACGTTTCGTAGTGGGCGCTGGCTGGGTACTTGGGTACTTTTAATTACTTAAGTACCTAGGTACCTACCTAGCCTTAGGTACCTACCTACTTAAGGCAACTTAGGTAAGTAAACCGGACGAACACTGGCCGAATTCGTTCGTCGCCTTGAGGGGCTCGAAAGCTGTTCACCTTTCCCTCGCCGCAGACTCACTTCTGTTCATGCCTTTGCCTTGTCGCATTATCTCTCGAGGTTGCGCAGGAATCTCTTCTTGACCCAGGCCTAGTTTGCTTGCCCGATTTTTGTTCCCTCTCCGTCGCCGTCGCCGTCGCCGTCATCGCCGCCGTCCTCGCTCCTTGCGCCGCGCCTCGTTCCTCGTTCCTGATTCCTCGTTCTTTGCGGTGTTCGTCAAGAACCTCCGTCATCTCCAATGAGTTCCTCCCCGGCGCAGCAAGGAGACTTCCGCGAGCCGACCCTGGTACCAGCCATTTCGCTTTGCCGTCAGCTTGGCAGGCGGGTTGTTTGACCCTTCGTCATTGTTGGTGGCTCATTGTCGTTATTTCCGAGACTATGAAGTAACAAAGACCTCGGCAATATTTTCTTTTACTACATTTATCGTATTCATCACCCGCTCATCACGGACGGGCCTCGAGTCTCCCTAAACCCGACCGGCGAAATCGATACCGGCGCAATAGCTGTCGATATGGCCTCGTCTGCCCAGGTCGGCCAATACTGGCAGTACGTGTTGTATTTTATCTGACCCTATTGTTGGGCTGTCGCCGCTCTTTAACATCACCGACACTCGTCTTCAAACACAGAAACCTGCCATGCTTGTTCCAAGGGACCTGAACTGACTTGTTATTACCTGTAGCCAAGCTCTGAAACTTAGGAAACATTTGATGAAGCAACTGGAGAAAGTCAAAGCCGAAAGTGCCTCTGGAGTGGATATTGCGCAGTTCGAGGCCATTGAAGGCACTCTGGAAAGGTATCTTGTTCACCAGTCCTTCAGGCTCCTTGTCGTTCTTGTTCACCGTAGCTGACCACCCCTCGAGGTTTCGTTTAGTTTTCGTCCACACCATCTTTTTGGATTTCGCATATGCCGTCAAGGAGAATACCGAGGATGTCCTTTGGGCTCTGCACACCATGATCAACTCCGAATACCGCCGTATTCAGGGCCGACTCAAGCACTCTTCTCATGCCGTTGAGAGACGCAAGACGGAAAAGTCATACAACAACTTTCTCCGCGTGGCACAGAAATTCTACAAAGGGTATATCCAACGTCTATCGGCCCGGTATGATGTACCAGATCTCAGGAGAGTTGCCCAAGGCATTGATGTTGAGCCCATGGGCAGTGGAGATAGAATTAGCCCTGTACCATCAGAGTTGGGTGCTCTCGTTTTGACGTCGTGCCACTCGACTCTTTTGCGTCTAGGCGATTTGTCTCGGTATAGGACTCAAGCCAGACATAAGAATTCGGGTTATGAGACTGCCTTGACTTTCTATAGCCTTGCGCATCATTTGAAGCCCCAGTCAGGATATGCCCAGCACCAAATGGGAATTGTTCATCTGGACCAAGGCAACCATCTCGACATTGTCTATAACTTTTATCGCTCCTGGGCCGTCGATGCGCCTCACCCGAATGCCAAGACCAACCTCGAGGCCGAGTTCAAGTCTCTTCAACTGCCAAACTCATCTAAATCTCGACAGAATGCCTCACCAGCGACACAAGACCCCTTCCCCATGTGGTTCGTCAGGCTCCACGCCCTCTTTTACAAGGGCGAGACCTTTCCGCAGCAAGCTGAGCTCGAAGGCGAGGTTCTGCACAAACTCGAAATAGCGTGTCACAGTGAGAAATCTACTGCGACTCTGCTCAAGATGACACTGGTCAATCTTTCTGCCCACCACGTCGCGTCGACAATCTATCGAGGTTTGTTTACTCCCATTTTGGGTTCCTCCTGTTTACTCATTGCTAACTCTCGTGGAAGAATCAATGTCTCTCGCCGCCTTCTACCAGTTTACTTTACGATTCAATGCTTTGTTCATTTCACATTTTTGTGCAGCCTTTGAATCAGAGCTTAAGGAGGCTGCATCCGAAGATGTAGGGAGAGATGATCCCAATACTTTGCCCACCAAGATTACGGCCATGGTGGAAACGCTTCTCCCTGTCCTGCGCCTGTATAGTATGTGGCTTACTGCCTGTCGGAGCGAAGTCAGTGCTGCTGCTCAGGCATTCGGCGGAGTCATCCCACGCCTGATTCAGAATCTGGCCAGAGTATTCACTTTGCTCTGCATTTTCACGTATAGTCAGGCGTTGAGCAATTGCCCATATCTACTCCCCGAGGATCTGGAAATCCGTGGTTTTCGCCCTTTGTCGGAGGAGACTATTCCCCAGCAATGCCGTTGTTTTTGCACCGAGGATGACTCTCCGAAAACTCACCTGCAAGATCACAGTACTCGTTTGGAGCCATCTCAGGAAAATTTGGCCAGAATTTTAGACATTCTTCGCTGTGCATACTTCCTCGCTGAGGATGCGAACTTCCCAATGTCTTACAAGGTTGTCGACAATTCACTCATTTTTGAATATTGCGTTAAACCAACGGCTGTTGCGCCTGTGGCTGCAGCTCAGACTTCCATGGCGTCACCAAACATAGCATCCAAGAACCCGCTTGGCAACGAAGACGCAGAGGCTAGGAGCCTACCGAGTCGTGGTTTATTGGCCGAAGAACCCCAACAGTTGCGCCAGAATTTGGCTTCTGACGTTACGAAGCCACAGCTTACCCAGCGCCCGGGGCCGCAAGACGAGGAGGATTTGGACGATCCAGACGATGCATTGTTCGACATGCTGTCTCCGTTCTTGAAGCCACCCACACCACAACCTCAGCAACGGCAGCGTCGCTCGACGGATGAATCTTCTTATGAAATGCACACAGTGACAGCAAATAATGTGTTTGGCTCGTTTCAAACCGAGCACAGCCCACCTGGTTCCGTCCTTTCGGGAAAGTTTGCGCCGTTGCCTTGGGCTTGGTTCAATACTCCGGAGCCTGAAAAGCCCGCTGACAATCCGAAACCAAATGGATCGAGCGGCTTTGCCGAGACTCCCAGCCCGTACAACTCTCCAAGACGTCCCACAAGCAGTGGGTATGACTTAGATGACCCCTTTGCGACTCCCGGCCGAAATATCAATAACGTCCCTGTCAATAGCCATGCCGCCCAGCAACGAAACAGAAGGAGCTTTCCTGGCCCGGTCGTTTCAGCTCCGGAAACTGCCCATGGGAATAACCTACTCCAGGTCTTCTCAGGCACTGGTGTGCCACGAAGCTCGCCTTTTACCCAATGGGATGAAAACCAGCAGCCTACTCTCCAGGGCAGCGGCCCTGCCATGTCACCATGGGGGCCCAGAGTCTTGGATAGTTTTCCGCAATCGACAGGGACTTCTATTTTCTCTCATCCAAGCAGCCTGTACCAGAGTACACCGGCAAATGTAGTTGGCCGTGTGATGAAACCTGTTTCTGGAGGACCAGAGCCCAAGTTATCGAGTTCCGCTCACGTCGAAACTGCAGCAAGATGCTTGCAAATGGACCGGACGACGTTGAACTATAACGAAGCGATTATGCAGTCAGCCTATCATGGCAACAAGTGATGTTTCATGGCTTTTCTGCCTCAATAGTTCTAGCAAGGGACGGTTGAAGGCTGTCGGACCCCTGATTAGCTTCCAATATGACCTTGAGCAGTTAAGCCAGACTTGCAGAGATGGCACACGAGCTGTACGCTTGTGAAATACTCGGATGATACCGCAATCACACAATGGATAACTGACACTACACGTGTCTCTTTCAAGGCCTTTTTGTTGTTTCTCAAAGAAAAAGTACGAAAAGAAAAGAAACCAAGGAGAATCTGATAAGCGGTTCGATATGAACACCGCGTGAAACATGTCTATTTTGCATATTTAATGTGCTTAATCGAATTTCAACCAAAGATGATTGGATCGTGGAGGATACCGAATCGCTTCGCGAAGAGAGCCACAACGTCTGCGGGCTCCTTTGCCACAGATGCAAAAACGCCGTTGTTGAAACCGTTTCCAATTCTAGGCCTCAACGCCAAACTACACTCATTTTTACCTAGTGAAATCATTCTGCCGCTGCATAAGGCTTTAGGAGGCCTGATAGGTCTGCTTCGGGAAGGGGTATCTGAAGGAGGAGAGCGTATCAGTAAAGGCTTTTTGGTTGGACCAATATGGCTAAAGGGCGGGTGTTGGGGAGCGCGACGAGGTTGAGCGTTTTGATGTCATATTCCCGGGCGATCATTATCTAACCCGTATGGATCGGACGTAGGGTTACATAGAACAGTCGGAGTGAAGAATGACGATGATTGTTCTAAGCGGGGACATTGAAAAAAAATAAAGCAGAATTCTGTGACTTACGAAGGTCCCAACTCCTGAATACTGAGTCTGGCAAGCCACTGGCCCATGTCGATGGAGGTAGCAAGCTGTTTGCCTTGCATGATACCAGCCAAAAGCCCACCGGCAAAGGCATCGCCAGCACCATTGGTGTCGTTGATCTGTTCCTTGCTGATGGCATGAACAGGGAACTCCTTGACCTGATCCTCGCCCTGGACGGCAACGAGGGTAGGCTCGGTGCCCTGGGTGATGATGGCAACTCGCTTTCTCTTGCCGTTCTCCTTGGGCAGGTTGGCCAGGTGCTTGACAACATCCCTGGGCTCCTTGGAAGGCAGCTTGTGCGACTCAGCGTAGGCAGCGGCCTCGGTTTCATTGCCGATGACATAGTCCCAGTAGGGGGCGGAGGCATCGACTGCATCCTTGAAGAACTGGGGGATGAAGGGGGCGGAAAGCGACAGAACGAAGATCTTGTTCTTTTCGGCGGCCTGTTTGGCGAGTTCCATGATGGCGGGCGGGCAGACTTATGATATTGCTAGTTGTCAGCTGCGTCTGTTCTCTTTCTTACTCACTCACCCACACACCCTCTTTCTCTCTCTCCCCTTCTCTCTCTGTGTATGTGTGTGTGCGCCCGCGCTGTGAATGCAAGTTGCATTGAATACATGCATGAAAGCTTACCTGTGAAGTGGTAGCCACCGATGTAATACACCTCGGCATTCTCAACAAGGCTCCAGATCTCTGGCTTCTTCAAGTGTTCGAGGTCGTAGTGGTTGGCAGCACCGAGGTCAGTGCACAGACTTCGGTTGTGGCCGGTGATGACCACACCGCAGCGGCCGGTCTTCTTGTCGGGATCAACACGGTACTCGACGCGCAGGCCAGCAGCCTTGACAGCGTCCCGCATGATGGCAGAGTACTTGTCATCGCCGGCACCGCCAAGGTAGACGACGCTGTTGGGAGGTAGGATGTACTGGGCGCCGCGGGCAGAGTTCTGGGCGGCACCACCGGCAATCAACTTGGCGTTGTAGTTGTTGAGTAGGTCTTCGTACAGAGGGAGATGCTTCTCCTCGGCGAGGATAGCATCATTGGCATTGAGGCCATACTTGTCGAGTAGAGCCTGGTCACCAACGGCTTGGATATCTATTATGGCGGGAAAAAACTGTGGTCAGCTCCAAGCTCTTATTCATCGAGCGATTTAAAAGGAAGGGTCTGCGGGTAGTCTCTTGATAAATATCATCTTTATCATCATCATGTTGGGGGGGAGGGTGGTTCTTGACATTGAGGGGTAAACACGGCCGAGTGTCAGACAGAGCCGCCCGTCTGCGACAAACGTACCAAGAAGAGGGTTCTCGAGGCAGAGAAGGCCGTAGTCCTTTCCGAAAGCCATTTTAGTTGACTTTTACTGAATCACACGCAAAAAGAGACGAAAGCTAATGGATCAATGGCTGCAAGAGACGATGTATATGTTCGGAGTCGAGGGGGTGGGAGAGATTTTTGGTACGGACAAATGGCCAGGGATGGCGGGGCACCCGAAGCTCCAAGGCCGTCATGGGTGGGGCAGATGCTGCCAAGTCTCCATGTCCGTTTTGGAATTTTCGAAGACTTCGGCGGGAGTCACCGCCTCAACTTGGTTCTAAACTCGCGGCAAGTTGCGAGCCGGAGCCGAGCGTTCACTTCCCTGCCCATTAAGAGCAGCATCGTATTGTAAAATCTGCGGTTCAAATTCAGTCCCGCTATCCATCAAGGTGTAATCCGCCGTATTGCAACGGAGTGTTCTCAACTGCTGGTCTGCAAAAACTACCAAGTTGTTGCCCAGGCAAGACGACGCCTTGATCGCCAAATGACTTTCGAGGGCTTCTGCAAAGCTAAGAACGATAGTTCAGGGTTTGGGCTCAATACTCCGACTGTATTTCTCTTCTAATCATTCGCATTTGCGCAGCCAGATTTGCAGTTCGCATATGGGTCCATCAATAAGGGAATATTTTTTTGTTCCAAATTCGTCACGCCCAACCCGGATATTCGCGTCGTCCGTTTTCGTCACTGGATGTAGCAGAGGGAACCAATATCTGTGTACGCCAAATGCCGTAGTACTTGCTTTCTGTGCTACCAGACTCCTGCTCTCAGCAGTACCATCAAAGATGCAAGCAAGCCACTGTGAACACCATCCCAATGAGACCAAGCAATCCAGCCACCTTCTTTACTCCTTCGTCTTCTGAGTACCACGCAACAGACCTGTCCTTCTGGCAGCGATAAGACCGGCCTTTTGACCCTGGGCGGCGTATCGGGAAATGGTGGACGCCTTACCAATGTGCTGGTGGTTACCCTGTCAAAGTTGTCAGCATTCATCGCAGATTGCACAATAGACTTCTCAGGAGTACGTACACCACCGTGAGGATGGTCCACAGGATTCATGGCAACACCGCGAGTCTTGGGCCAGCTGTTGCGCTTGACGGCGAACTTGTGCTTAGCACGCGAAGCCTTCAGGAGAGGTTTGTCGGTACGGCCACCACCCGCGACAATGCCAATCATACCACGAGTAGAAGAGTGAACAACCTTCTTGGCACCAGAGGGCAGCTTGACACGGGTCTTGCGCTCATCAGGGTTGTGGCCGATGATGGTGACATAGGCACCAGATGTACGGCCCAGAGAGCCACGGTCTCCAACCTTCTCTTCGACATTGGACACGACGGTACCCTCAGGCATCTCGCCCAGGGGGAGGACGTTGCCGACGGTCAAAGCAGCCTTCTTTCCGGCATAGATGAATTGGCCGGTGTACATGCCTTCGTTGGCAATGAACGTCTCGGTAACTTGCTTGTACTTGTAGGGGTGACGGAACGAGACCTTGGCAAGAGGAGCACCACGACCTGGAATAAAAAGACCCATTGTCAGCCCTTAATTGCCACATCCCAATCTGCAATCCAGTTGTTTTGCATTGGAAGAAAAACGAACCAGGGTCGTGAATGATGTCCTTGACTACACCGCGAATGTAGCCATGACGCTCGGCGTAGTCGAGGTTGCGAAACTGGGCCGGAGCCTTGTTCAGGCGCGTGTTGGCAGCTAATTTCAAACGTTAGTACTTTGGTCTCCTGTCGTCGTCGATAATCGAACTCGAGAAGAATCGCGGGCGGCACTGACTGAAAATGGATCCACGACCCTTGCGCTGGTTGCGAATAACTCTACCCATGGCGGCTCGTGTGGACTCGATGCAATCGTTCGAGTGAACTGCTTGGGCAGAAGCTGTCAGTAAATTGTCGAGCCGAGGGCGTGGTGTTGGGTCGAAATTACCTTGCTCCCGCCGCTTGGTGTTTTAGCAAAGAGGCAATACCTGGCACACTTCGTAACAATTTTTTGTGTGCGGGACCATTTCGAAAGCTGGAGGAGCCCTGACCACGTGATTTTTTAGTGGACCACACAAGCGAGTTGTAGGCCCAATCATACAGAGTATAGAGGCGTGGTCAAGCCCCACCTCATCATTCTACTTGTCCTGGAGATCTGACGTGAGTTGATGTTCAAAGGTCTGCCAAACTGACCATTTTCGGAGTATACCTTTTTGACATGTTGTGTAGAATCAAGCTTCTCTGTCGTGGTCTCTGATATATAGGCGTGGCTGATCATTCTCACTTTTACTCCTTGTTTCCGGTATGCCCATTGCTGGCATTCTCAGAGACATGACACAGTATCTCGAAGAAAATAGACCGTGCCACACGCACTGTGTATCGGAGAGGCTTGCGGCGGCCCTCGACACGAACGAAACCCGCCCCCGCGCCACTACGTCGTGTCATCTGAACCTCAGTCAAGTCTTGCTCGTCGCAGGTCCAGAGGAACACCGGTTCTCGGGTTTGTAAAGACGCGCAATTCTCTCAAGATGGTCTATGTGATGCACTCGACACATTTGCTCCTTCATTTCATACGTTTGTGATGGTATATTTCGTCAATGCTAACTAAAACACAGTCCATTATATTCATCTCGAGTCTTGGCCACATTTTGGTATTGACATGGCAAGAATTTGTGCTCACAAGGTGGGCTTGCGGCTTGTCGAGGCTGTGGTACTGACCGGAGAATTGGGGCTCTCATATGTGACGATTCTGTGGACATAGCCTCACGGGTTGGCCGCATCGGCTCGAGCCGGCCAAGTGGCGATCGAGATGGATTACTGCCGGAAACAACCCTCAAAAATGAGATCAAGCATCAACACCACAATCTCTCGACCCTTGGAGCATTCGGCGGCTAGATAGCGACTCAAGTCACTGACCCGCTGTCGGGGCGTTGTTTGGACCCTAAGTACAGGGGTGATGGGACTGCAGAGAGGCTCCATGTTTGGAAGACATGCGAGGCACGATCCTCATGCGCTCGATAGACATAGCCATCGAAATCAGTGTCAGCAAGGACGCCGCTCTGCTCAGTGTCGGATAACGATCACCATCTATCTGTTCGACTGCACCGACAGTGGACTCATGTTTGAGTAGTTGACAATAGCCAAGCAATTGGAGTATTAGTCACACTCGAAAGATGAGAGGCTATTTCCTGGGAGCTACTTGGGTCAGTGCCTAGGTTTATGGGATTTACTGCGTCTGGGCTTCCGTTACATCGCGATGGTATCGCTAATCCATCATCCATCGTCGGCATGGAGAAGCCTCTTTCTTGTGCAACGACGGGGTCATTTTAGGGGTCGCATGTGGCTTTGATGCCGAATCCGAGCCCTTTGCGCCATATCTCTGGACACTTCTCGGATGGTTTCCTGAACTCACTGCTACCGTCGGGAACAAAATGGCAGAGGACTCCATCTTTTACTTGCTGCATAAAAATCGGTAAGGATTCTGTCAGGGATGGCTGGGTAGTGCACAGTTGATCACGGACTCAAGGCTGTCCCTGATGTTGTGCGGATGCTCATCATGGCATCATGCTGGAACATTACACCGGCAATTTTATAGGAAGGATACAAGAACCACACTAGTCGGCGTATCATGGCGAGGCAAGGCAAGGCAAGGGATCGGCAATACCAGCTGTCTTAACCCTGGACATTTTTGAAGAGGTAGATTCGTTAGTAAGGCATGCACAGAACAAGAAGTTTGATAGAGCCCTTTGCTTATCCAATTGGATTAACTCTGATTGCGGCTTGCGGACGTGGGTTTAGCTAGTGCACGTCTCGACAACGAGCAAACCAAGACGTCCTGGCTTTCTCGCTTCTCCACACACCGCGACTCACTTCTTGTACCTGCGGACAAACTCAACATGACCGCCGATGACGATTTATCTGACCTTTCGTCGTTGTCGTCGCTATCGCCAGTGCCGTCGGACGTTGAGCTGGATGGCAATAGCGATGACGCGACGGCCAAGTCCAAGTCCGGCATCCTGAAGTTCTTTCCGAAGCTATCAGAGCAGCCGCCCAAGGAGCCATCGCCACCACCACGTAAACGGTCACCCTCACCACCACACGAATATGTTCTTGCTGACAATCCTGATATCGCTGTAAGTAGAAGAAAAAAAATCGTCTTTTTCTGCAGCGTTGAGGCTGCATCTGGTCGTTGCCATCTGGTGGCGCGAGAGTCGCGTAGATGGCTACCCACGACGCGAATATTCGCGTGCTTAAACGTTCCGAGGTGGTTAATCGGCTAACTCAGCAGCAGTTCATTGTCATGTTTAGGAGTCGATTTAGCGACGCTTTCTCGAAGTCCTTGGCTCATTTTGGGCCGCAGGAGCTTGAACGCGATGTTGTCGAGCCTATTCCGGGCGACCGAGTGGAACACTTTCTGTGTGCAATCCTGGGCTTGCTCTTGAACCGAAAGCAGGATGTCAAGTAAGCCAATCAACTGAATCCCTCGTGTTGAAATATTTCTGATTCGAAGTTATTTTGTCCGACTCGCAGGCTGGGGCATTATGGCAGAGCATTGGAAGATGCGATCACGTCGCACAAGAACCAGTGGCCTGCTTCCTGGAAAGACAAGAACCCGTTGTCAGGCGGTGCGACATTCAACTCAATGACACCCACTGAGCGAGTATGTGTGCTATCAGTGTTCATGGAATTCATGTTACTAACGTGGCGTAGCTAACGCTGTTACGCACCCTCATCCTTTGGGCAATGGCTTCCTCCGACACTGTCAAAGGTCTGATTAATCAGGCATACAAACAAAACCGTCAAGAAGACGATTTGAACCAGCCTAGATCAGTACAACCCTGGGGATCTGATGGAGACAAGCGTCGATATTTCTTGATCGAGGGACAAGATGACACGAATTTTCGGATATATCGCGAGGGCAACCCGGCCGCCACAAACAGAACTTGGTTCAGTGTTGCCGGTTCGATTCAAGAACTCAAAGCCCTCGCAGAGAAACTTGAAACTAGAGATGGTGGCCCAAAGGCGAAGAAGCTGAGCCAAAAAATGCTGCAAGTCGTTCCTCGGTTTGAAGCGGGTGAAGAGGTAAGAGCTCTGTCGGAACAACTCCCTGAACCGTCATTAAACCGCGCGGTTGCGGTCTAGTTATGGAGAAAAAGTTTGGAGGATTCTAGGCTAAAACTGGTCACAGAAACGAAAGCGTCGTGAATATCGCCAGATGCGAAAGGAGCAGTTCAAACGGCCAGAGCCAGGATTCTCCATGTACGAAGGTCGTACACGCGGCAAGCGAATCAAGTACACGTACTCGGATGATGAGGACGGCTTCTTTTCCGACTCTACAGGCTACAAGCGATCATCTCGCAATACGGGGGCCAACACTCCTGCAGAGACTGGGCCAGTCACAACGTCCAGTGGCAGACAAATTCGGGCTCCGCCACGGCTCAACATGGTGGCGGATGATAGTGCTCCTGGAAGTACCCGAGGCGAAAATTCCGAACTAGAACATGATGATTCAATTGCAGCATCCGGACGGCCAAGCGGCCCCGCAGCATATCAGGATACAAACGGCTGGTCGAAGCATAACTCCGGGGGTGATGGCAGCGACGAGGAAAGCGAGGCCGAATTCGGAGACGATGAAGAGGACGCCCATGTGCCCGAAGAGTCTGAGTCTGAGGATGACTTTGATGACGAAGAAGCCATGGTCGAGGATGATCTTGATGATCAACGCCAGAGTTTAGTTGTGAAGCTCTCCGTCACCCCGCCCAATCTGAGAACAGTCCTATCTCCAATCGATGAAGGTCCCAACATGCTTCCCACTCCAGACACACAGGATTGGAAAGTCGATGCCACAGTCCAGGAGACGCGAACAGTTGAGATGCAGGATGCACCGGCGCCAGAAGCACATTCTATCCCACTGGACCAGATCATGACAGAGCAGACTCAAACAAGCTCAGCGGATATCGCGGAAAAGATGGATGCAATTCGGGTCCCGACTATTTCTGCCATTTCCTCCACACCCTTGGCTTTTCGAGGGAGCCCTGAAAAGACACATGCTCAACTAGCATCACCATCTGGCGATTTCAACGACACTAATTAGCGGAGTTTCATGGCGTTGGGGAAACTTTTTTTTCAATGGAGTTGGAAGGTTCGGAAAGCTATATCTGTGATTAGAGTATACATGTACTATTTGACGATGCTTGCCTTTCCATTGAGGAGACGGATGGAACGGATATGATCTGGCTACGTGGATGGCCAGGTAAAAGTCTAGAATGTGCGCCTGAGTCAAAGGCGGAAACCCTGATGGCGTGCCGCGGACAATACATGACGGGAGGTAGTTCTGGGGTTTGATACATTTTCCCTGCATGCAAACACATCGACGCAAAAGCTTGCACTCAGAGAAGGGGCGTATCATCTCCCAAGGACAATGATCAACGATGCATGAAACGTTACAACAGAAGTCAAGAAGATTGGATTAAATTGATCTAGCCAAGGCTGCTACAACTTTTGTTTGGGTATCGTCCAGTCGTTAACGCCATACCACCACCTCCGTACTCGCGAGCCGGCTGTGTTGCCATGTAGCTTGGCCGTTCTGTTCCAATGTTGCCAGCCGCACAATAGCAAGTTATATACAAGACCTTGTGCCAATGGCATCACAACCTAGTACACGGCGCATTGCATTGTCAGCTCAACGGTCGTCACAAGAACCCATCATCTCGTCTCTGAAAGACCCGACGATGAGGCCGAAGCTTACCTGATCTCTTGCCGTGACAAGCAGCACCTTCCACCAGGTATCGGCATTAGCAATGCTTCTTAGGTAACTCTGTTCGAATCGCAAGTCTGGTAGAGCAGGAAGACGATGTGACTTGCGAGCAGGGTGTAGAACACTGTAGGGTATGTCTTCCCCGTCGTCCTCGATGCCGTTTAGAAGATCGTCCTCGCTGAGACGGGGACTCTGGAGGGTAACTGGTTCCCGTTTATCTACCGCTGTGGAGGGCGCCATGTCGAAGTTGACGTCGGGGTGGGATCTGATGTGGCCGACTTGGATGGTCTCGGCCACCTCTGTTGGGAGGGAGTCCATCTCGGCGGTGGGTGAAGGAGCCGCCGGGATTGAACAGCACTGTGGAGGGTTGCTTTCGAGGAATGGCCCGTTCTGCGGATGACACGGGCTCTATTTGTGGCAGAGCAACATGGCGAAAGATCAGCTTGGTTGAATCAACGTGCCGGTACTCCGTAGGCTGTAGCAACAATTCCGGCTCCGGGGAGGTCCGTTGCGGCGTGGCGCGTCGGTAATGCCGGGCGGTGAATCTGGGTGGGTGTGGGTCGGATCCAGGTGCGGGAAGCCCAGGAGGCGCATGTACGGCATAAGCGAGGACAAGGCTGAAAGGTCTGGGGACTCTGGGTGTTGGGAAAGGTCGAGTAACTTAGTAAAGCAAGTTGAGTTGTGAGCGATCCCGAGTAATCAACGCGGTCAGGTCCACGACTGGGCTGCGGCCAACGATGCAACGATGTTGGCTGGGCGCAATATCAAACTTTGGCCTCTGACATACGGAGTAGTTTCCAAGGTACTCGGTACTCCATGCCTGAGGGCTTAAAAGACGTGTTGTGTGGCACGACCTTGGCGTTGCGAGCCCACCAGTGGCACCACCAAGTAAAGTTGCCAACAGGCGGCCAGCCAGGCGTTCAAAAGTACCGAGTACCGCCCCCCCCCCGTAGTTACTCCGTAACTAAAGTACAGTCTGGCCAACTCTAGCGCACTTGGTAAAATTCTCTTGGCCTTGAACAAAACTCGAAACTTTGGCTCCGGCATCTTACCTTCTCCCAGCCTCTTTGCGAGCAGCACATCGCCCACCCCCGTCCGACTTGCCTACTCAAGTACCCTTTTCTTGTTTGCTGCTCCAAGGACGAGTTTTCCTGCTCCGCGGGACCAAACTAAATATTTTGTTCGCAACGTCTAGAATCACCGCTACCACAATGTCTGAGGCGCAAGCGAACGAGGCCGAGAGAAACGTGAGTGAGTTCCCGTGCCAACCAATCCATGGGACAAAAGGAGGAGAAAAAAAAACCCTCTGGTCGGTTACAGCGGCGACCAGCCCCTCCTCATTTTGGCTCCCGTTGGCTCTGCCCCTCTCTGCCGTCCGCCGTCCGCCGTCCGCCGTCCGCCTTGGTCGACTTGTGTGCGGTTGGCGCTGCCCCGCCATGGCAGCGAAACGTCGCCAAGGACCATCTGGAACCAAGAAACAAACAAAACTGTAGTGCAGGGTATCAGGCTGACAATGACTGTACTGGTAGATCGAGATCTGGAAGATCAAGAAGCTCATCAAGCGTCTTGAGGCTGCCAGAGGAAATGGAACCTCCATGATTTCCCTCATCATTCGTATGTCCCCCTCGCCAGGCTGCCAACAGCTGACTTTCCCTGTTCCTGTACTGATGTAGCTCGAAACTTCAGCTCCAAAGGACCAGGTTTCGCGTGCAGCCAAGATGTTGGCCGAAGAATACGTAAGTCCGACACGCCTGCTGTAAATAAAGGCCTTCAGCTCAAACTGTAGCCCTGCGCTAACATGCACATGCCTCCTTAGGGTACTGCGTCGAACATCAAGTCGCGTGTGAACCGACAGTCCGTTTTGTCCGCCATTACCTCGACTCAGAACCGTTTGAAGCTGTACAATAAAGTTCCTCCCAATGGCCTGGTCATCTACTGCGGCGAAATCTTGACCCAGGAAGGAAAGGAGCGAAAAGTCAACATTGACTTCGAGCCTTTCAAGCCCATCAACACCTCGTTGTATCTTTGCGATAATAAATTCCACACCGAAGCCCTGGCTGAGCTGCTCGAGTCTGACCAGAAGTTTGGCTTCATTATCATGGATGGTAATGGCGCTCTTTTCGGTACCCTGAGTGGAAATACCCGCGACATCGTCCACAAGTTTTCTGTCGATTTGCCCAAGAAACACGGACGTGGTGGTCAGTCCGCCCTGCGTTTTGCCCGTCTCCGTGAGGAAAAGCGTCACAACTACGTCCGCAAGGTCGCCGAACTCGCTGTGCAGAACTTCATCACCAACGACAAGGTTAATGTTGCTGGCATCGTTCTTGCTGGTTCTGCCGACTTCAAGAATGACCTGAATGCCTCTGACATGTTCGACAACCGTCTTCAGACAAAGGTTATCAAGGTTGTCGATGTTTCATACGGCGGTGAGAATGGATTTAACCAGGCCATTGAACTTTCTTCCGAGACTCTTGGAAATGTCAAGTTCATCCAGGAGAAAAGGCTCATTGGCAAGTACTTCGAGGAAATCAGCCAAGACACTGGCAAGGTGTGCTACGGTATCGACGATACTCTGAAGGCTTTGGAGCTTGGTGCCGTCGAGACTCTCATCATTTTCGAGAACCTCGAGATTACTCGCTGGGTTTTGAAAGATAGCAATGGCGAAGAAGCGATTCTGCATCTGTCAAAGCAGCAGGAACAAGCCAACCGCGACAAGTTCTTGGATTCCGCTACCGGTCAAGAAAAGGAAATTGTCTCTCAGGAGTCTTTCCTTGAGTGGATCGCTGAACACTACAAGGACTTCGGTGCTAATCTGGAATTCGTGTCGGACCGTTCAACCGAGGGTAACCAATTCGTCAAGGGCTTCGGTGGTATCGGCGGCATTCTCCGCTACAAGGTCAACTTTGAACAGCTGGCCGATCTGAGTGACGATGATGAATATTATGACGACTGACCTGCGGATCCCCTCGTGGCGAGCGAGGGACCTGCTCAAGTTGAACCGTCTGCACAAAACGAGGATGATGTACGCCAGGACGACGACGACGCCGTGCCGAAACCGACCAATGCCGCGCCGCTGTCATTTGCTCAGAAGCGCTTGATGCGAAATGCCGAGACTGGCACTTCGACGCAAGGCCACAAGGCGTCGCGACCAAGTCCACTTCGTTCAATGATGACGGCTACTTGAGCTGATTGATTTGGTAGAACCCAAGGTAAGGTGCTGCTGTCCCTCGCTTGGTTCGCTTGCTATCAGGGTCATTCCAGTCTCACACGGAACAAACGTTGCAGGTGCTAGGTGCTACCTGGAATATCCGAGGCAAGGTTGATTGAATGGCGCGTCGAAAAGAGAGCAGCTTGTAACGAAAAAGGTCAAAATGATTGTTGAAAACTGCTCCCGAACCGCTTCTCCCATCGTGTCAGAAAAGGCTCGTGGGGCGGTATGACCCTTACCTTTTGAACTATGCGTATGCCCAGTTTTACCACTGGTCTCAAAATTGCTTTTAGCAACCCGGCGAGTAACTGCCTATAGAATCACATAGCCTTCATAATTATAGTCGCTCTTTTTGTTCTTCTTTGATTGAATTGAGTCCGGTTGTTGCTAGGTATACGAGACGAGGCGGCTACTGGGTGTCACGGTGGGTCTGTTGTCTCGGTTCTCTTAGGTACTTAGGTACTTAGTAGGTACTTAGGTTCTAGTACTGGGAATCCAAGTATCTAAGTACCTACCTACCTACCTGAGGTAGGTAGATACCTGGGTCATTCTATTACTATGGGCACCTACGTCAAGCTGCGTCTCCAAATGTCTTTTGTCCCTCAACAATATTCCTTCATCTCAACCACGGACCACGATCGTATATTCCACGAGTCCCGCGGTGCTCCGGAGCACAGGTAGCGGTGCTGGTGGAGAGACTCGCATCATATTCAGCCTGTCACTATGGCTTTGACCGCGCCGGTCGTAACGACTGGTCCGCCTCAGCCGACTGATCGTGGTGTGCCAGTTGGACTTAATGAAGCTGCTCTCGACTCACCGACGTTCCGCGCAACCGCCATCCACTTTACCGACCAGATTGAAGCTGTTGAGAAATGGCTCAGCGGCTACGTGAACTCAACTGCCAAGTTCGCCCACGAGATCCAGGGACTTGAGGATACCATCAACGCATATTTGACCAAGACGATGCCGTCGGCCGCCGACGGCATCATTGAAAATGATTACGCTTTCCTGGCCTTGAAACGAGTCGGCGATGGCCGAAGAGAGTGTTGGCAACAGATAATTGGTAGCGTTAAGAGAATGGATGCTGCTGTTATTGATCCTATTCGGAGCTTTCTCGGCGGCGATATGCGAAATTTCAAGGAGATACGGAGGATATTAGAACAATCGCAAAGGGCTTACGACTCGACTCTTGCGAGATATGTGGGCCAGTCAAAAACAAAGGAGCCCTCGGCCCTTCGCGAAGATGCCTTCTCCGTATATGAGAATCGAAAAGCGTATATCCAGGCCTCGCTAGACTACTGCCAACTAGTCCCGCAGCTCCGGCTCGCTACGGATAAACTATTGGTCAAGGTGTGCAATGAGATATGGAAGGACATGACCCGGTCGAGAGACGCCGTAGTGAATGCTACCAGATGGACTCGGGAGATGGATCGTGTACGGGGATGGGCCAAGGAAATGGAGGCTTCAGAAGGCGTCTTTCGCACGGAGCTGCAGGCTGTGAGAAGGGCACTAGGGGAGACGACACTGGAGGGCTTCAAACCTTCGAGAGAGCTCGAAGAATACAGCGCATCCACGGTGCCGTTTTTGGGCTCGCGAGGGCCGCTCAATTTACGACCCAAGAATGGCACTGCGGTCGTATCAGAGAAACAGGGCTGGCTGTTTTTGAGGGCAATTTCAGGCAAACCCGTTCGATACACTTGGACTCGGAGGTGGTACTACTGCCGCGATGGCGTCTTTGGCTGGTTGGTGCCCGGGGCCCAGGGAGTACTCCAAGGTGATGAAATTGGCGTTTTGCTTTGCAATGCGAAGCCTGCAGTTGCTGAGGAGCGACGCTTCTGTTTTGAAGTCAAAACAAAAAACCAGACCATGATGCTGCAAGCCGAGAACCAGAGGGAGCTCATGGAATGGCTTGAAGTTTTTGAGGCCACCAAGAAGAAGGCTTTTGAAGCAAGCATGGGCAACAATGACAAGTCTGTTGCAGGTGGAACTGACCCAGCCTTTTCGATACATCCTCCAAGTGCCCCAGAGTTTTCAGCCAAAGCCTTCGATAATCCGGCCGCCGCCGCCGTCGATGACGCTGGTGTCGGGTTTGATCGGGGCACTTCGCTTCACATTCCCGGACAGGACGCACATGTTGGAACTCGACACAGTGTTGACGTTAACAATGCAAGCCTGGGTCGGCGCTCCTTTAGTGCACTGGGGAGAGATTTGGCCCGAGAAGACGACGAAAGCAGGCGAGAACATGCTGCAAGAATCATTCAAAGATTGGACCTACATAGAAAATCGACGTTTGGAGCTGGCGTTGAGCCGGTGCCGCTGAGCCCGGGCATGCCGAACAACGGTATTGCGAGTCTCATATCTGCCAGCCATAACCTGCTGCCAGCTCGCCCGGGTATGCAGGTATCTGCTAGCAGCCCCAGGCAACATTCAGGACTTCTGCCATCGCCGGATATCCCTCTGGGATCTCTCGCTCCACCGACTTTGGCCAAACCGCCGGCTACAACAAGTCTTAGTCGAGCGGCTGTGCTTTTGAGCGCGGAGAAACGTTCTGTTTCCAACGGCCGGAAGTTGCCGACGTCGATCGTGGCGAATTACTGGGGCAGTAACGTCTGGGCTACGATTAATACGCCTGAGCAGCCTGTTTTGCCAAGACGCGACGACGACGATCCAATCGGCGTGGTTTTGGCACAGAACTCAGAGACTAGTCTTCCCGGCGCTGGTAGCCAAGGCCGTGCTGACTGTTCACTTCCACGCAACTATCCCACGGAGCTGAGGGCTCAAAATGCCCAGTTTCGCCTGCTCTTCCCGAATGCACCGCTAGGAGAGAACCTGGTGTTGGTCTTTCGCGCGGCGTGGTCGAGTTCCAAGGCACGCGACTCACCAAGTCATATCCTGGCCGGAGACGGTAGGATCTACGTCACACCTGATAACATGTACTTTTACAGCCAACAGATGGGTCTTGTCACGGCGTACAGCATCGGTCTTGACACAATTACGGAAGTGACAAGTGCTGCCGGGAGGGACTGTGACTTTGTTTTCCTGCATCTTGGCCAAGACACAAACGACACGGGCTACACCCGCATTACTATCAAGGTGTTCTTGGATGACATCCACCTTCTCCATACCCGCTTGAACCTACTGGTAGATAACTTGCAAGCCGAGGAACCCATGGACACGCAAGATATCATTTCAGCGCTGATCAACGTTGAGAAGGAAGAATTTGAGCGGCCCAGTCCCGGTGCCGAAAGCTGGGAAGGCGCCTCGCTGAGCTCGCCAATGGGTGATGGTACATCTTCCGGCCCGCCACTACCAAGGAGCCAGCATGAAGAGGGATCTCATCCCCAGCTGCCCAGGTCGTCGCCGATTCGAGCTCCCGGAAAGTTACATCTCCCATCACGACCTGTCGTGTATGAGCCTGAGAACATGACACAGGTAGCTGCCGAACGGCACTTCGAAATAAGTGCCAAGGCGTGCTTCCACGTGCTCTTTGGTGATAAGAGTTTTGTCTTTCCCAAGCTCTACTTTGAACATCGAGCGCAGCAGATTGCGCAGGGACCTTGGGTGCTGGTCGACCAGGGACAGATGCGGCGAGAATTTCGCTTCAAAGTGGACTGTGTTGATATGCTTGGTCGGAAGAAGCCGGAGGAGGTTGTCGACTACCAGATCATTGACGTGTACAGCGATCATGTCACGTACGTTGTGACCCATATCAAAACAGCATGGCATTTGCCTCATTCGGGTAGCTTCAAGCTGGTGACGAAAATCGTCATTACGCATGTGGCAAAATCTAAGTGCAAGCTCGCTGCCTACGTCAGGATTGACTGGTCGAAAGCGCCAGCACTGTCCAAGAACTTGGTCGAGCGGCAGGCTCTGTATGATGCCGTTAATGATGCGGAAGAAATGGCGGAGCTGGCAACTGATCAAGTTCGTAAGCTGGGACCTCGAAGCCGAACGAACAGAGCCATCCAGGTGTACGGCCATGTTGGCCAACAGACGCAGGTTGTCGTGTTTTCACCAGCGGCTGCGGAGTCGAGCAAGAAGCAAGCGATCAAGCCGCGAACGCTGACGGCGATGCTTTTCGAAACGTTTAGGTCCTTCGGGGAGAGCGCAGTCTCCTCACTGATCATGTGGGCCTTTGCCGGGTTGAAGAAACTCTTTGGCGTCATCACAGGGCACCGGGTCATGGTATTCCTTTTGGGTCTGAGTGCCCTGTTCAACTTGCTGCTGACGTCGGCGGAGTCTTCAACCTGGTGGAAAGAGCGCAGCGCGGCAAGATTCATGCGGCGGATCGGGGTAGGTCCCAATCCAATGATGAGCAAAGCAATTTACTTTGCAGACTTGGACGAAGCAGCTGGCGCAAACGGGCACGCACTGCAGTTTCCCAAGAACAGCACATGCTTCAGTACGTACAAGAAGATCTTGGACACAAGTGAGGTTGACAATCCGTGGGAACAAGCCGGAGCCACGCTCTCATCGCCGCTGAGTCGAGCCACTGCGCGGAGACTGCGAAGAACGAGGCAGCGTCTGGGATCATACCGTCACGACCTGATGGTGGCGATGCGCGTAGTCAACAGCATAGAGAGGGAGATGCTGCAGTCTGAATGGGAAAACTGGCTAATCGATGAGAAAGGGCTATGCGACGACCTCGACCTGGTGCTGGTGGGCGAGGGCGAGGACGAATCAGCCAAGGGCGGCTCATCGAGTCAAAAGAGGATGGGATCATTGACGGGAAGCCGGAAGAAGGCACTGCAGAAATGGAGAGATGATTACTGTGGCAGCTGTCGACGGGAATATGAATCTGTCATGAAGGAGAGAATGGTAACGGGGGTGTAACTTGATATGAGTGACGGACGGGACGGGAGGCGCTTTGTCTGTCGTACATGGATCGAATGGGATTGGCCTTGTTTTTTCTAGTATTCCTATGTCAATCTATACCTTTTCCTTTTCCTCCCAACGGGGAGTGGAGTAGCAATGGCTTGCATCATGATTGTTACTAGGTGGACGTTGATTACTATGCCATGCATCGGTGGCGTGTACTAGGCATTGGCTTCTCGATGAGAATAGATGCTCAAGTTGGCTCGGCGCATCATGATCACGAGTTTATGAGTGTGTCTGCCACGGGAAGAGCTCGGGATGTTGTGGCGCAGTTGATCCCCAGACAAGACGGCAAGTAGTCATGCCGTCATGACAGTTGGCGGGCAAGTGAGTGGAAAGGAAAGTTTTAAAGTGGTGACGGCGACACGATGGTATCGTGTAACTTACGTGTGTAAATTCTACACTGTACGGCAAAGTGCGGGGTGCGGCGTACGGAGTGGTGCGCTGACTAACAGCATGGACTTGGCGGGCCCCACGGAGCACGGCAGCACGTGACGTGACGTCAAAGAAGCCAGCCGAAACTCAGGTGCCGCGCCCTTTGACCTTGGTCGAGCCCGCGCCCGGTTCCGAGCTTGCTCAGCCATCAACCGGAACGCCGGGCCGCACCACGACACCTTTGGCAGCAGCCTGGACCGGTGATCGGTGATCAAATCATCCGCCACCCGCTCTCCGAGCCATGTAATCTGGGCTGGCGCCCGCACCTCGTGCCCTCCACGCCCCGACGACTTTTCACCTCTTCATATCGACTTCTCCTGGACACCACCACCGACCCACGACCTAGCCGCCGAGAGAGCCCGCTCAGGGCATGTCGCTGTCGTGACCATCGTTTCCGTGGCGTCATGACGAGTCATCATGAGCCGTTGAAGGCCCTAGCGCCCATCGATTGGAACGACGTACCATGTCGAGACCGTCAGTCTTTCCTAGAAAATGCATTCAAGCAGGCCCAAATCGTCATCGACTCAGTCCCTCGGACCGTGACGCCCGCCGCAAAACCAACTCCGACCGGACGAGCCCGAGCAAAGACCGATTCGGCCGTTGTGTACACGGATATCCAACGCTCACTGTCGTCACACCAGTCGCCCGCTGCTGCAGCTCTATCTGCACAGCTGCGAAAGGAATGGAAGGAGATCAAGACAAACCCAAAAGACAACCCCTTGGCCATCAGTGTGTACCGGCTCGCCGGAAAAGATGGCAAGGGCGCGTGGTTTGCTAGGCGCAGTGTCCACGAGGGCCTGACATTTGAGCAGTGGAAATCAGGACTCGAGAGAGAGTTCGCCGAGACCATCAAGGCGTCTGGATCACCGGGAAGCGGCAGCATCCGCGGAATTGGCGCTGATAGAAATGTTGAGCATCACGACGTCGTGGATGTCGGCCATGTTGACGGTACTTGATCATCCCCCCCCGGGGACATTTGCATTCAACTTTGCTTACTACTGCTCCCCACCACAGTGTTTCAACTTTCTGCCCAATTTCCGGGGCCAACCGCACCGCGCGACTTCATCACGCTACTCCTCACATCCGACTTTTCCCATGTGAAGCCTGACCAACAGCAACAACCAGCGTTGCGGCAATACATGGTCGTGTCGAGGCCGTGTCTTCACCCAGACTGTCCTCCTCGCCAGGGCATAATCCGAGGACAGTACGAATCAGTGGAAATCATACGAGAAGTCCTCATCAATGGTGATGCTGCTACGTACAAGAGATCGCTTTCTTCGGGTCATTTGTTGGCCGACGACAGTCGCAAATCCACATCAGCTAGGCGGTCTAGCGATGACTTCCAGACAACTCGAGCTATCGAGTGGCTAATGGTGACGAGGAGCGATCCTGGTGGTAGCGTGCCGAGGTTTCTCATCGAGAGAGGGACTCCACCGGGCATCATTGGCGACGCAGCAAAGTTTCTGAGATGGATCTCATCCACAACCCTCAAAGATGGCACCTTTCGCCCTGATCAAGAGACCAGTCAGGACAATCAGAATGACAGGAACACGGGCAGTGGCAGTGTCATCGACGGAAACACGCCGGCCGTTGTAGCCAGCCATGATGCCGCAACAACCTCGCAAGATGTGTCGCCGAAGAGCAATCTAGATGGCCAGGATGACGAACAAGGATATGGCGAATGGATCCCGAGCAGCACCGGCTTGTATGGGATAATCGGCGGTGCATTCGGTGTCGCGAGTTCAATTGCTTCTGGGCTGCGGTCGCAATTCAGCAACCCCCTGAGCTTCAACAGCAGCCAGGACAGCTTGGCAGATGGCCAACTCATGCCTCGAGAGGACGGAGACGACGACGCATCGCAAAGCGACGCGACTTCCACTCGCAGCTTTACATCGGCACTAGATAAAGCCCTGACGCCCAGAGGCCCGGACAGCTTGACCGACAGCATCTCGGAAGAGTCGAGGCTGCAACGGCTCCAACCAGCGGAGAAGGATCTCCAGAAGCTTGTGGACCGCCACCAAAAGATAGAAAGGAATCTCAATCAGTTCCGGGAGCGGATGGAAACAAAGCGCCTCGGCGAAAAGGAAAAGGACGCCGCGTCGCAAGCTAAACTCCGCGAGAGACACGACAAGGAAATTGCCAAGCAAGAGGCCAAGTACAAACGCGAGATGCGGAAGCTCGAGGAGAAGCGTGAGCACGAGCAACGAAAGGCCGAGGCGCGGAGGAAAAAGGCCGCCGAGAGGCAAGAAAAGTCGAGCCTGACGCTGGAGTTGGAGAAGGTGAGAGCGGAGAGGGACGTTTCCACGAAGCAGATTGAGCTGCTGCGCGGCCAAGTCGGCGAGCTCCAGGCGCAGAACACCATGCTCGTCGCGAAACTGGGACGTATGGGCGCGTTGAACAGGGAGGACTCGTCATCTTCAAAGACAAATTCTATCAAGTCGATGAAATCTTGATTAGGCCCGCGCCTCCTTGCACGATACGAGGCGTGTGGGCGTGCAAGTTTATGGAGCCGAGTCGGTTGGTTCAGAAGTCGACGATGGGACAGACAGACACTTGTGTACGACGGACAATTCACGTCGTCGCAGCACACGCTGACCGGCATGGCGCAACGGACTGGCAAGCACTTGAGTCCTTTCGGCACGTAGGCTCTTCTTTCTGGGTCTAGTCTTTTGTCACGTAACCAATTCTATGCATGCGAGTACGCCTAAATGCCCTAGATGTGCATGTCTGTCCACGCTTCTGTCAGTAACTTGGATACCCGCGTGCTGCTCGATCGCAGGGCCCCCTTTGCCGACGCCACGGCATGTTCCAGTTCTGCGCGCTCGACTTTCCTGCCCAGCGCCACAGAGCACCGGATCAAACGATGGCAAATGGCAAACACGGCCGGATTCGAGGCCCAGCCCAAGGGCCCGTCCTCCAGGTCGGCAAGTTTGCCCACGTGCGCAACGCCTTCTTCGACCCAGCGCACCAGCTTGCCCAAGTGCTCGTCCTTTTCATCCCATTCGAGTGTCTCGAAGACCTCGGCCCACCGCTGCGTCTCGCGCACCTCGTCGATGAACAGATTGTGCTCCTCCACTACGAAGAGCGAGTCATCGAATTCAAGAGCCCGCGCCAGCTCGACCGCTGCTGGCTCCCAACTCTCCAGCTTCGTAGCCTGCACGCCAAAGTATCCGACTAGACGGTCTGCCACGATTGCTCGGAACTCGGGAGCGGCGCCGAACTGCTTGGTGAGGCGTTGCAGAAGGCGGTTCGCTGCTTCGATAGGGACCAGGGCGGCGCCGATGACGGAGTTTGCGGCCAAGGAGGCCATGTCGCGGACTTCGTCGTCGTCGTCGTTCAGGAGGTCGTAGAGGGCGAGAAGAGCGGGGAGAAATTCCGGACCTCTCGGCCGTGAGGCGGCGAAGAAGGAGGCGAGGGATGAGGCGGCTGCGAAGCGAGTGTCGAATGTCTACATTGTATAAGATTAGCACATCGTCACCAACCATGGCGGATGGTCCTGGAGGGGGCCGTTGATTGTAACCTTGTTGTCTAGAGCGGCGTCGGCCATGATGCGGCCCCAGGAATGGATGCTAATGGGTGTAGATTTCTCAGGGTGGATGAGAGCTGCGGTTATTGAGCCGCTCGCTCTTATGGCCGCGTTTGACAGAGCCGGGCTCATCGGACGAGCGGGTAGGCTCAGCCATAAATTGACCAAGGCGGCTTTGGGGATCTTGTTGGAGCCCTTGTTCTTGAGGAGCTTGTCGATGATGTCGGCTAGACTTTCGAGGGCGAGTACTTGGGCTTCTGAGTGGTTGGTTTCTAGACACACGTTGACGTATAGAAGCGATAACGAGGCCAGAGTATCCTGTGAACATGACGACGGATCCCATACTTTGGGGATGGTTTCGAGAGCGGCGACCAGCCCGCCGAGGCCGATTTCTCGACTTTGAAGAAGGGACTGGAGTTGTGACATGGGATCGTCGAGTGTGGATAGGGCGCACACATCGTAAATGGCCTTTTGGATTTTGAGCAAAACAGATCCTCTCATTCTGGGCATGGTGATACTGAATGAGGAGAGTGGGTGCCGGCTTGTCGCTTCCAAGAACCAAATCATGTTCACGACTTCAAGATATGTGGCGGTGATGTCGGGACAGTCCGGGAAGAGTGTGTCTACCTTGGTCCGGATAAGAAAGGAGCGAAGCTCGGGAAGATCAGCTGAGCAGTAGAGTCAGTTTGTTATTACTCGAATTCATAGTGTATGAAGATACATACCAAGCAGTCGTTCATGAGCAACTTCGTTTAGCCTCTCGGTGACAAACTTCAAAGTCAGGAATATTCCGTGAACATGGTTGGGCTTATTCCTCGATTCGCTGGCCATTGCGGCATCGAATATGCCTCTGATTACCGCCAGCCACTTTTCATGCAGAAGACAAGAGCAAAGCGTACGCGCTGCCATGTCGCGAACATGCCACACAGGGCTGGACAAATATGCTGCCACATCAACTTGAATTTCGTCCCGGAGCAGATCAGGAGGCCCGGCTCTACGGATAATGTCGAGGGCAGGAAATACAGACTCTGCAGCTACGGTGCCAGAAGCAGACGGCTCAGACAGGATCCTGCGCCCAGATTGAAGGAGGTTTTTGAGCACGCCAGGCAGGTTGGGGTATCTGTGGTAATGAATCCGGTTTGCCTTGCCGTCCCACCCAGCTTCAATCACAGCCTTGCTTTCATGGGTTCCGAACAGGTTGTCAATAAGGCTTCGCAGAAATATGAGGCCACAGTTCCGGATGGCCCATACCCCGGATCGTAGTCCGCTGGCCGCAAGTTCCAGACACTGGGGCAAGTAGGACTCGGACTTGTTTCCCTGCGCCGTAATGAGGGAGTTTTTGAAAATGTCTTTGAGGCAGTTGTATGCGTGAACCTGAGGGAGCTTGGATCCATCGGCTTGCGAGACCTTGGCTTCCTTGGCTGCAATGGCCATGAGCGTGTCCATGACTTGCGCGAAACTAGGGCGAGGGGCGTTAGCCGCCAGGATTCCAGTGATGATTGATGGAATCCCTGCGGATCGGCGCGTCGTCGATGCTTGTGAGTAGATTGCGTCTAGGGTTCCCTAAGTAAATCAGCAAAAAAAATGTCATGCTACGTTGTGTGTGGTAGCTTCGTGTTTTCTTAGCTAACCTCGTACCAACTATCCAACAGAGGTTTCTCATCCTCTTCCAATTGCAGATATTTCGTCTGCTGGCAACAAGTGGCAAAAGTAGCCGAAACCGTGGTGAATGCGCCTCTATGTCGTAAACTTGCTAGTTGCCTAAAAGTCAGGTTCCCGATTTGCTCGAAAACCTCCTTTGAAGGGACTATCAGGCCATCTCGGGACCTATTTCGTATTGAGAGGATAATGGTGCGCATCAGATTACTGGAATCGACATTAGCAACAGTTCCTACGGCAGCAGTGTATATCGTATATATCGTACCTTGACTCGTGAACAGCACGGAAACTATAACTCAAGAGATCCTTGGTATCCAGTCCATCTACCTCCTCGAGTTCCTGGGGTAAATGTCCTTCAGGAGAGTCATCGCACAGAACATCTTGAACTGCTCCCCATGCCCGCTCACAGCACGATACAATGTCTAGCTGGATGTTGTTCGTCTCGCGCAATTCATATTCGGAGAGTTTGGTGTCAGAAACAACCTGCCAGGTGTGGCATAGTGATGCAAAGTCTCCGTGAAGAGGTGCATCGACGACGGCTTGTCCGAGATCCTCCTCCGCCATGGAAACCTTGCGCTTCAACTCACTGGCCATAGCTGCTAGTAGCCTTATTCTTTCGTCATCAGAGCCAAGAAATCTGTAAAGCAGTTGCGATGATTTCGAGGCGCCATCAGAATGATCGGCTCTGGCTGTCCGACGAGCAAGTTCACTAGCCCGTTGCGACAATTCGGCGACTTCCTGGACGGGTACTTTTGTGGTTTCTAATCCCGTGAGAGTAAGTCGGCGATATCGACCGTCGGCGTAGCATCTCGCCAGAGCGGTCGCCGACAAATCTCTGACGTCTTCGAAGGGATTCATGACCAAATCGAACAACGCTCGCGCCCACTTGGCATCCAGACAATTGAAGAAGAGTTCCTGGTCGTCAGCCGTCTCCCAATTTTTACTCGCATGCCCTTCCAAGCGTATTATGTACATGAATGCCTTTAGCGCTGCAATGTGTCTCTGGTACGAGGCTGTTGGGCTTAGTTCCTGGCAGAGAAACCCAAGGTACCAATGAAGAAACTCGACGTGGTAGCCAAGACAGTTGGTTAATTGAACCTCGGGTAAGGATATCAGGTTTGATTGGTATAGCATAGGCTGCGACGCGGCGTCCTTGCCAAATGGAAGAGGAGCGTCCGCTTTCTGCGCCTTGGCTCGCGCTCGTGGTATACTACGCTTCAGCACGTGAATAGCACCACGAACTCTCCTGAACATGTCGCGAGTCTTGGACGCGACATCAACTCTGAACTTGGCATCTGGATCGGCAAAGAAGGCCCCCAGGTACCTTCTCAGGAGATCAAAAGCCACGGGGGAGTAAGGTCGTGTAGTGGAAGGTGATGTAACAAGTAAGGATAATGCCAGACACCGAACTTCATGAGAGGGATGCGCCAACACGCTCTCCAAAACCGTTTCGTGAAGCGTTATAGACGATTTGTGCTCTGCATGGTCGTTGGAGCCGCCGAGGGCTAATCAAACATTTTATCAGCACACTTCTGTCGAGGCCGAATCAGCCATCCGCGAGACTCACCGGGTTCCTCAACGAGGCCAACTTTCTTCCCAGTCTCCAGTGCCGCCAATTGAAGCAGCGCAGGAACATCCAGGCTCATCCCACTCGCTCCAGAGACTGCCTGGTCCTCATTCATACGTCCAAGGAACGCCAGGGCTTCTGTCCTGTCAGCTTTGAACAAAGGTAAAAAGATATAATTCTTGATAGAATCCAGAAGCGTCGGTTCCTCAGCCAAAAAATCAAGCAGCCATTGATGCCATGTTTCGATGCTAAGAGTTGCCCCTGCATCACTCCTTTGTCTCCAGAGACGGTATAGAGAGACAATCAACTTGCCCGCGGTGGGACGAACGAACTGCAGCCGCATCCAGTGAAATAGTTCCGCAGTCAAGGTTCGCCATACTTTCACTTCATTTTGTGTTTGTAGATCTGTCCGATATGCCACATAGGCCGGGCGAATGTCGCACAGGTTAAATACTCCTTTGGACAGGAAATGATCCAGCGTCTTAATCGCAGACTTTGCAACAGGTTTAGTGGAGCGACCAATGACTATCGAAACGAGATTATCCAAAATATGTCTCTTGGTCTCCAATGCGGCATCTCGATCTGGGCTCTTGAGAATGCACCGAGCAACGAGGTCGAGCACCAGTTTCATGGACCTATGGGTGTCCGACTCATTCCACTCAATGTAAAAGTTGAACAGCTTCAGCGTCACGTCTTGTGAGAAGGCCCATATCCGTAGACTATCAGACTTGGACCCGGAAGACTGCTCGACAAGTCCACAAAGTCTCAGACAGGCCTGCCCGGACACTGATTTAGGCTGAGCCGCATCCTGGAGAAGTTGCTCAAAGAGGAGGATTGCATATCTACGACGTATAATCAGTCCCAGATCCGGACTCGGCTTAGTCGAATGATTCCAAAGTACTCACCTTCTTCCCAGTTCCGCATCTTGTTGTTCAAGCCATTTAATTAACTCAACCGGGCTGGCTAATAAATCAGTAACCTCTGCAGGAAGCTCAGGGTTCACCATATCAAATTTCAGCCGGCTAAATCAAAAAATCGACCGCAATTACATGCGAAGCCAAGCCTGCTCTCAGTATGTCGGCACCAGAACAAGGCCATTAAAAGCGTCATTAGCAAAACCCTGCAACCGTAGTCACCGTCGTTTACAATAACCACTGTTCAAGGTCGTGCATGCCTCAAGCAAAAAGTCCTGTCACGTGGCCCTTCACGTGAGAAAAATTTGCCCTGCCGCACACATGCCACTGCCAATTTGCAGTGGAGTGGGCGGGGTCCCACATCCAAAATCACCAAAAAAATCCCAAAACCTACTTTACTCGAGGTTCCTCGCAAACTCCTTCCACAAGACCTGTCCTGATTTACCATTAGATACCATCGAATCTATTGGGAGACTGCCAAAATGTCCAAGATCACAGTCGGTACGTTGCGGAAACCACTCTGCTCTCCGTGCGCACAATCGACGCATTATCTCCTCGCCGCCATCACCACCGGCCGTGGTCGTCGCTAACCGGTATGCTCTGCTCTCAAGCCAACGTCCGGACGCAGGTCGCCGAGCTCCTGGAGTACTCCAACGAGACCAAGAAGCGCAACTTCCTCGAGACCGTCGAGCTCCAGATCGGCCTGAAGAACTATGACCCCCAGCGCGACAAGCGTTTCTCCGGCACCATCAAGCTGCCCAGCATTCCTCGCCCCAACATGGCCATCTGCATCTTGGGTGACCAGCACGATATCGACCGCGCCAAGCACGGCGGCGTCGACGCCATGTCCGCCGACGACTTGAAGAAGCTGAACAAGAACAAAAAGCTCATCAAGAAGCTCGCCCGCAAGTACGATGCGTTCGTCGCTTCCGACGCTCTCATCAAGCAGATTCCTCGTCTCCTCGGCCCCGGTCTTTCCAAGGGTAAGTGAGCAATACGACAAACCTCTGTCCTCGTACCCAAGTCCTCACCGCTTCTTTCGACGATGGCGGAACTGAATCTCACTGTGGTGGGGTGCTGATATTTGTCGTAACAGCCGGCAAGTTCCCTACGCCCGTCTCGCACTCGGATGACCTCACTGGCAAGATCAACGAGGTCAAGTCCACCATCAAGTTCCAGCTCAAGAAGGTTCTCTGCATGGGTGTCGCCGTTGGAAACGTCGGTATGGAGCCGGAGCAGCTCATTAGCAACATCATGCTTGCCATCAACTACCTTGTCTCTCTTTTGAAGAAGGGCTGGCAGAACGTTGGTAGCTTGACCATCAAGGCCTCCATGTCGCCCCCTAAGCGCCTCTATTAACTGTCTTGAAACAAAAACGACGGTTGGGATCCTTGCTTTTGGGCGTTCCTCGATACGAGTAAACTGGACAATATTTGCGTAGACTAGGATCTCAATACAGGAGTAAAGTTGCTGCGTGTTTGATTCCTCGTGCGTAGCTGCAGCCACAGGAACAGTGGTCAGAGAGACCATGCTGAAGCACAGAGGACTTTAAAAACGCCGTCATGTTCACAACAAGGCACACTACAAGGTATGGGACGAATGGATGGGTTTTGTTGTTCCGATGTAGATTCAATGCGCTAGCTCGAATTACTAGCTATTTTGGACAGCTTTTGGTTACCCTCCACGCAACCAAGCCCCGTCGACCAATCACTCGCGATAAAGTATTCCAAATACCGTCATCCCCAAAATCGAGGTCATCCAAGTTCAAATGCTTTCTGTAGCGCCAGACTTCTCGGAATCGTAAGCCCTGTAGTCCCTTGTTTGGTAAATACGGATCCAGCCAGGTCGCTGAAGCTGGCGCGATAAGATATGTCCCATTCTTCTCTTTCAAGTACTCATGATTACGTCGATCAGAAGGCGTGTCGCAAGTGGCGAGGTCAGCAAGTTGCGTCAGCAATGCATCGCCTTTCAGACCCATGACGTCCCTTGTTTGTAGAACCTCGTTTTTGCCGTTGAGCAGCCATATTGGGGGGGTGTAGGTCTTCCACCAAATGGCCTCCGTGGCGTCTGGCTGCTTGCTCATGAAGACTTGGCCGGGAACGACACCACCCTGGTGGTAAATGCCCATTAGCACTCCCAAAAATAGGTTGAAAATGATCCATGCGCCTGCCCAAATTCGCAGCATGGTCTTGTTTCTGGGTAGCTCGACCGATGACAGAATTAGGGGCACGGTTGGCAACAGAAAACGAGCTTCTTGGTGCGGGAAGACGGACAAAACGAAAAGTCCAGAAATGGCGGAGTAAAGCCTCAATGACAAATGAGGTTTAACAAAGAGCAAAACAGCTGCAGGTCCAAGGAGCTGCGGAAGATTTGCCGCTACATGTTGGTACCACGGATGTGTACCATGCTGGGCAAGATTTGCTGTGTCCGAGTTGTAGAGGAAGAAATTGAGCGGAGTGATTGTAGGTCTGGAGATTAAATCGGCCCAAGTAATAGGCTCGGGTGAGTAGAAAGCGGTGTCCAGCGCGATAGCTATTACAGTGGTTATTGAAGCAGCCGAAGCCAGGGCCGCAAAAGACAAAGGTCTATTTGATAGTTAGCACAATGACACTCACGAGGAAGCTGGATGAGTGCAGGAATTGGCTACGTACTTATTCAAAAAATGGGGTATCAAACGAAGGCCAGGAATCAACAAGAACGCTGGGAATGTGATTCGGTTAAACACTCCGAAAACGGCAACGATCCCGAGCACTGTTGAAGCCAGAAGCGACGATTGTTGCTGGGCCGTGGAGTTAGCGAAATGACGCAAAATGAACTCGGCCAAGGCAAAGTTGCCGGGAAGGAGGTTGCCATACGCGGGTATCCACGATACGCTGAATCAAAACCAGACTCCAAGCTACAACAAGAGTCTCGACTGAATTAGAAAAGGTGTGTGTTTGATATGTCCAGGTGACATATGACGATGCCACCAAAAGCACAGCAACACGTCGATGTCGTGGCGAGGGTATCAGCTCGTGAAGGGCCCAATCCTCCAAGACGAAGCTTATCAAGAACATGAGAACTCGCAAAGTCCAAAACAATGCGATGGGCGGAATCTCGCCATCATGTCCGTTGCCGATCCACAGCCATCGAAGGAGCAACATCGGCAGCCCATAGACGGGCCACAGGGGGAAGACGCTCCGGATCGGGTGCTCGCTGGTAAACTCCCAGGTTCTTCGGACAGGATAACTAAAGATTTGACCTGTAGACGTGACAAGATGTTCAGGTTAGCAAGCAGGGTCTCTCTCACAGGACCACACCGCAGTAGCATGGCGAGCGCGTGACGTGGCCCGACGACTCTGTCGATGCACTCACGAGCGCAGCAACGGCCACAGTCCCACCTCGGAGCTTTGGGTAGGAATACCACACAAGCAGCCGGCCGGCGCATGCGCTGCATCACCACTCAGGATAACACGTACCGGCTATAACCTCGGGGCCTTGGAAGTTCTCGTCGGGGTGTAGGTAGCTGGGTGACAGGGCGAACCACAGCCGGATCAGAACGAGAAGCAAGTAAGTACGCCGCCACATAGTTCAGCAACGGTGCCTCGAGGTGGTCGATGACACAGCAGGCATGAGGTCGAAGGGAGGTGGACGGAGAGCAGGCAAAGACATGAGAGAGAAGGTTGGCGAGTCGATGTGGACGCTTCCAGAGCGCCGGCGCGTACCAAAGCAAAACGTCTTTGTTGAGGCGGCCAAGGGATATCAAGGAGGATCGAGGTATTTTGCGGTGGTGAAGAGATGACAAAGTAGATGAAAACACAGATCGGGTAACACGAAGCTGAAGGGCTATTCGCGCAGCGCCATCAGCCTAGAGGCAGAAGATGGGAAGAAAGGGACAAGGGACAAAGACAATATCAACAGGGCAGAGATGAGAAGACCAAGACGGATTAATTAATTTCATCCAGGCGGAATATAGAGCAGCACGACAAGACACGCATATTGGAGAGCTGAACTAATAATAATACCAAATACGTACTAAAGGTGTCCACTCGATCGACGTTCAGAGGGCAAGGGGGAGCTTGCTTGGGAGCTTCAACGGAAAGGGCCACCTACCACCACCACTTCACACCTCTGACCAGTGTCACCACCCACCACCCACCGCCACCCGCCACCCACCACCCGCCACCTGCCACCTGACACCGACAAGGGCCTGCTTGGTTGTCATAAGGGGGCAGTCATTGTTCGCTTGATCGCTTGATCGCTTGATCGCATCACGCATTCGTGCTTTGCCATCCATTTCGCCGTGGATATCGTCTAGTGCGCCCCTCTCCTCTCCTCCCTTCTCCTTTTTTTTCATTTCTCACTTGCAAGCGCCTTGTGTTTGCCGTCTCCGGCTCCGTCGACCCCGTCTCCAACTCCTGCGCAGCCTGACATCTTCCATGTGGATGGAGGAACTAGCTTAGAGCGTACGAACGCCATATAGGGCCAGGACTCCGTGTCTACAAGTCGAATGGACTCGAAGTGTCTTACATCAACACATAGGGATAGGGGCTCTCCGCCACCAACAGCCGATGCAGAGTTTGCTTGCATCAACAATGAGCCAAACATGTGCTGGGGTCTTTGGCACCAGGAGTCTGACGTCTAATCCTCAAACCCCCCAATTACCAATCACCAGCTTCTTATGTGTGGTGTGCATGGTGTTGTCAAAACAGTCAACGGGTCAGCTTGACACTGAGCACGGAGCAGTACCATGTAGCCTATAATACGATGCGACGAGGCTGGCTCATAGCTCAGTGACGAGTGCGTCGACACTTCAGCAACCCGAGAATATATACAATGTTGATGCCGTCCACTACCCGGTTACTAATGAAAGGGCAGAACCGCCGCTAAGCTGCAGGCGGCATAAAGTCCTGCGGCCTCGGGCCGGACACTTAGTACTTCGTATGTCGCAGAGTCGGAGTAAGTTAGCTCGTTCGTGGTAGTTGGCTATGGAGACTTCGGAGGCGTCTGGTCTGGAGTCTGGACGTCCCGGGGAAAGCATCCGCCACGACAGCACGCCAGGCACGCTCCGCCCGTCCATGGGCCATGAACAACCGTACATACCGAGTGCAAACGGAGCTGCTCTTTGTCACAGGCGGTTGGGGTTTCTGGGCCCTGCGTCGGTCCGTTGTTCTGCTTTGTTCGGTATCCGGGTATTGTTACTACCCACAGAACCCACTTCCCGAAGCTTCATGGCCACAGATGACAAGGCCCCATATCAAGAACTGTGACGGGGCCACCATGGACAGCATTAGCACACAATGAACTACTCCTGCGTCTCACCACATAAATACGGGGGTCGCCAGACGGGCTCGCTTGGTGCGGTGCAACATCCCTCGGCCGAGATTGATGTCCCTATCCGCATAACTTATGATTTGGGAGTGGGCGCATCAGGCCAGGTCAAGAGCGGCCATATCCATAAGAAATCATACTCACTACTCCGTACGTACTCCGTAGTCCTTGTAGCACAAAGGGTCTGCCGTTGCAAGGAATGCGCGGCGACCTTGCTTGGTACTAGGGATCAATGCGGACGGCGGGACACACCAACATTCCAGGCTAGAGCGTTGCTTGCTGTACGGCCACTTGAGACACCAGTAACTTAAATTAGAGCTGTCTGATAACTATTTTGTAGGGCGCACTAGTGGTTGAGTTTAGGAAATCAATAATCCTGGGGAAGTGCTGCGAACGGTGCCAAGCACGCAAGTAGCTTGCATGCATGGACAGCATGGATTGTTTCTGGGCTCTGCAGTAGCACGGCTAGAGGGCTCAAAAAGGGGACAACGTACTTGTCTAAGTGAGTTCTCTACTTCAGCCTGGCTGTGGCCGCGTGCTCTGAAATAATGGCAGCGAACATTAGGATTCAAGCCCGGCGGATGTTGGTTCGCGGCTCGAGCAAGAAGGCAGCACGTGGCCACTCCAGGCATCGACATTCAATCGTTCATGTCTGATTGATGGTGACAAAAGGCAGCACCCAACAGAGCAACAGGTCAGGACTCGGGAGAGATTGCAGCAAGGCCAAGGACGTGGCCTGTTCGGATGTTAAACCACGATGGCCCAGCATCCCGAGATGCTCGACGCAACAACACGCGCCGAGATGAGCAAACACACGCAGCGAGGCGCGCTGCTCCATTGGCTGCTGCCATGAAAAGTAACATGATTTGCACCTGGGTAATCCGTACACTCAGGCGAACACTTCAGGCGAACCGACCAAGCAGATAACTTATTTATTTGCACTTTGAAGCCACCCCTGGTCTTAACCGCGGGCACAGTCTCGAGTGGCCTCGAGTCTGAAGTCTAGTGCTGTGCCAGGTGGGGCCAAGTCGGTGAATTCACTCTCAATGCCGATGCGTTAAGTAAGTACCTACTTGAGTAGTTTTGCTGCCTGTTCAGCAACAAGTCATCAGTACCTACTTAGAGCGCCGCCTGCATCTACATTAAGTAAGTAGGTACTGATTGCGTACAGGCCGTAGCGCCAGTTGAGTTTGTTTCCTTCGGAGGTCTGAAACTCACGCTACTCTCTCCCCATTCACAGGACCCGTTTCCTAATAAAGGTCACGCCTCGCACTCCGTGCAAAGACATTTATTGAGTGGCTACCCAGAGAAAATCACTGGTCGACCTTTTCTTCTTCTTCCTCTTGGCACTTGTCTTTTCCACATTTTTTTGAAGGTTGGAATTTAACAGCACGGCACAACGCATGCATCATTCATCACACATTCAGAGATCTGCGCGCCGCCTGCCGCCTGCCTGCCTGCCCTGCCCTGCCCTGCCCTGCCCTGCCTGGCCTGTCCACGGTCCGGTTGTCTCCTGCCAAACGCCAGAAACCCCGCCCGCAGTGGCCCTGTCTCAGCCTGTGGCCTGAGACAACTCTCTGGACTCAACTTGAACAACTTCATCTGCATACGAGCAGTCCTCAGGTATTTAACCTGCACTGCACCTCTCCGCGCAGTCGGTTACTACTTCAACCTCTCACTACGCCAAAATCCATCTTCGATATTCCTCACTCCCCAACAGTGTCCATTCTCTCCCGTCCATCGCAATGGCTGCCGAAGACGCGTCGGGCGCCAAGGTCTACTTGATCTCCAACGATGCCGCTACCCTACAAGTCGGTAGGTGTCTTCCTTGCTCGCCCTTGGTTTCTGCAGACCCAGGCCTTCGTACTCACATCTTGGCTAGACCGCAACGTTGCTCAGCGATCGATGCTCATCAAGCACATGCTGGAGGATATTGGCCACGAATCAATCAACGAGGACAACCCTATTCCAATTCCCAATGTAGGTTGCGCCACCCTGCCAGCCTCGCAACAGCACCGTCGCTAACCCTTCCCCAGGTAAACGAAGCTGTCCTTCGCAAGGTTATTGAGTGGTGCGAGCATCACCGCAACGACCCTCCTCAAGCCCAAGACGATGATTCTGATGGCCGACGACGTACCACCGACATCGAGGAGTGGGACCAGAAGTTCATGCAGGTTGACCAGGAGATGCTCTTTGAGATCATTCTGGTAAGCTCTGCTCAGAAAACTCGCTCTTGCCACCCACCATTCACCCCACGTTTCTGCAAAACTAACTCATCGGCAGGCTGCCAACTACCTTGACATCAAGCCACTGCTTGATGTCGGCTGTAAGACTGTAGCCAACATGATCAAGGGCAAGTCACCAGAAGAGATCCGCAAGACTTTCAACATTACCAATGACTTCACCCCCGAGGAAGAGGAGCAGATTCGAAGAGAGAACGAGTGGGCCGAGGACCGATAAGGGACCACGTAATCAAACGCCTCGGGTAAAGCGTGAGCTGGGAAGATTCCAGACTCGACAAGTGAGCTGGTCCCAACTCACCGATTTTGTGTATTCGATTTCCTATTTTTCTCTTTCGCAAGAGGCCACGTCTTCTGCCTTGCAACTTTGGCGTTCCTGGGGCTGATTTGGTAGGTACCATTGGCGGTGGATTCTCCCTTGCTGCTGGTGTTTACCCTCGAGAATCCTAGCTATCGAGTTTCTGGATGAATGACAATCACTAAAGCTATTATCTAATGTCTTCTTGTGCCAGCTTCCAAGCATTACATGCGTGAGCAAACGTGGTTGTTCGAGTGACGAAATAATTAGATCGTCATGCTTCATTCTTTTACGTCATTTCATAACCTCACACAATGATCGATCGCTAGGGTTAGGCGAGTCATGGACGGTCATAGGAACACTGAGATAGTAGTAGGTGCAGGCTGTGAGCAGCCGCGGCAAGCAGAAGCACATCAGGACTATCTTGAGCTGATAGTGGCCCAACTTCCTTGATGGTGGGAGATTATTGATGCACAAGATCCATCAAAGGAAAGGAGTATTGCCCTTTTTATTTTAGAGACATCAAAATCTGTGTATTCCTTTCCCTGAACCAGACCGGTTCATGCTGTAGTGGCAACAAGTTCGCGAAAACCCTGGCAAATAAAATACTGCCTTACAGTCCGGTACGCTTCAACAAATCTCCCTTTTCTTTCCTGGTCTTTTATCTTTACGCTCCGAGCGACAGTGAATAATGACTTCTGAAGTTCATCCGCACATCATTTGATCCGCCTCATCGTGAAGCATGGTAGAATTGGGTGCAGTTGTCGGCAACGTTTGGTGGGTAGAGGAGTCGAGACATGTTAAGAGGCGAAACCAGTTTAGATGCCGAGACGAGTCTTTCTCCAGTGCCGTCTCTTAGCGTTGTAGCTGTGAGGGGGGGAAAAAAATTGTTAGCAGGCATGCTTTTAAATAACGGCACCCCTTCTCCTGGTGGCGGTGTCCTTTGGGACTTGAAACAGCCAAAACAGCAACACAGGATATTATTTTTTTCGCGGTTTGAGGAGATGATGCATACCGGACGGAGTTGTTGGTTCGGAGTCTGATCCATTGGGGCACAGGTCGATTTTGCTTCTGCGCCTTGGCAAGCTTCTGCTTGGTACGGAAAGACTTGTGGCTCTGTTGATGGAGTGTCAGCATGTCCATGATGGTCTTGGGTGATCAGAGTAGCGGGGTGCGTTGCACGACGCGCACAATGATCAGAGAATGAGAGATCGAGCGAAGGGTGCAATGGGTATTCTCTGGACATCAGCGTCGTCGTGGGCGGCGTGGCAGGGCGGCGTACCGGCATCTTGGTGGGCGTTGCGTGTCGAGTCGCAATGGTGACGAAGAGTTTGGTGAAGTTGAGATTGAGGAGGGTTAAATTCTGACCCGCAGTCGAGGGCGTGAAGCCCTAGCGAGGATTGTGCGGCTGTGTGGGAGACTGGGGGGCTCGAGCATGACTGTGTGTGGCTGTTATTGCCTCAGGCAACAATGTAAGTGGGGTCGCTGACTAACTTCTGGCTTGATTGGGCTGACAAAAATTACTTCAACGCAGTACAGCTATTCACACGCAGAACGTCCTGTGAATTATGTCTATTTTTTTACAGAACAGTAATTAGTAAATAGGGAATAAGCCAAGTCAGTCACTGGCCCGCCCCCCCGAAACACCACGGGTTGGCGGTGGTAGTAGTGGCATCTGACGGAAGTTCCAGAACAGGGGGGACTGATTTCTAATTCATGATTGCAAACCCCCCTCTGTCTAAACCTTTGCCGCGAAACATAGGACACCGTCAGGGAAGTACGCAGACAGAGCACGAAGCCAGCGGACCTTTTTTTTGTTGTTTTATTCTTGCTTCTCCGATCAGAGCCATTTGCTTTTCATCCGTGTACGATTTCCTCCCCCTCTCGTCCGATCCTCTTGATCAAGTGACCACCTGTGCTGGGGATGTCGGATGTCTCAACCACACGTGAGCTTTTTGCTGATTCTCGACGCGGCGCTGGATCTAGCCAACGCAGATTCCTTTTGCCCTCCCCACAGTCGTCGTATACGCGAGTACCACGACCTTTAGTCACCATGGGTGCCGGCATGTCATGGCTGTCCAACTTGATTTGGGCGAAGAAGGAGATAAGAATACTGATCTTGGGGCTTGTATGATTTTATTTGAAGATTGCGGCAAGTCCCCTTGGAAGACAGCGGGCAGCGACTGACGCGTTGTGAATCAGGATAATGCCGGCAAAACGACGTTGCTTTACAGACTAAAGGTATAACCCATCGGGGGGAGTTTGGAATCTTGGAGCGAGTACTGAGGTCGAATATTAACCGGCGTCCAAAACAGATTGGCGAGGTCGTCACCACGATACCCACAATTGGCTTCAACGTCGAGTCGGTGACATACAAGAACTTAAACTTTAACGTCTGGGTACGTTGATGCGCGCACCCCAGAATAGTCAGAGGCAGGGGAACAGCTGGGACTCACGCTGCATCGATGCAGGATCTTGGTGGTCAGACAAGCATTCGACCGTACTGGCGATGCTACTACGCCAACACAGCAGCCGTCATCTTCGTCGTCGACTCCACCGATATCGAACGATTACAAACCGCGGCCGAGGAGCTGGCGGCAATGCTAAACGAGGAGGAACTCAAAGACGCGGCGCTGTTAGTCTTTGCCAACAAGCAGGACCAGCCTGGTGCAAAGGGCGCGGGTGAGATTTCGGAAGCACTACGCCTGGGTGAGCTCCGTGACCGGAACTGGAGCATCATGGCGTGTTCTGCTGTTGATGGAAGTGGAATCAACGAGGGCATGGACTGGCTGGTGGTAAGTCGATCCCGGAGAGGAGCGCATCGCACGTGCACGGGGGGTACGATTTGCTAACGTTTGGCGTCCTTGACAGCAAACGGTGAACCAGGAGTAAGCGTGTCATACGCGACGGATGTTTTGGTCCTTGCGGTTTCTCCATGTTCATATGTACCACAACGAAAAAAAATTAAAAACGACGTAAATACCCAAGGCTTCCTCACGATTTCCTCGTACCACAATGGATGGCAAATCCCGACTCGTGGAAAGGGGAAACGGAGGAGTTGACTGTCATGGAGGCGCAGGAGCTCTGGCATCATGCATGGGCCAGATATGTGTTTCTCATCTCTCGACCTGGCAATCATGTCGCGAAAAGAACGAAGCAATAGCGGCCATGAAAACGACGGCGGCGCTCGGTGCGGCAGAAAATCAAATATAGCACGTTTTAATACCAGAGTTGGGATCTATTGGGATCCTCTTCGTTTCTTCACATCAAGGGACTGGACAAACGGTGATTATGGAAAAAGCATCGTCTCAAGCGAGTGCGTTTGAATGTCCTGCGGACCCTCGTTCAATGACATGCCCGGAATGATTTACTTTGCTGTCAATAACGCGAAGAGCGCGGGGACTGAGACGAAACCGAAACCAGCCAAGGAGTGAAGGACACCCGCCATGTATAAGCCAGTATCCTTGGGCTCGTGAATGAACAAGTGCGGCAATCACGCAAGCTGGACAGAGGGCTGCTACATCTATGCGCAGCCTGGCCGTGACCGTATTTGCAGTTTTATGGCGTCGCGGCGAATTCGCAGATGCCGAACGGGATGCCGAAATATCCTCAGCTTCATCTGCTCCAGACGACGGTTGGCCTTGGGCGGGTTCACGTTTTCGGAGATCCAGTCAAGTTTTGCATCTCGGACCGCTGGGACGATGGGAAGTCAACGACATTCATTCACCTTTGGCGGCTTCGATGGTGCCATGTGCTTGCGAGCGGAGCCGTTTGTACGAGAAGAATGAACGCGGTTCTGATGCGTTCCCCAATGCATAGGATAATACCCATCTGTATTTTTCTCCGGCCGGGTACGTTATGTAGAGCCGAGAGGTGGTCCGAGTTGCACATGCCGCATCGCATGTCAGTCTGACCAACCTGCACTTGTCCAGCACGTCAAGCTTGCGCACGCTCGATGATTCACTTCGCTTTTCTCTTCAGCTCTCCCTTGGTCTCTGTCAAGTTCTCACTCGATGACACCGTCACAACGGGCACCCAACGAAGGAGGCTCGGCCTCGACATGTCGAGAAAAAAGAGGCACAAATGTTTCCCTCTACAGAAACCAATGCATTGCTACGTGTACTACCCGTGCTTGGTGCTGCTGGAGAATACGACCCGTGTCCCATGGCGCAGTTGCATCTAGACTTTGTTTCTTGGACTTTCCGTGCTTTGACCTCTGGAGGATTGGTGTGGTATTCGCAGGGTATTTGTACAAGTTGAACATGCGTTGGAGGAATGTATAGGAGGAACTAGGTCAAACGGCACCCGAGCGTTTCCGGGCCTCTCTGCACACGTCGGACATTTACCCAAGTCACATGCCACTAGGTTGATTGGAGAAGTGCTGCTCGTATTTAGATTGACTAGATTTCGGCAGCGACTCAAGAACAAACGAGTAGGTGGTTCCCCTTGGCAGCAGCGGTCCGCATATCCTCAGTACATGAACATGCATATAAACCCCAACCAAACACGCATGGCCGGGGGGGTTCATAGAATCCAATCCAGCATCTCGGTGCCTACAAAACCTGCGCTGCAGTCCAGGGGACGACGGTGCCGGATGTGCTGATCTACAGCGTCCGGGGAACGCCAGCCCGATTGTGGCGGATGGGGCTCCTCGCCTACCCTGTCCCGGGATGAGTTCACGCCCGGCCAGACAGACCTAAGCCGGGCCGCGAGCATGAGTGGAACCGTAGTTGAGGGCGTCTTGTCGTAGTGAGATGAACTACTTTTTGTGCCCTTTGTGGCTTCGTATTCTTTCCCCGATGCTTGGCCCCGACTCAAGCAGGCAGTGATCCCAGCCGTGATAGCTGTGTAATTGCTCCAAGAATCGGTGTGCCCACAGGTCGGGTGGTGTATGGGCAGAGCGCCCTCGGGAAGAGAACAAGAGGCTTGGGGCTGAACGGCCAAATAAAGACGTGGTGCCGCGTATTGCTCTGCGCAGCAGAGGACACTTGGCACGACCCAGCTCTTCGGACAACATCTGAAATCGACCATCATCTTTCCATGTCTCCATGTCCAAGCTTCCAATTCCGGACTAGCCGGTAGACGTTTGGCTCGACGTATTGATCCCTCGACAGCCAGTGTCGGGCCAGCTCGGAAACAAATTCCAGATGAGTTTCCGAGGCAAGCCTCCGAACGAAGTGTTGGTGTTTGTCGTACGACGGCCCGCAGGAATGAGCAAATTAGGTCTGGAAACCGGTCCAGAGTCTAATTACGCAATCGCTTCCATGTTGACGAGTTGGCGATGTCGTTTCACATCGATGGAAAGGGACATCAAGCCGCATGATGCATCCTTTACATTGACATTCATTGGTTTTCGTCCAACAGTCGTAGGTCGTTCACCATTCCTCATTTCGTAAGGGTAAGAACAAGAAAGAAATACAATGAATAGAAGTATCATGGTGACTTGTATGAGTCGTTTTCAGGGGTATCATCCGTAAAGAGTCTTTGTATAAGCCGCTCTCGAAAAAAAAAAATCACTTGGGCCAAGACCAAAGTGAGAACAAAAGATAGAGTATCGAAATGTCGGGAAATGAATAGTCCAACTAGGGAGTCTTGTCTCGGAGCCAGGCCGAGTATTGCGCATTGCTGCGTATTCCTCTTATCTTAAACCCAAAAAAGGAACCGGAACAGGGATACAGAGAGAGAGAGGAAAAAAGGAAGATTTGAGGGCAAAACAGTGTCCGAGACACGAAGAGACAGTCGCGGAGCGCCTTTCCTGCTGATCAGGGGTCCTGCCGACCTACAAAAACGACCGAGCTAGCGGTGTGAGTGCCAGGCGGCAAGGAGGCTTTCTCGTATCTGGAAAAGGCCGTATTCGAGCAGAAATTCCAAAACCCCGTGCGTGCAGTCGCCATGTCGCCGGTAAAAGGACGGGAGCCACGCCAAGGCCAAAATGCGGAGAAATAAGATGGTAGCAACGTGGGCAAAATGTCAACACCGCTTTGCTGCCCTCTCTCCCCCAGAGTGGGTATTTGTCGAGCTTGCTCAAACTCCATTCCCAATGCAAAAAGAAAAACGCCGATCTCCTAAAATGCCCGTTTCGACAATGGTTGTCTATGTCGCTGTATATCAAAACCTTGCGTGGGGAGTTTTGCTTCTGAAGCACTTCCCTGGTCCCGAGAAACATTGAAGGGACCCAACGACGCAGCGGCCTATGAAGGCGTCGTCACCACTGGGTAATCGTCCCCCGTGACCGGTTGTGGTTGTCACATTATCGTCGCATACTCGTGGTACCGATCCCAACCGAAGCCACCCATGCCAACACTGACGCCGCATTGCGACGAAGCAAGCATGCTGGGCAGAGGCAGAGCTGCGGGCATGGGGGCGGCAATGGGTGGTGAGGTCAAGTAAAGAGCAGCTGCGACGTGGGGTTGAGTAAAAGCCGGAGTGGGTGAGGGCATCTGGAATTCGCTCATAGCCATAGAGGCCCACCTGGGGGCGTTGTTGGGCTCAGCTGATGTCGATGGCACGCCTGGACTGGGCGGCAGGACTCGCCAGGATTCGACGGCAGACAGAGGGCTGGGTATTGTCTGCTGCGACGACCACATGTTGTTGACGGGGGAGCTCGGGAGGAGCGGCGGTTGGCGCACGATGTCGACGACGCGAGGGGGTGGAGGTAGCAAAGGCTTCATCAGTGCGACGAGGCTGTTTCTCACTTCCTCACTCTTGCCGCACAGCAGCTCCCCCGCGCCGTCCTCTTCTAGCCCTTCCAAAGCGCTGACGTGAGTGCGGTAGACAAACTTGTTGACGGCCTGGACAAAGTCTTGGTGGAGCTTTTTGCCCTGTTGCTCCTTTTCTGACCAGTCGTAGGTGTTGGCCTTGGCATCAACGCAGTGAATCTTGTCGTGGTACTCGACCAGGGCGTCGATGGTGGCGCTTGTGAGCTTGAAGGCGACTTCGTTGCGCAGAATCATATCGACGTGGACGATGTAGGCCTCAATGTGAAGCAGTTGGTGACTGAAGAGCGCCTCCAGAGGCTCCTTGGGCATTTCGGCTTCGGGAAGTTTAGACAGCATGACCGAGGCCAGAGTCCAGATTGCGTTGGGTGAAGATAATGTCTCGGTCAGACACCTCTGGTGTTGGGGAACGCTGTTGAGCGGGCGCTTGACTCTGTTGACGCGCTTCAAGGTCAGCGTGAGCCAAGGCTCGACCTTGGACCCCAAGACGACGTTGACGGAAGATGCCCTCGGGGCAAAGGCGGCGGCCGAAGCCGGCAGAAGCTGGACGGGCATTTCCGAAATTTGGGCCGTAATCGTAACGGTTGCCGTGGCTGTGGCTGTGGCTGTGGCTGTGGCTGTGGCCCAGGTCGTCTAATTGTTGCTGGCGGTAAAACGGAGGCGCGGGCCGGGGGCGGCAGGGGCCGGGGGAGGATTGAGGAGGGGTCGAATTTTGACGGCACTCTGCGAGAAGAACAAATTTATAAGAAAAAAAAACAGACAACTAAAAAAAAGGGAAAAAAAAAAGGGACGAGGCAGCAGGGCTGAGCAGGGAGTGCCGTGGAGTATTGGCTTTATGGGTATCGCCTGCTGACGACCGCAGCCAGGAAGAAGAGAAAGGCGGACGAGGGCGTCGTGAGGAGCGAAGAGGGGAGAGGAGGCTGGAGGGCGGCGGAGGCGGGGAATATAACTTGATCAGTTGGGCCTCCGTACGGCGTTCAGGCAAGTAACGTTAGTTGGCGGTGCCACACAACTAACAGGCTGGTGAGTGGCCGGCACCTGGGCCCACTCGAGTGAGCAGGGCCAGGCGGGGGGGCCTCTGCAGCTCTGCAGCTCTGCTGGTCTGCTGGTCTGCTGGCCCAGGTCCCAAGGGCTCCATGCACAGGGGCGCTGGGCTCGGGGCCTGGATGTGCGGCGGCTTTGGCGCAGTTGCAGTTGCCAGCGCCTACGTGCCAGGCAGGTGCCAGGTGCCAGGCGAAAGCCGTCATCCGCGTCAATACCGCCCATGCCCATGCCCAGGCCCAGGCCCAGGGCCCGGGGTCGGATCGGCCTGCATGGCCCGCCTGCCCTTGCCCAAGTACTACGTACCTACTCCGTACTTACGTGCCCCCTGTCCTCGGTGGCCAAGAATAGCTGTCGGGTGGCTGTGGCGCAGCACCCGGTACTAGCAATGGTTACTCCGTAGTACGTAGTTACTTGCTAGCAGCCTGACCGCCACACCGGTCCCCTTCGCGGAGCTTTTTGACGAAAGCTTCAAACGCATGACAATATGATGATGAATGCCGCCTTAATAATGCCGCCGCCTGCCATGCTAGCCTCATCATTTCCCAACCCGGACGCGGCCATCGCCATCGCCGCTTCAGCCAAGGCCTCCAACAGTCGGCTGACCGACCCTCGCCAACTTTGAAACGCCGCCGTCCATCCCATCTACATACAATCCACCTGCCTGGCCCAAGAGGCCGATTTACCTTTCAAAAAAAAAAAAAAAAAAAAAAAAAAAAAAGCACTTGGTGCTACTGCAACCAGCGTACTCCGCACGGTCCCACCATTATGCAGCTGCTTATTCAAGCTACTAAACGGAGTAGTACCTCTACTTCGTACGTCGCCCATCCACTGTCATGCACATGGCCATGGCGGTGCTTCAACTTGAACGCCGCCCGCGCAATCGCCTCCCCCCCGGCGCCTCGCCTCCTCTCGGACCTCTCCACCCGAGAAAACCTTGGCTCGCGCGCCCTCGTGAGGCGTGTGCGTCGCATCACGGGCAAGGCGTGTGTAATGTCTCCTGCCTTGGTCTTGTCTAGCTGAAAGCTGCATCGCAGCGCCACGCATGCCCAAGTGGCCATGGGATGGCTGCCGTGTCGCATCCACAGCCAGCTCCATCACGACAAACACTCTTGCAAGCGAGTCCGAGTCGCACGTCCGCCCGCGCAGTCTCTCGGTGGAGTCCTCTTGGCCCGTTGTTAGACATTGGCAGATCTGCCTCGATCGAATGAGTTGGTGATTCAAGGCCAAGTGAGAGAGAGAGACACACACAGACTGGCTATGGCACCCCCAATGGCGAGAACCACAGCCAGCCACTTGATCCTTCACAGGCGGCGCATCACACAAGAATCATTTCCCTGGGAACATCGCCCTCAAAGAAAGATGTGCAGTCCTCATCCAGCGGCTGCTGCGCATGACGGCGCTTCGTCAAACGTGGCACATGATATGGATGGAGCAAGGCCATGAGACACCTTCCATGATCAAGCGGCCCCGTCCTTGCATCGTCTTCCAACCAAGAAACATACATGCATCATACGTATCACATTCCGTACTCTCCTCCCTACTTGTTTTTTTCTCGTCCTGGCATGGCATAGTCAACGCATTCGCATCGCCGCTCCCGCAGCGCATGCCATGCCCGTGTACGGACTATGGAGAATGATGCCGATGCCGATGCCGATGCCCTTGGGGGAGGGGTTTACTCGTGTTGCACTACTGCTTTTCCTCCTCTCCCAGAACGAAGCTTACGCGGCTTTCGGTCCAGGCTTACTTGGACCAACAACAACAAACCGAGGAGGACAAGCCATGTCCATGCTCTGCAAACCACCCCTTACATACTCGATACTCGTAGGCCCATTCGGGAATTGCGCAGACGGAATGGCCGACTTGGTTACTCTTACTCATGGTGAGGTTGGAGGATGCAAATATACAATACTCCGTATACGTCCCTCCCACCCGTCTCCTGCTCTGCTATACCCACAGCAACATGCACACTTGGACAGAGTGACGCATCTAACAAGGCCTAAATTTCATTGATGTGCGGTTGTAGCAGTCCATACATGGTTCGTATCAGCTCCATATGCGGCCTGGGGCTTGGGCAGAAGACGAGAAGAGGCCGCCGGCTTGCTTCGTTCTGGTTGATTGAAAATTGAAATGTGTCTCAGCCAATACTTGGTATAGCTGTCCGCATACGCGCCGCAACAGCATGAACAGGCGGAAATGAGCCTTGCCTAACGGCCCACAAGATGGATGGAGGAGTGGGCGCCGCTACTGATCGATCTCTGTTCCTTGGCCCGAATTCTGTCTGTCCGGGAGACTGGGAGATTCTGCTTCATATTTGGACACATCGACATATTCTTCGACTTCTTGGCTACTCCCACAGATACTGTGTGCCCTGGGGGCGTGAGCATGACGTGCATGTTGGCGACATATTATTGCACATTTTATACTCCGTATGTATGGTGGTACTCCGTATACAAGTTGGAAATGCGCGCTTCAACTCCCTGCCAACATCAGACGGAGGCGGGGTCAAAGGGCTCCGTCTCCGGCCCTCCCATTTCAGAGTGAATAGTAAAATAAGAGTCGTGAACGCATACTGAAAGATGCGAGTAGTCTTTGGCCACTTGACGGCTAGTGGCTGGACTTTCACGTCCCTGGAAGCTCCTTGAATCGACAGTCAACAACACTGCCGCTCCGACGGCGCATTCGTCGAGACGAAAAGACGCGCCGGACTCCAATGAATTCGTTCCGCGACGTTGTACTCGGCATGTGGTTCGACAATCGCATTCGAGACTCGAACACAGCTTATGCACAGACCCAGGGGAATGGACTGCTCATCGGATGTGCGATAGAAGATTTCAAGAGCCTGTACTACTACTACGCAGTAGCAAGGGGGCGGGGGCGAGCAATAATCATGCTGCTGGGGTTCGTGGACCGTGTTTCCTCTCCCTAGCGGCGGCGGGAGGTGAGGCGTAAAACGTTCAATGGGCGTTTTGTTCGTTGATTGGCTGGATACGTCAAAACCTGGACAAGGCAATCGAGGTGCCAGTGGGGTTGGACCCTGGCCCAAGGCGACGTTCTCGTTGATTGGTCGAGACTCAGCCAACAGGAGCCAATCATACTGCGCTGCGCAGACTTGGACTGGACAGCCTCGAGGCTTTGACGAAGGGGCGGCAGAGCTACCGACGTCCACTAAAACGGAAAACAGGAATGGGCAAAATGTCCGTCGTCAATGTCGCAGATGGTGAGCCGGACGCCGAAGTTGAAGCATCTTCGACTTATCTATTAGCATCGGCAGACACCAGCCGCGCCCTATGACTTCCAAAGCGGTCTCCTCAGTCCCCAAGGGTAACCGCTGGGATGGGAACTTCTGCTCCGCTTCGGCGCTGGCTCGGTGAATACAAACCTGGCTCTTTCGGGATATTGTCAACGTCATCAGTGTGATGAATAAGTAACAAGGGGTTTACTTTACCAATAGCAACCTTTCCTTATTTAGATACGAACTAAATCCGATTCGAACGGACATCTGCTTCTGTGACAGAGATGGTGTCTGTTTGGTTGCGCGTGTGGGAGACTCTGTTGAGAATACGTAGAACCATATCTGTGCATTCGCATGCGAGGTGTCACCGTGCTCATGGCCCGAAACCTCAAGCCTCACGGTCAACATGTGTGCCGGACAGTTCCACCTTTGGCGTGTGCGTCCAAGCTGCGCAGCTCCCAAGGCTCGGGTCGGGTGGGTAATGTAATGGTTCGCGAGAAGACATGCCATCAGCAGTCGAGGTCTTGGGCGGTTTACGTGCATCAAACACGACCATGGGCTTCGGGGTAGGGTGTGGGGAGAAGAGGAAGGAGCGAGAGGGACTGAAGAGAAGTAAGTTACGTATAACGTATAACTGCTCCACCGATCTGCAGCCCCTCCCTCGTGCGGCTGCTGCTCCACCGCAACACATTGACAATGGACCGTTTTCCCATCAGAAAAGTTCTGTCTGTCTGAGTAATGACCGAGTACCGAGTCGCAAGTCGACCAACTATATCAAATGTTTTTATCTTTCCTTCTCGCCAGATCCCCGGAATCCACCCAAGGCCCGAGGACCCGGTGCAGGACGAGAGAGTGTGTTGCCAGTCAGTTAGTTGCTCAAGTGTGGATGGATGGCTTATGCTCGCGCCGAGTTCGTACAGTCTTTCGCAACGCAACTTGTTTCTCTACCATCAAGCCCCTAGATACCTACCTACTGACACAACCCATTTTTCTACCTAGGACCTTGGAGGTATCTGACGTGATGCTGCGTAACCGACGCGCTCCACGACGGGCCACGGCCGAGGAGCCCGCTCAGCAATAATAGGTTTTGTTGTTGACCAAGTCGGCGCTCCTGGAAAATCCCCTCCTCCATATCTGATGCCACGGCCTTTTGGTCGAATCTACCACCTTTGCCAGGCAGATTTCAAGTAAAGGTCGCCTGGTGCTGCAAGTTCACACCATATTCGTCACCGATGACGGACTTGAGGGACGCAATACTCGGCAGAAGCAGGTCGTAATCGAGAATCTGATAAGCTAAACTGCGACAATTCGATTTGCTAGGTTTCCTATCCACGTTGCGCCAGCAAAGGTCACAATCCGTCTGGGGGCAGCGCCCAGTCTGCACGTGTACCATCATTATTGGCCGTGCACTGTTGTCGAGGTCACGCGCCATTGTCCATCTATTACCGCGTCTCTCTCGCTGTACGGAGTAACTCGACCTGGAATTCGGGATCACTCATTGATTGGGGGATTTTGGCAACTACATATTATATCTCTATGCCTCTGGAGGCCACGCCAACTTCCCCACATCTAGCTATTACACCTGGTTGCCGCTGTCGCCTTCACAAACAGGCCGGCCTACGTACAAAGTAGCTGGTTTGCTTTGACAGGCTCCTTGCCCCGGCCCCATTCAACCCTGACCCCCGTCTCTCGGTAATGTGGAGGAGAACAACCACCAGCGCCGTCTGCACACACGTTTTTCTTGTGGCAAGACGGAGCCGCAAAATTTTTAAGATTTATGGCCTGTGTGGACTAGCACATGGTGACGCTGTCGCTTCATTTGCCACGCCGAGGATACCTAGCAAATGCCAGTTGCCATGATGATGGCCAAGTACTCGTCGATTCGAATCTCAAGAGTTCCCACTTCACGTGCGAGGCCCATGACTTACAAGGCTAATGCGAGAGCTCCGCACTCGTACTCCGTACATCCAGAGTAGAGGCACCAGCCACACACTCTGGATCTTGGGCAGGGATCGGCCGGCTTTGACAACGGATGAGCGAGACCGGTAAAACTTGTCGGAGCAAGCTCTTTCCCCCCCTCTTGCATTGGGCTTGGCACATGCTCGCTTCAAGGATCCAGCTTGCTCAGGCACTGAAAATACTTATGCGCAGAAGAAACAGGCCATGCCAGAACGCCGCCACCCGGCCTCGCCAGTTGGTTCACATCTAGGGAAAAATGTCAAGTCGAAACGCCCAAAAGGGCGCCTCCTGGAATTCCTGCCTGCCATGTTTTTTTCTTGTGCTGAGCAATTCTTTCCTCTGAAGAACCAAGCCCTTTCAGATATTATATGTCAAGAGCTGCTTGAAGCATTAGAGACGCTGACGTTCCCAAGTTTTACACCGACAAGTCAGTCGGACAAGCCGCTGCAGAGCGGCGTGGCTGTGTGCTTGCGCAGTACTCCATACCACCCGAGAATAGAAACATCAGACAGACAGACAGACCAGTTAGTACTACCGAGTACCAGTTGCCAGCACCGTCTCCGTGCTCCAAAGCCGCGTCAACGTTGCAATCCGGAGGGACACACGCTGGTCCCGAGGCACAGAGAAGGAGGCCATCGAGACGGAGCCCCAGTCTGTCGGTAACTCGAGCCAGCAACTAGTCCATGTCGTAGTTGATTACAGAGCACCACTGCTTGCAAGGGGACGACGACGTGCAATGTGGGATCTTGTCTCACTTGACTTTTACGTTCTTGCCAAGCACCCGGCCACGTCATCCGCCGCTGGTGGCCGTGGTTCGGGGATCCTGGCGACAAGATCCGGGAAACCACTGCCAGGCGGATATGACATCAATTGATGGCTCGAGACCAAGAGTCCTGGACATCTGCTGCGACGGCGACCTACATGTGCCCGGTCACGCGCGCCGCCAAGAGAAATGACACAAATTCTCGACTGCTTTCCCTACAATTCTTGTCCAGTCACACCGTTGACTCCCCGGCTACTGACGCGAATTGCACACAACACAATCCTCTCGCAATTTGGACCATGAGAAAAAAAACCGAACATGGTAACGAGTACCTGTGAATTCTCGGTCTTTCCGTGGGCGTTCTGGTATCTGACATGTCGCCTTGAATTCGAGGGCTAGCAGTCAAGGTTCCAGAGGTTACATTACATTCATTGCCTTGACTATTTGCTACAAAATATTCCGAGTAAAGTATCACACCTGACATGACAGTTCAACCGCCCAGCTCCCAGTTTCGTCAACATGGTCACTGCTCCTCCTGCTCCTGCTCATCGCCCCGCGATACTGAATTTCGTCCTGCTGCCATGATGACTTGTCGACGCGAGAGCGCGACCAGTTGTCAGGCAACGACAGGCCTTGGCCCGAAGCCCTTGCAGGGCGCCATTCACGCTTCGCCCAACTTCAAATATTCAAAACTCCGTTGAACGCTACCTCTGAGCCAATTCACTGGCGATGCCCCGTGAAATCCAGTCGGCCAAGGCCATGGCCGTGATCATGGGGTTGACGCCACTGGCACTGGGGAAGATGCTCGCGTCGGCAACATACAAGTTGTTGGTGCCCCATACCTTGCCCTTCATGTCCACGACGCCAGTGTCCTCGCCGGCGCTCATGCGACACGAGCCCATCTGGTGCGCCGACATCCACGTGACAGTAGGGCCCTTGTTGTCGGCCACGCGCAGCTTCTGGATCCAGGCGGCAAACTCGGGGTCGGTGAACTCGGGGTCCTTGCCGGCTTGGTGCTCGGCCTGTCGCTTGCCCCCGTCGCTGGGCACAAACGGCTCCAGGTGCGGGAGGTGAGGCCTGATCTCGGTCGCCCCCGTGACGTAGCAGATCTTGGCCAGGGCGACGACACCCTCGATGGTGTGCTCGCGATCAAAGTCGGAGGGGTCGTACTGGACGCGTGGCGTGCCGTTTCTCGGGTCGGGGTACACGCGGCCGGTGTCGCGGTCCCGAGTCAGTGCGATGAAGGTGCCAATGTGCCGATACTTGATGGCGAGCAGTTTGGCGTCGACGCCGTCTCGCCACGCCTGCACGGTGAATGTTGCGAATGGCTACGAGGCGCCAGAGTCAGCATTGATCCCCGGCTCGGCCAGTGCAGTGCGTGGACTTACAATGTTGCAGGTGGGTTCCAGCTTGACGCCGTGGCCCTTGCCGTCGAGGTTTTCAAACTCGTCGACGTAGGATGTGATGATGCCCCCCTCCCACGACGCCATGTCCCGAGTGCCAAAGACGCCGGACACAAAGTTGACCGGGTGCAGGTGAAGGTGCTTTCCGACGTTGGGGTTCTGCGGCGCGGTTCGAGACGGCAACCTGTCAGCGGCCAATTCACGTATGCACAAGAGAAGCAGGCCCTTCGGTCCAGAAGGTTGCTCTGGCTCCAAGGCCGCCAGTCCGACTCACCTTGATGCCGCTCTTTTTCAGAATGACCGGACTCCACAAGGAGCCGCCAGAGACGACGACCTTGTCGGCCTTGATGAGGACGCGCCGCTGGGTCCGCGTGTCCTCGCGCGCGTGGAGACCGCCGTTGTCGTCTCTGCCGGTCCACGTGCCCTCGACGCCGACGGCGGTGACGCCGTCGTCGGCAAAAACGACCCTGTCTACGGCGAAGCCCTCCATGAACTGGGCGCCAGCTTCACCCGCGGCCGGGAGCCAAGACACCGAGGGGCCCTTCTTCTCTGCCGAGCCGCAGCCCAGGTGACACTGGCCGCAGTAGTGCTCCTTGCCGGCGGTGTTCTGCTCCACGACTCCGCCCCTCCAGCCGAGCTTCCGGGTGCCGTCCAGCAGAGCCTGGTTCCGCGGGTTCTGGCGTATGCCGTCCTTGCTGGCGCCGACAAAGTCCCAGACCCGGTCCATGCTGTCGTCAAAGTCGCTCGACGTGAACAGCGGCAGGCCGGCCGCGGCCCACTCCTCGCGCACGTAGTCCTGCAGGCGGAAGCACACGCTCCAGTTGACGGTGCCGCCGCCGCCCCAGCTGCCGCCGCACACGATGCCCATGCTCGACGAGTCGCTGAAGGAGACGCCGCCCGCGTCGTAGAGGTAGTGGGCGCCGGGGGCCTGCGCCATGGGCAGCTGAGAGGGCGGGAAGTAGTAGCCCTTGTCGACGACGAGGACCTTGTGGCCGGCCTCGGCGATGTTCTTGGCCGAGACGGCCCCTCCGCAGCCGGATCCGACAATGACCACGTCGGTGGTGATCTCGTGCACGCCCGCGCCGGCAGGCACCTGCACGAAGTGGTAGTCGTATCCCTCGACGGGCTTCCAGTCCCGCGGGACGTCCGAGTAGCCCGAAATCTCGTTGAAGTAGGGGCTGTGGACGGAGTTTGCCCTCTGAGCAATCTGCACGAGGGACTTGGCCAGCATGCGCAACGGCGCGAGGCGCGACGCGGCCCACGACTTGAGGATGGCCTGCCGAACGCTCGTCGGCTGCTGCGTGACGGGGGCCCAGTAACCGGTCAGAAGCAGGCTGCCGGCGTGGCCGCTGTCGTGGGAGGACGAGATGCGGGTTAGCAAGACGGCACGGCACGTAAATGCAAGCGTAGCGCAGCCATGGGGGTCTACTTGTCCCGTTTTCCCGCCGGGGGATGGACTGGACTGGACTGGACTTGGGACTTACCCGAGGAGATCCAGGATCTTGGCCAGCTTGGCCCTCTGGGGAGCACTGGCGAGCGACCGCACGCAGTCTTCGCGGAACTTGGCATCCTGGGAGGGGCGAAACTCGAGATACTCCTTGATCTTGCTCCGGGAAGGGGGATTCGACAGGGCGGCAACGGAGTCGTCGATGAGGGACTCGAACTGACTGTCGGACAGGAGAATGCTGGCGGACTTGTCTGCGACACGCGACGAGGTGGTCGAGGTGATGGAGGGCAAGGCGCCGTCGAGAAGAGCATACAGAGTTTCCCAGTGAGCATCCGTCATAAAGTCCTTGGCTGGTGCGTCGGGCATTGGGGTGGGCTTTGGAGCCCCAACATCGACGATGTCCATGGTGTCGAGCTGAAGGGCGAACAAACAAGGACGGAAGGGAGGTGTTTGTTCTGCGTTCTGCGCTCTGCGTTCTGCGTTTCGGAGTTCGGACTCGGGGCGTCGGGGAGTCGGGAGTCGGGAGTCGGGGAGAGGTGCCGACCGCCAAGGGACCCCGGAGCGAGGGGGAAACAGTGGGGCCAGCGTGGAGCTTCGACCTCGAGCGATTGATTGTCTGTCCACGGTTTTGTTGAACGCTCGACGAAACGACAACTCTCGGAGAGCCAGGTGAAGGGTCCGGCAGACCGGAAGCGCCGCGCCAATAGAGGCCACGAAAGGCAAAAAATGGACAAGAGATTCCAAAATTCGGTCTCTTGTACGGTACGGAGTACGGGGCTCGGTCTGGTGGTGCGGTCTGCGGAGCAACTCTGCAATCCGCCTGGCCTTGACCGGCCGGTACGCAACCCTGCCAACCAATGCGAAGCCAGGACAGCAACCCCCGGACTTCCGCACGTTCCCCGCCTCCCATTTGCCACAAGTACACCAAGGCAAGCTAAGCACTAGCTTCGGCAGGAATTCTCCAACTTAAAAGCAGGTTCCTACTTGAGAACTTGAGTACTAGCAGATCGTTGCGGAGAGCAGTCGGCTTACCAGCCCGCAAGTGGGTATCGAGTTGATTCGTGTCTGTTGTTACCTTCCCATTTACTGCCCACCTGCCCAGGTACTTCAAGGCACTCAAGGTACCCAGGACTAAAAAGGCCAACATTGACCCCTTCAACGTTGCCTGGTGGCGACAGTAAAAAACATCCACATGCCATGTGGATTTTTGCGCCCTCTCTATCTAACCTAGCTCCCCGGCATTCAACAATACCGCCCACCACCAGACACCATTTAGACGTGCTCTCCCTCTGCATCACATGCCTCGTGACGTCCACGACGGTCCATAGACCCCTCCCCTTTCTCCGTACCCTGCCTGTATCAAGCCTCTTCCCAAGACCAACCAACCCATGTGAAAAAAAAGCCTATACATTAACGCCACGTTCAAAGTCTCTGTTCCTCTCCCCCACCCACCCAAAGAAGATAAAAACAGGAGAGGTGAAGAAAAGAAAAATGTACAGCTTCCATCATCTCCTTCACCCATCGTGGGGTGATGCCAACACAGAGAATGAGTCATGGTACAAACAAGCGAACAAGCAAGCCCCTCCTCCCCTCTCCTCTACTCACTTGATGATTAAAAAAAAAAAAAAAAAAAAAAAGTGATGGAGAAGAGAAAAGAAAAGAAAAGACAGGGGAAAAAAAGGGGTTGGGGTTGGGGTTCAGGGCCTCTAATCATGGTAGTCAAAGACCTAACAAGAAAAAAAAAGCCAGATGGAGAAAATCCCATGTACGCAGCAATCAAAGCAAACTCTGGCATGCATGGCCCTACCATCATCGTGGTATCCCGCCATGTTCATATTACTCGTCCTGGCCATCAAAGCCCGACATCTCGTCCCATCTCCAAGAAAGACAGACAAGATGATGCCTGATCTGTATATAATATACACTTCGTCCGAGGTTGAAGGAATTGTCGCAATCATGCCGAGTGGTTTGGTGGACTCTGAATGCACTGCGGCCCAACAACCTTCAACATCCTCCATCCTTTCTACTTTTTTCGTGCAAAAAGTGCTTCCTTGACTGAGCCGCGGCGTGCTGTGTCTAGTCGCATCACTGTATCGGCTCTTCTGTTGTCCTCTGTTTGGCTGCAAGAGCCCATTACCAAGATCTCTCGTCTCGACCCATGCACGTATCAAGTTGTTGCGTCCGAGGCTGGAAGGGGAGGGCTTGATGCCTTACTTCTCCTGAAAAAAGGAAAGTCCTTCATCCTAAACCGACTTGATTTCTTCCTCAGAGACTTTCCTTCTGCCTTGACGATACTGCCACCGTGACTTGACTCGTCACCTCCTGCTCCTGTATCACGGAGGACCGTGCCGGGCGACCCATGGCTCGAGGTACTCGGCGGTGACACGTTCAAGCCGGTAGCGCTTAGTGTCCGCTCCACGGACTCGTTACTTACGATACTAGTACCCTGCGTGCTTGGAGAGAGCGCCAGCTTTCCGGTCGTGGCAGTTGTGGCCTGTGAGTGCCAATCTCCGGCGGTGGCACCAGAAGCGCTGCCCTCGGTGGTTTCGCTGCATCGCTGTCTTGAAGTTTTGCTCTCTGTAGTGCCGCTGTCACCCCGTGACCGGCAGTTGAAAGGGTCACTTTCAGCTAGCTCTCGCACCGCGTCGAAAGTGAATGCAGTCCCGTTGAGATCCTGGCGCGGAGCCGCGGTACCACAAGGAGGGATTTTGACAGCACTATCAGCCGGCTCCTCGGTCACGGTTGGTGCCTGCTCTTCGACTCTGTCGGCAACGTCGGCCACGACCCGCGGTGCATCCCCGTCCACCTCCGTTGCTCCATCTGTCAAATTCTTGACCGGCTCGGTACTGGCAACAGCTTGCGCCTGACCCTCTGGCTTGTCGCTCTCGCCAATCAAACTTCTAGTTCTGGGCGAAAAGGCACCCTCTCGGATGCCGCGTCTTAGCCTCAGTTCATCGGGGGACTGCCTTGCCCTTTCTTGTTGCACCTTTTGTTCGAAGAGTCTCTTATTAACTTCGAGCTCAACCACCGTGTAACGCATGGCTGGCATGATGTCTGCGACTCCTTGAAATAATGGCATAGCAAACATGTTCATAAACCCAAGCTGTGCGTTAGACAAGGAGAGTATATCCTTCTTGGGCTGCGCCATGAGCGACGACTTGATATCCAACTCATCCTCCATAGAGGCTTGCCTTGAGAACTCTTCGGAGAGTATGTGCATCCACTTCAGGGCGGTGTCATGATGTCGAGCCTGTGACGAGATCAATCAGCCCCCTGGTGACAAGAAATGCGCGCACGGCGGAGTGGCCAAGAGCTGAGAACCAAACAAGAACAAGAATCACTTACCACATTGCTGATGTCGGCACATTTGATCAGCAGGGAGCATGCGAGTGCCTTGGAATCCTCAAGCTGACGGCCGTTCCAGCCGTCGGTGCTGTTGTTGTCCTGCACTCTTTCCTGTACATCACCAAGTTTCTTCATGTAGTCGAAGTGAAGGCCCATGTCCGTTGCGAGAATCGAGCTAATCATGAGACTGCGCATCTTCCTGTCTTCAAAGGCCGATGGCCAGTACCGGCGGAGGATCTGGGAGTAGGCAGCACAGTGGAATGACTCCAAAACCGACCTGTCGTTGTACAGTTGTGCCAGGGGTGCGTTCAACGTGGCCAAAAAGCCATTGTTGACACCGGGATGGCCTACATCGTGACCGATGGCAGTAACGAGAAGCGTGAGCGCTTCAAAAGGACCCAAAAGTGCTGCAATGGGTGATTTTTCCGCAACAGTGTCTTGTTGGCGCCCCAGTGGATATGGTGCGAGGGCTCCAATGTGGACAAGAAAGTTGAAGGTGGCTTGGAGGACATCCACGACGTGTCGGAAGTTGTGATACGGGACAAAGCTGTTGTAGGCAGCACGGCAGGCGACGAGATAGCTAATAAGTTGGTCTGCCACGTCAAGGTGAATTAGTACGGATCAGTGTCCTATTCTGACTCGAAGGGGGTTTCCAGAGCATGAAGATGGCTCGTACCTGCCGGTATCCGCCATGGCTCCAATTCTGGTTCGGCCAAAGCGTGTTTAAATATGATGAGTGCGGCAACCAGCAACTCGTCATCGGAGAAGGAGTGAGCGCAGAAGTGCCACCGGCCCACGGCGTCGGCGATTTCGACTTGACGGGTGGAAGATACCGCAATATGGGCCCCGGCAAGTTGTCCGTCGTTGCTGTCGAGGCGACATATGCCGTTCATGAGCCCGGATACCATGGCCTCACGCAGGTATGCGAATGGCTTTTGTTCATTGACGCCGACCCAAGATCGCTTTCGACCCTTGGCGACCGCCATCAATGCTTGCTGCTCCTTGGCGGCGTCCCTGTGTGCTTTGTAGGCACAGATCTCGAGGGTGGTGGTGCATTTTGGGCTGAGCGGGCTTATCAGGACGTCGACGGCGCCCAGATCCAGGCACGTTCTCATTAGCTGGCGATTCGCAGCCAGAGTGGCTTGAGGAACTGGTGCTGCTTCCGAAGCACCGTCAGTCATTTGGTGGCCACCGTTGGGCACAGTTGTTTCGGGGTGGCTGATGACGGCCACGGGGACGACAAGTTTTGAGATGTTGCGGAGGTGAGCCTCGGTAATGATCTTTTGCAACAAGCCCAGCCCGTACAGCTCTTCATTGGGCGTGTGGATTTCAGAGGCCTGAGCCACAAGGGGAGGGGTGGAAGGAGATGACCCGGAAAGAGCACGCTGGTCTTGTATTTGGTCATTAAATGGTGTATCCAACAGCACCAGCGTTGGGATTATGTCGGACATGGACCCGTCTTGGAGTTGGAACAGGGTCGACAAACAGGCCGCACCTGTCCCGCATACATGAACTGGAGGATCGGATTAGCATACGCTGGGCGCCGTCAGACGGAAAAAAAAAGGGACGCGCGAAGCATGGAGGGTAGTCGTTGGTGTCACGAATTGAAAGCAGGACGTACCGTCGCCGAAGGTGTCAAGCAATGGCTGCACAAGCTCTCGGGCGTGGTCGCGATTCCAGCCGAGCTGAGCATTCTCGTTGGCTGCATTGTTTGTATCCGGTGCAGCACCTAGCAGTCTATCCTCGCCAACAAGGCGATTCACATAGATGACGTTGCATGAAAGGCGGTCCATTGCGGCATCGGGAGGCTACCAGTCTCGCGACCGGAGCACGTTGCCCACAAAGGCAGGTAGAAATTGTGTCAAGCGACAGGCGGCAGGCTGGTCACAACTTCGAACCCGTCTTGCGGGAGGTACGACAAGTAACAGTGTAATTCGAGACAGCGGCGTCGTACGTCGGATTGATGGCCAGCTGTCAGCAGGATGGCGGGGACGAGAACCAGAGACTGAGTGAATCGTGCGGCCGTCGTCGTCGTCGTCGTCGGGCAACGGTGTCGACCATGCAGGGCGGCAGTGGACGCGGATTGTCGATTTGCGGACGGAGGCTGCAGAAACGTAAATTGGATGCCGGGCCGGGACGCAAAAGAATTATCACGGGAGGGCTGTGAGAGGGTCGGCTGGCGAAAAGCAAGGTCGAATTGGGTCGAGTGGGAGAGCTGTTGCCAGCAGCAGGATCTGATTCCAATGCCTCCGAAGAGCAGTCTCTACCGGCAAAATTGCGCCCGGTGGCGAGGAAGTCGCGCGACAGAGTGGCACCTGGGATGGTGGCTTGTGGTCGACGGAGGAGGGGGGGGGTAATTAAAGAGCCGGCGAAAGGAGCGATGCGGGATCAACAAATGGAAGCCGGGGAGGGAGGATGGAGAATGGAAAATGACGACTGGGACCGGGGCGGGTGCGTGAGCGAGAGGGAGAGGGGGAGGGGGGGAGAGAGCGCGCGCGCGCGACTGAGTGAGTGGGTGAGTGAGGGAGTGATGTGAGAGAGTGAGTGAGTCGCAACTCTGCGGCGAGAAGCTGGTGGTGTCGAGGTGGTGTCGGAGGTGTCGACTCGTCGGGTGTCGCACGTGGAGGGCGAGGGTGGTGTTTGCGAGGCAGCTCGCTGTGGAGGCCACTTTGCAGGCCGTTTCGGAGGGAGGCTGCTGTGGAGGCCACTCTGGAGGAGGCCACCACAGCGGTACTCGTGGCTCGTGGCTCGTGGCTCGTGGCTCGTGGCCCAACCATCGACCCTCGGGAGCCCAAGTGCGCGGGCTGCAACAGCTGCACAGGCCCCACAACTCGAAGTCTAGAAGGGCGAGCGAAGGACGGCGGCGGGCCTCGGGTGGGCGCCCAAGGGCAGGTGGGTTCAATGTTGAGTGTGAGGGTGCACGCGGTGGATAACCGGCAGGTTGGACGGCGACCAGTCGACCGTTTCCGGGGAGCGTTCGACCCGCGGCCATTTTCGTCCCAGGCCAACAGGGAACATTTAAATTCCAGAAGCATGGAGCCGGCCAGACAATGGCGAATCGTAACAATAGCACCGACTGCCGAGCGCCGTGGGACCGGCTGACTGGACCGGGAGACGCTGGACGTGCTGCCATGCAGCCCATGGGGGTCACCAAGCCTGGGCGCGGCGCGAGCGCGGTGCTGCCAACCAAGACGATGAATTAATTCATGGCTGCAAGCCCCGTCGAAGCCCGCCTGGCCCGCCGCCCGCCCCGTGCATGCATGTGCGCGCGCCCATGCAGACAGAGCAGACAGTCAACCCTATTACGAGGTACCGATGCACTTTTGCAGCTGCCCCGCACCACCGCGCTGGCAAGTTACTTGGTAAGTACTTACTTCTTACTAAGTACTTAACCTAAAGTAAGCACTTACTGCCGGGCTTGGTACGTCAGGCACACGCATACCATACCTGCAGGTACCTCGGTGCTTGTGCCTGCCCTGCCCTGCCCTGCCCTGCTCGACACCTGCTGACACCTGCGTCTCCCGACACACAAAGCCAATGTCATCTTCAGCCTCTCTGTTTGCCTCCATTTTACGGAGCACCGTCGTCGCAATGCAGCTTATCCATATCCATATCTACGGGGAAGCACTCCATCTTCCGTCATACCGAGGACGGGTACGGACTAATGCATACGTATCTAAATAAAGCGAGACCGGCCAGCTCCGCAATGTGTCCCCAATTCCCAATTCCTTCGGGGCCAAAGACGAAACTCGGATTCCACGCTGGAATCAACGAAGGAATGCCGACCGACGCGATTGCCATCAGTCCGGCTGCCGAGCAAGAACCCACCACTTGCCGCGTCAACAATGACCATCGGGAAGTGGGCGGGCGTTGGCGGATAGAGCGTTCGAGCATCTCGTCCGAGAGTGTAGATGACGACCATTGCTCGTCTACCTGACCTGACCTGACTATTATAGTTGACCTGACCAAACTACTGCAATAGGGAGATGAGGGATTTTACTTAGTTAGATATCCTAGGAGGGATCTACTCTCTATAGAGTGTTAAGGACTAGCCTTACAGGCGACTGCATGTAAGTGTTACTCGTATTAACTATAAACTGAAAGAGAAAAAAGAGAAAAAGAGAAGTTCTTTGTCTCTATTTTTTATACTATTATACATATAAGTTTTAATATATATTTAAAACATAGAGCCGGAGCCGGCCCGGGAAGCAAAACTACGTAATAGCAGGCAGAGTTTTTCTTCCCAGCTGGAGGGTTTTCCATGTCTGATAGTTATAAAATGAAACAAGACGCCGTGGCACACAACCTCTGCCAAATTTGGCAGCCATGACCGGTGCCGGCTGGCCGGGACGGGGCCCTACGGGTACCCAGACGTGATGCTTGATTAGCCCGGTCAAGATGGTCGGGCTTGGCCATTCATCATGTTTGCCCCTCACCACGTGCCTCGGGCGTGTCTGCCTGCCGGCAGATGTGCCAGCAAACGCGTACGCAGATTATTTTGCGCCCGCAGAAGAAGAGTACGTAGTTGGTATACGACTCGGTTGTAAACACGCCGTCAGAGTCATACCCAGATTTGTGACAAACACACAGCAGGGAGTACTCCGTACCGCGAATTCACCCCAAACTCAACCCTGAACTCTGAACTGAAGCATTGGCCTCCCGGCGTCTTGGCAAACACAAGGAGAATTCCGGGGTCGCCCGCGGGAATGAAATGCCAAGCCCGCCATTCCGTTTCCGGAGACCTTCCAGAATATTACGTCAAACACTCCTAAAAAAAAAAGTAAAGGCAAGCCAAGTGAGAGAAGCGGCTGGAGTGGCTAAAAAAAGAAAGGACAAGAGAAAAAAGAGAGAAAAAAGAAAAAAAAACCCTGCCCCCTCTCGCCCCGAGTACACATGTAGGCGCCGGCCAGAGCACGTTTTGAAGCGATCCCTGTGTCGAATGGCCCCCTGCTCGCCGTCCAGGAGCCGTCGAGGGCGGAGAGGAGGAGGACTCGGTGCGTCTGCGTCTGCTCCATGTCGGCATTCCTTCCGCACACATGCGCGCACGCACGTAGTTAGTTACGTGCCAGACACCAATGGACGTGGACACGAGCAGCACCGCTACTCCTAACCACTGATATTGATGCCCGTGCTGCTCGGGGGCACGCGGAATCTTCGTGTCGTGCCCGTCTCGCAGTCTGCACCGGAAAAAAGGAAAAATAAAAGGAAAAAGCAAAGGGCCACGCGCCAGGGCACACGCTGACGGCCGACTCGCAACCCCCCGTTACCCCGTCGGTTTTGCACTTCCCTCTCATCGCTAGCAGCTTGCCGTGCCGATGCCCGTGACGTGACGTGACGCCTTGTCTTTTCTGTTCGCTCCCTTTGCCCTGCTCACACCAGCAACAGAACCGCGATTACTCCGTACTCCGTACGTCCACGGAAAATTCGCCTCCCCCCGTCCGCCCCGCCACGCCCCGCCACGCCACGCTTGTAACTACATCATAAAACAGACGAGGCGCGCGGCCGGCGGGAAAAAGGAAGAAAAAAAAAAACCCCCCCCACCAGAAACCACTCCTCTCCCCCTTGCAGAGAAAACACGGCAAGGGGAAAAAAAAGAAAGAAAAAAAAAAGTAGTTTCCACAGGGCCACAAGGAAGACGTTGGCCCATCCAACTGCCGACCTCCCTCCCCGCCCGCCCGCGTGGGCCAACCGAAACCCGGCATTCGGCCGAACCGCTGATACTTCGTCCGCCGCCGCATCCCTTGTACTGTATACCGTACCGTCCGCTCGGTCGTCTTCGTGTCCGTGCAAGTCGTGACGGTAGCAGTACTCGTGCGTGCCGAGTGCTCAAGTACACGTGCAGACGCCCAGGCCGCAACAAGTCGACGACTTGTGCACGACAAGAAGTGGCTTCAGACACGTCACGTGATGCTCCCGTCTGGTCGAACAGGCTGCACGGCGCTGCACTGCACCGCACGTGTGCCACCAGCCATCAACCAGCATCTCCCACGGAGGGAGTACAGCCATGATGATCCCACGACAACGCACACAAGTCTGGTCTGCCTCTTTTGCGAGCACCCGCCTGCATGCACGTCATGTGTGGCCGCCCCCTCCTGCAGTCCTTGGCATCGAGTCCTCCCCCCGCGCGTCCCCGCATAACCCGCCGCGTGTCCCGCAGTCTCGAGGGATGAAACATGCATCCCACCCGAAACAACGTACAACTTGCTCTTGTCACAATCTTACTTGCTTTTCTTTTCTTTCTTGCATGTATTCCTTGGACTATGCCAGAAATGATTCACGACTTTGCTCCTGATCCCCCCAACCTTGACTGCGTAATTCGTCTCGGCCATGCCTTGCCCTGCCAAGGGAGGACCGTCTCTACATCTACTTACAATCGACAATTCCTTCTTAATGCAGTGAGACTCCAAAAACCCCGTCCATTGCCAATAAACGCTCTAGGCACTGTCCCGACTCTTCTTGGGAAAAACATACCCCGTCTTTTTCTCTTTAGCCTGCTTGTCTTGTATTGTGTTCCCTTCGTACCCCCGTCGCACCGCTTACACCAACGCCTTGCCCACCTACACAAACACATATATGCTCGCTGCGTCTATTCGCCCCGTGTCGCCTTGTCCCCCTCGAGATGGATCTCGGCTACCAACTCTACGGCGCCCTCTCCAGCTCCATCTGCCGGCACGGAAATGACCCCCCCTTCATCCCACGAGGCCCTCTCCTCGAATGGCGCCGCCGGTGCCATGTCCGTGTCTTGTTCCGACAGCGCTTTGCCTCTCTCATCGCCTGACGAGTCAAACTGCGCATCGTCACTGCCACACCCTGCGTCCCCAATGCCGTTGACACCGTTGCCAATCAGGCTGGTGAAGGTCCAGCTTTGAGTCATGTCTAGCCCCTTGGATCCCGTGTGGTAGTTGCCATCATCCTCAATGCTACGACGAATCGTGTTACCGTCGTACATCGGCAGCTCGTCTTCATCATCAACTCCTGTAAGTGGGGTCACTGTCGTCTTGGTCGATCGCTGTGTCATGACCTCCTCACCAGACTCTGTCGCTTCATGGTCAGAGTGAGCTGCCTCCCTGTCGAACTTGTCAAAGATTTCCCTGAATCTGGGTCCTCCCAGTGGCCCGCTGCTACGGCGACGGTAGAAGAGTAGATATGCTGCCGAGGTGATGACGGATGTGGCATCTGACACCACGTGGACATTTGAATCTATGTTGTCACAGTTAGCATTTGTCTCACACGCGTCAAGTCACTAACCCCTCCGTCGGGTCGGCTGTCCTGTCATGCGCACCATTGTAATTGTACCATTGTCCGTCTACAAAATTCTTGGCATATGCCGTGTAGTGGCCACCGCCGAGGCCGCCATAATGATCATCAACCGCAATCAAGTCGTAGATTTCGGCCTTGCCATCTTCTTTCTGGATCACCCTGGATGTGAGGTCCAGGCCTTCGATGGGAAAGTCAACAAGAACGTCAAGTTTGTCGCGTCGCCAGCCTGAACTGCTGAAGCGCTTGAGATGAGCTACTAGGATATCGGGCGTCTTCCACAGATCAAACTTCTTGCTGGCGCGCCGGTGCTCTTTGCAGCGAGGACAGTACCACATGTCTTGCTCGGACAAGATTTCTGCTCGCTCAAACTCATCCAGACATTCTTCGAGGGTAATGCCGCGGGTTTTGCGCGTGACGCGTCGTCGTTGCGCAATCTTCAAAGCCGGGTCGTGAAGAGTCTGGACATCTACAAACGTCCTTGCGCCGCGGGCCGGGTCTGGCTTATTTGTATAATTGCCAAAGACGGCTTCCCAGGCATCCTCAGTCCAGTCGACGACAATGCCTTCGAAAAGACGAATCAAGGGCCCACCGTCAGAAACGGCAGGGGGCATAGGCTGAGGGGCAACCATATTCGCTCTTTGGGACAGCTTGCTTGCTCGGGTTTGCTTGTCACGTCTTTTATTGCCCTTCTTGCCATATGCCTTGTGTCCCTTAAACTTCTTGCGACTTCCTTGGTTATACCTGGGGTGATGTCTGCCGGTTCGACCATTGACCTGGTGACGTATTGTGAACATTGTCCCCATAGGAACTACGACGGCGGGGTGGCAGTCTCTCACCTTGGAAGCTGGCTGGGCATCCTCCTCGCTTGATTCCTCCATCATTCGCGTCTGAGTAGACCCTGCTGCGACTTCATCCTCGTCTCCGCTCTCCTCGATGCTAGAGCTGGTACAGTTGGAACTCCCGGGGCTAGCTGCATCGCTGTCCTTTGCCCTGAGTTCAGGAATACGATCAGCGATTTTGGGCAGCGTCCTGCTGTTGTCGACACTGGACCACCCAGTTGGAACTGGACCGTCACTGTTGCTCCTGAAGTAGCAAAGCTCAAAGAGGTTCTGGAGCTCTGGATTCAAAAAGTTGGCAGCGTCGGCAAATTTTGGCGCCTGTGTGTTGAAGTGTTTGAGAATTGTCGGTTGTGTGACCGAAGAGCGATGGTTGTTACTTTTATCGACTGCGTCTTTGAGCGTGATATCGACCATGTCGTCTTCACCTTCAACCGAGTTGCTCGCAATCTTGCTGTCGCCTGAAGAGTCAGCGTCAGAGGCTGCAGAGCTGATCATGTCTGCGTCGACGCCGTCGGAGGCATCGGATTCCTGAGTGTTCTTAAACTTGGTCCACGTAGAGAATGTGGCAATCTTCTGTAAAATCTTGCGTTTAATGGCATCGTGGTCGGATGCTTGTTCTCTTGTCAGTGTGATGAAATGAGGGGGTGAGATCCCCTCTGGACCGCGACCTGGAATTTGCGGCCTCCGATGGAGAACCGGTACGACTATCGTGTCGTATTCCTCGTCAGACCACTCTGCTGACTCCGGGGGGGTGTCAATATCCAACATGGATCGATATTTCTGATGCGGTCTCTTGCCAGGCCAATTTGTAGGAACAGCCTCCAGTTCGTGGATTGTCGGCGTGTCCGAGGACTGAATCTCCTCGGATACGTCCTGCGTGTTGGCATAAATTTTGAAGAATCGATCCTTGAATTCCTCGGCACCCATCAAGCGCTCGACTGGGACACCAGTTCTGACCGAAATGAATTGCTTCAATGACTCTATGGAACTGTGCCTTGGCAACTCGACCTCAATCTTCACGGGGACGTCGTTGAGTGGGAAAAACTTTACGGACTTGGACCACATGTTCTCTAGTGGGAGCGGCAACGTCAGGTTATTGAAAGGATCAAAGGTGATACTAATCTTGCCACACTCGGGGCACTTCAGTGTTGACTGGTACAGGCCAGTAAAGAGATCTGCGATGACAGAGTCATCTCGGCGGCAGGTTATATCCCATACCTTGTCAGCCATCTCTTTGATAGCTTCAGGGTTGTTGATCATGTCATCAGTGGAGTCGGGCTTCTCAATGTAGGGCTTGTTCTCGATCCTGCTCAGATCTTCTTGAAGGGCATCGAGCAAAAATCCCAAGAACTCCTGGGAATCCTGCTGGCTCCATCCAGAGAAGGTAGGACGGCAGCGACCTACAGTGGATTTGAAGTCTCGTGGACTTACGGAACCGCGATCTTTCTCGTAGATTTCGCGGAGAAGATTGGCGAAGACGATGGCCACTCTACCCTCAAACCCTAGCACATTGGTTTTGTTTATTTCGGTGAAATAGGAATCAGTCAAGAAGTACTTGGTGAGTTCCTCGACGCTCCGAACGCATTGCAAAGCAGAGTTCATATAGCAAGTGTTTCCCAGGTTTTGCAGACCAACGGCGCCGATGCTTCTTCCACTCCGCTTCTTTTGCACACGGCCTCGCGTCATGGGGCCGTCAAATACGGGGCTGCTTCGATTGCTGCTAGTTTTGGAGGAGATTGTGCTTGCCACGAGGCGTGACGGTGCCGACTTGTCAGCCGCCTTGATCCGACCGGTGTAGTTGCTCACAAAAGCATTGCCAATAGCCTCATCCAGAACCAAGGTTTGATCCGTCGTCAGCTCGTGATGTTGCAAGGTTGACTGTCCGTTGAACTTGTCATTGGCAGTCTGATCGATGAGCGGCACGGAGACTCGAAAATCTCTGACTTGCGAGAAGGAGACAACATCGACGAGCAATGTAGGCCAGATGAACTGATTCCCCTTTCCGCCACGAGCTCTCCCAGGCGAATCCGGGGGAGTGAGTGCTGACGCACCCTCGGTCCCTTGTCCAGTGACTTGCACGGAGGCCGGAATCGAAAACAGTCGCACCTTGCGTTCCAGACTTACTCCTGCAAGGGTCTTGATCTCCTTGAGAAAGCTTTGGGCATGAGCAGTGGCGCTCCTTGCCATGAGCAGAGGGGGTGGGTTTCGGGCCTTGAGAGACTGTTCAATGGGAATAGTGCTGACATCGGACCACAGCCGATGTACTTGAAAAACAGGTGGGTGAAACTCGTAAAGGATGTTGGGTGGTGCTTGTTTGCTATCCGCAGTGTTGACAGCAATGCGAGCAATCGGCTGTTGTCCTTCCTTCATGCCGTACCAATCCATGACTAGTTTCCAAGCATCTTCCGGAAATAGTTCAAAGGATTCACTGCCCAAGCCAGGTATGAGACGAACAAAATCCCTGCCGCTAGAGTCTTTGATGATTTCCTGGACAATGTCTGCGTTGTCAACCGGCCCCAAGGAGACACCCTCACCGTCAGCCGCGACAGACTTGGAGCCGGGCCGTAAAGCAAGGGCTTTATCGACCCAAGTTCTCGAAACCAGGTAGGCCACACTGCCTTCTTGCACGGGAGCTTCCGCAAATGCTTTTAATAGCATTTCAATGATTTTGACTTGCTCTAGCAGCGGCGGGGGTGCTAAAAAAAATTTCAAGTCAACGTTTGGCTCATTTAAATTTTTGTATATTCACGCAAAATCTTTGACCCAGGCTTGTGGGTGTCTGTTCCCGACATATACTTGACATGCCAGGGCACATAGGGAATCGTCCTCTTCAGTGCAACAAGGTTTCTTACCTTGAGACAGAGAGGCCTCGTGGCCGTTCACATCGGGGGCATCGATGCTCATTGCGCGAGGGAATTCTGCGGTAGATGGACTTCGTTGCGGGGTAGACTGAGAGGCTTCCAAGTCCATGGTGGTGCCGTTCTTGGATGGAGGAGTGTCGGGATCCATGCTGGAGGCCCTTCGTTTTAATGGCGAGGAAGATCGTTGTGGCAGGTCGGCACCGCCATTCATCACGGCCCTTCTCGGGACAACAAAGGGAGACTGGCTTCTGCTTGTGTGGGGTGCAGGGCCAGTCTCGTCTCCTCCTCGATCGCTGTCGAGAGACAACTCGGCGTAGGCGGCGGCGCAAGGTGAGGATGCCGTCGAGGAGGCGTAGTCAGCCGAGACGAGGGAGACGGCGTGGGTGTGTTGCAACCGCGGGGGGAGGCTTGAGGCGGTTGCAACAGGCAGCGGTTCCGAACGAAGGAGATATCGAGGGACGCAGGACTCGCGGGTGGGAATTGCAGAACTGGAATCGGCAGGGAAGGACGGGAGAGGATCGTCGTCGGGTTCAATTTCACACACAGGCAAGACGGGATCGGGGGACGGCGGAGTTGGAGCGTCCGGAACTTGCTTGGTCGATGGCGGCGGGCGGGCAAGCTTTCTCTTCTTTGAGGACGGCGTCTTGACAGTGAGCTGCACGGGCAGCTCGTCGACAAACGAGGACGATGGCGCCGAGGGTGAAAGATTTCTGATTCAGTAAAAGATGAGGGACTGTTGGAGCAGCCTCACGCATTTAAAGGGAACAAACGGGAAAAAAAAAGAAGGGAAGGAAAAAGAAAACAAGGTTCCGGGGCGGTTTTGCGGTAGTCTTGTGGCGAGGACACAAAAACGGGAACTCCAGATGGTTCGGACCGACCAACATTGATTGAGCCAGGCCGACCAGTTTGAGTAGATTTGACTCGAACGGCGCCGGGAGACCCCCCTTGGGGGGGGGGGCAGCTGAACATTGAGCACAGCGAGCGGCAGGCGGCGTCAGTGGAGTGGTCAAAGCCAGACGCGGACGCGGGGGGCCACAAACGGGGACCACAAACGGGGATGGCCGTGGGCGTACGGAATAAGTTTTTAACTTGACTGGTGCACATGTGGGGAAGAACGCTTGGAGCAACAACAGGGGGGCGGACAGGAGAGAAGGAAAGAAAGAAAGAAAGGAACGAGAGGGAAGAAGAAAGGAAAGAACGAGAGAGGCGCAGAGACGCACACAGAGAGACAGACATGAAGAGAGAAGAGAAGGAGCATCAGGGAACCAGACGACAAGACGCTGTAGGAACAACAGCCGGCTGGACCGTCAGTGGACGGTTGACAGCACTTGAGTACTTCGTAAAGTAAAGTACCTAACCTAGAGGGAGCCACGAGATCCGGCACAGACTACTGCGTTAAGTACCGACCAAGCACATGCCAAGTACGTACTTCTCAAGTACACATGCACAAACCCTGCTACTTGACCTGCCGGTTGAGACTTTCATTTCATCTCGCCCTGGCAGCCGTCTCGGGCTCGTCAGATCAGTCAATTCAGGTTCCTACCCAAGTACTTACTTAAGTACCTAGGTAGATGTACGCACACTCCAAATTCCATCAATCAGCCATTCATTAACAAACTAACTACTCACCCAGGCAGGAGGAGGGACGTTGTACTCGTCACGCAACGTGTCGTCGGCCGCCGCTGGGCTGGCGCACTCTCCTTGTGCTTCAATGAATCTTCCCAACCAACACGGACTTGTGATGCTCCTCTAAACCAACTAGTCATCTGAAAGTTCCGACCTTAGATATCCCTCTAGCCTAAGTACGCACGTTCTGCCATTACATCCAGCATATCGACCCTATGCAGCCGAAACCGTTTCAGCAAGCCTAAACGCCACGTACCAATCGGTATGAGCCACCTCTATAAAACTGTGTCTTGTCTACAGTGTTGCTGTCCATTGCCGGTGTCTGCTCGTTGAACTTCTTGTATGACTGACTTTTTTCTACCACTGCAATTTTTGTGCTGCCAATATGAGCCTCCATGTGGCCTTGATCTCTCAACTTGGGCTTCAAGTCGCATGAAAGCTGGCCGGTACATGGTCTTTATCCCTTTTTTTTTGGTTGTTTCAGGCTTTTTCATTTTATCGAAGAAAGAAAGAAAGAAAGGCAATCAAGGTGATTCCCGTCACTTGACAGGTGCTGGACCGAATTGCTCTCATCTTGTATCCTTTTTCCTTTGTGTTTGGCTGTTTATAGTTTGGCATCCGTCTCCTTAAACTCGCTAATCTGCTTGATAGGACGTACGCCTGGGCTGGCTTGCAGACTAGCTTTGAACTGGCGTACATCGGTAATGACTTGAGCTGTTTCGACTGCGCTGCTGTCTTCCGTAGACCCATTTGTCGCCGCAGTGTCCGAGGTCTGGGCAAGTCCGCACTGCATTAGTTTGGAAATGATCCCATTTAGTTTTTCGCCCTCCAGAGCCCTACTCTCTTTCAGATATCCGCGTACGACGTCCAAGCTTTTCCGTTTCTTTTTCGGAACATCCACAACACCAGCCTCGTTTAATATTTCCACCACCTTGGTATCCAGGCCACGTGCCTTGAGGTGCAGTGAGAGGCGACAGCGAGTGCTTGAAGAGGGGTGAAAAAATGTCTTGTAGAACTGCACCATTTGTGTTTTCGTAAGCGTCGTAACGTCGTCTGCATCGTGCTGGGCTGTTTGGGCATCTCGACGTCAGCGTACATCGTCCATATACTATATATAGGTCACACGCAGCGTGTTACGTGTCAGACTTCTCTCACCTAGCTCGAAATCGTAGTATTCGGATTCAATCTGGATCCAGTGTCTCGCCGCCTCCTGGCCCAGATCACGTAATTTCTCTAGGCACCTCACCAACAAACTTCGCTTGTGGCTCTCGAATTCGCAATCGCTCATTTGCTCAAGCTTCTGTCCAAATCGGGCCAAAAATGTCTCAATTCGTCTGTCGAGGTACTTGGGCTTCTTGTTGCTCTGTATCAATAATCGGAGCCCAGTTGTAGTGGAAAAGTTCCGGATGCCTGTGAAGACGACATAGCCAAGCGCCTCCTTGGTGCGGAGCTGGTCAAAAGCAGGCTCCCGCATCATTTGTTCGATAAGAAGAGTCTTTCCTCTGAGTTGACGGTCGCCTTGTTCGCCAACGTAAAACCATGTCTCAACACAGTGATTGACATCTTGAGGATTCTTGAGGTCACGCCTGTACACGTAATTGGAGCCACGGGGAAGTATCAGGGAGCGTATAATCGGCCACTGGGATCGAGGCAGAGGGCGAGGCCTGAGCGTAGACTCGACCATATCGGTCAGCTCGACAGCGTCGCTTCTCTGCAGGTTGCCAAGAGCGTATACTTCAATGTACAATTGAGACAATATCTGCTTTTGGAAAAGTCGCACAGCATCCGCGGTGACGTGTTTTAGCTCTTCAGCCTTTTCGTCTATCGTGTAAAAGGTATCGGCGTTGAGCCAAGTCAGATAGCCTCCTGTTAATCTATAAGCTGGCTCAAGGTGCGAGTTTTCGTAAGCACGGACAAGTTGCTCGTGGACGATGCGAAAGCGCTCCTCTTCGATATCGAGGTCTCTCATAGTGATGGCCACCTGCTTGAGCAAGACGGCAAGTTTCTCATTGTATCCAGAGATCCTGATATCAAGACCTCGCGTACTGAGCGAGACGATATAATCCAGTCCGGCAAGCTGAGCATCGTATGAGTATTCTTGGAGGGCATCTTGGACGAGCCGACTGAAAAGGCTTGCCTTGACGCTGTTCTCCGCAGACGCAAAGATGATGGGGTTTTGCAAGCAAACACAGACATATGCTTTGGGAACCCAAAATGTATCGTCCTTCTTCCACCAAGTCCGCGCTCCTTGGTCATTCCGCAAGACCCATGGAGCCAAGGCAGGCTTTGAGACCTCCTTCTTCTCCACCTCAAGGCTGTCAGGGATGAATTCGTTCTTGCGCGGCAATCTTAATTCGGGGAGACGCCTGCTTTTAGGCATCTGCATGGCTGCTTGGAGATCGGACATGAGGCTTGAAGGTATCTTCTCGTAACGGTACTCTGTTCCGTACCACTGTTCTGTCTCATCCCAATTTCCTGGAAACTCTCGGGAAACAACCACGAGTCTCATGTTCTCTGGGCGCAACTTTTCCAAAAACATTGCAATAAGCGAAGGGTCAAAAGTCCGCAATCGGCTTTGTCCACTTAGCAGCCACTCACGGGGCAGGGGCTTCTGCATGACAGAGCTGACTGAACTCGTGAATTTGCTAGCGAATACCTTTGGTGCAAACTTGAAGTCCAACTCGGCCACCCTCTTCTGCTCCTCGAATATCCATTCCTGCGGAGGAGATTCCCGTAGCATTGCAACGTACTGGAAAAAGATGTTGGTGATTTGAGGGTAGTGATCCAGGCCCTAAATTCAACAAGTCTCTGTTAGCTCCTGTCACCTCACTCTTATGCATGACGACGGGGATGTCTGTACGTGCCTCCTTGGTCAGCTTCAGTGACACTTCAAAGATACCAGGCGATCCAGGACACACAGGGTGCGCACCACTGGATATACTGTTGACCCAGCCCTTGGTTTTGAGGTATGACATGAGGCTGCCGGGGCTTTCGTGCCCCACGAGATGGCTAATGTATCTGCCCGGTTGCGTCTCAAACATGGTCTCCTCGTCAAGAGAGGGGAACATCAGAACAAGTGTTCTCGAGTCCAAGACTGGTTTGGCAAAGCACTGTGTGGCCAGGTCGGCCTCACGATAGACGGGTTCCTCAGTCCACCTGTTTGGAGACAAATTCTTGTTTTCAATGCCCGAGAAGAGCTCCACCACCCATTTCTGCAATACATCAAGTGGTTCGCGGCCAAGAACGACGAGCTTCATTCGGTTGGCAGAGTAGTGCTTGGCGTGGAACTCGAGGAACTTTTCACGAACGTTGATCCCTCGGGACTCGGGTATCGCCTTGAGCACCCGCAGGTTGCCTGTAGAGAATTGACTATACGGGTGCTCGGGATTTGCCAGTGATTTGCTCAATTGGTATAAGCGCCAAATATCGTTTTGTAGGTTCTTGTTGTTCTCTTCGTTGACCGCCTGCAACTCTCTGTCCACCGTGTTTTCCAGAAAAAGAGGCGCAATGAAGAACTGCGCAAAACGGTCAAGGGCGCCGAGGAGCGGTGACGGATTGGTGGCTGAAGGCTCGTCATTGTTGGCAGGCAAGGCCGCAACCTCGAAGTAGTAGTTTGTCGAAGTAGATGTCGTGTAGGCATTGGAGCTACCCGAGTTCGCAGACAAGTACTGGCCGTATTCGTTTTCGCCGGGAAACTTGGCTGTGCCCATGAATAGAAGCTGCGGCGGTACAAGTATTAACCAATGAGTCAGAGACAACGACGATAATAGAATCAAAGGCAAGGACTCGGGTGCTGCATATACTTACATGTTCTACACCATGTGCCAAACCAGGCATTTCTCTGGGATCGCAGAAGTTGCCGACATTGACGTCCAAGGCAGCACTGGCCTTGTCGGTCTCGGGGTCGTGAACGAGAAGCACCTCGAGCTCGTTCTCGAGACGGACAACGCGGTAGTCACGAAGGTCATGCAAAGGCTTTTCTAGGCGGTCCGTCACGAGAACAACGGCAGCCTGGCGGCCGGTGGCCAAGTCCGACGAGCGTGGGGGTGACATTGTACAAGTTCTAACGCCGCGAGCCAGGCCACAGAGGACGACTTGCAAGACGCCAGAGGAGAATGCCGAGGCAACCGAGAGAAAGAATTCGTCCTGGCCGTCGATGGGCTAGGGCAGGTTGTATGCGCAAGTGCACAGCTCAGGACGGGATACAAAGCGTCCAGAGAGAGATGGTCCGCACGACTCGACGAGAGGGAGCAGACCGTCAGACGACGAGCCAGCCAACGTCGCCAATGGCCTACACGCTACACCTAGGAAGTATGGAACTACCTGGTCGTGTATGGATGGGCCTATGCGATACGACACGAAACAGTATGCGTCACTCGTGAGCAAGACGCGTGAGGCGGTCCGTCGGGTGGGAAGAAGGAGAAGATGCGAGTGTGGTGGCGGCAGCGGCAATGCATAAGTAAGAGGAGGTGCGCTGAGGTGGTTTTCCCTCTATTCAGCTTAAGTACCCAAGTCGGTAAGTTCTGGGGTTATTCACGGGTACCCGGATAGCTGAGTGGATGCAGTTCGGGCGGTGAATGCTTGTGTTCCTGCATGGCCGCCTACTTGGGCACTTGAGTACTAACGTACTTCGAACCACAGACCAGACGACCAGGCACCTCGCGTCAGGAGCAGCGCGCAAACAAACAAAACACCAGACGACGACCTCAGCAAGATGCATCAATCAACATGTAAACTCTCCCGGTGCTCTGTCGCCTGGGCAGGCACCACACATGTGCATTTTGCTCGGGCAAACTTTGCATGTTCAAACATGGGGATACGTCGGTGTGATACCATCTGGCATCCACACATCCCCGTGGGCATTGTACGCCACACCCTGTACTCCATCAACAGCCGTTTTCCCCCTGACGGAGTGTGCCTTATTGAAACTTCGGCGTCAGCGTCACCAGGGCTGCCATGCCAGGGCCCGAGAGCACCTGTTGTCGTCGAGGGAGGCGTCAACCCAACCGTCAAATCCATCCGTGGCTCTCCGTGTTTGAATCGAGCAATGGACAACGAATGCCAGTCTGCAATGCCCCTGTGAGACCTTGTCACTCGTTGCGATGCAAGACACAAGACCGTACACGATAACGATAAGTGGCAGACAACCGCTACATCCTGCTAGGCGTGTGCGGAGCAATACTGGGGAGTTTTTACGGCGTGCTGGGAATAGTACTTGCTCACCAGCTTGCTCTGGAGGCTCAACTTGCGTACTCAGTCTTGCATGCACCACGTCCCAGGATGCCTTCCAAAACCTAATCAAGTACCAAAGGCGATTGCGATTCACGCGTGGCTGCGGCACAAACTGCACCAACACTGCAGCTTCACCTGGAGGCAGACAGGGGTCTCAAACCCGGAATACCATCTGGGTACTTTATGAACAGAGTACGTATAGTCGCGCTCAATGCCGTCTGGGGCACGTACAAGCACTCAAGGTAAGTACCAAGTACGTACGGAGTAGCCAAGTAGCAAATGCAATGCAAGCGTTGTGCATTGGCATGTGCATTAGTTAGTGTCAGTGCTCTGTGTGCACACTGCGCACACCGCAACCTGTCAGCCGAAGCAATGCCGGCCGTATGGTCCTAGACTCCTGTCCAACGGCAAATCCCGAATAGCGCTACCTACCTACCTAATTTGTATTGATTGATTCCTACTCGAGTACTTGATTTAATCCATTGGGTTTTCTACTCCCCCTTTTTCCAAGCACACAACTACCCCCTTGAGTACTTAGTAGGTAGTCAGTCTCTGTAGTCGGCGCGCGCCACATCAAAAATGGTCTCACAACCAACGTTCCGTCTCGTCTCGCCTCGTCTCGCCTCTTTGAAGGGAATTGTGTCATGTCCCGTCGCGTACAAGATGCCACGCGACCAATCGGTAAAGACAATATGGCCAGGACCAGGTGTCTCGACAACCAACCGCTTGGCTGCTTGTAATGTCAACTGGTGGTACTCCGTAGTCCTTGTCACGATGTGTCGAGGTACCTACTTTGAGTACTTGGGAAGTTGGCGCATTCTTCCGTATCCATATCGTGGACCTTACCTGAAAAATGCATACCCGCTTGCCATGTTCGCGCAACGAATGAGTCTTGCTTCGACATTTGGAAAAGTCTACGACATAGACGACTACTTTAAACTCAAGCGGCAAAAGGTTTGTTTTTTTGGGGAGTATGGGTCGGTCTGGTGACTGCCACTTTGCATAACCCTTAGGCTTCGTAATCCCTGTGTAGCAGCGCTGTGCTACGAGTCTTCGACAGACCAACTTGCCCTTCTGGTGGCCCTTGAAGAGGGGCAGTTGATCATGGTGACGTTCGTCTCGAGAGGTAAAACATCTTTGAATTAAAAATTTGCGCGGAATACTGAGCAAACCAGTTTTTGGCAATATAAGTCATGAATTATCTCTGTCTAGTATGAAGAGACCGGGCGCAAGTGCGAGTCCTTGGCCGATACGATCTTTTCCCTCAGTCGGCTTCACTCAGGGGTACCATGTCAGAGAGATGGCTGGGTTGACAGACATCGCTGGTCTCGTGAGGCAAGTCTCATGGAACAATGGTCACAGGCATGAAACTGCCGCCGGGTAGAGGCAAATGAGGCTCCCGGCTAGATCCTTGGCCTCTCCTTCTGCTTGTCACGGTAGATAGCGCGATGACACATTACTGTGGTATTGCAAGCTGATTTGAAAATCGATCAGCGACTCTTGATCGATGGCCTCATCCCCGGTCATGGTAGAGTAATATCTGGATGAGGGATGTGGGGGGCACGCGAGTATGAGACGCAAATTGCCTTGGCATCCTCAAAATCAAATTCTGCCACGGCATGAACTTGAAGCTCTCTTGAGGCGCACTCTCCACTGCCAGGATAGCGTCGTGACAACGCCGTTAGAAGCCCATCGTATGCGAGGAACGGCGACTTCATGCAGTGGCTAGCAACACGATGGCTTAGCGCCGTATTATGAAAAAGGCGGGTATCAGAGCAGAAGCAAGTTGATAGAAAAGCGGCGGCGCCATTTGTCAATCAGGTTCGTCGTTAGCCCGGGGCGTTTCGCTTGGAGCATTCTGAAGCTCTGTGGCCAAGTCGTTGGCAATTATAGCACTTCATTGCCTTTGTGTTTGGGGATGCATGAGAACTAAATTGTCCGTCGCCAGCAGAAGAGATGGCGGTCAACCTGTTTAAGCGCACTTCCTTCCGTTTTCTCTTATCGCGAAATTCTTTGGCCTTGGACGCTTCGTGGCTATGTCGTGACCGCGACTGGGACCGAGATCGGGGTGATTTCATGTTCCTGTTTCCGTCTGATGATCGAGTTATACGATTTCGACCGGTAGAGTCGCTTTCGTCATCCGAAGTCCCGTCTGACTTGTCGCCAGACTCGTCAGAATTATCGCCATGGGCTGACTGCTTGCAAATTGTCAGCAGGCCTTTCAGAATGTGAATTCAGTTCCACCTATTCTGAAATTTCGAATTCATCAACAGACCTGTTCTGTCTTTGGACGTTTCTGATATGTTCTGCCCTCAGCAGGATTGTCCTCGGTTTCATGAGAATCGTTGGACGCGTCGATGTCGCCATATCCCACGTAGACAATGTTCAGAGAATGTGACAGCTTCTCGCCTTGGGGCTCATCAATTTTAGATTTCAAGACCCAACGAGTGTCAGCGGAAGAATGTCTTGCCAGCGCTGCTTGACGTGTGGCTTCTTGATCGTCCAGAGCTGCTTGTATTAGAGCTTGGTCAATGTTGGGATCAATGCGGCCAGGTGCGGGAGAATGATCTAGTTTTCGCTTCTTGGATGAAGGAAGACCAGAATTCGGAGAGCCATTAGACGAAGCAGATGCAACTGCACGCTGCATAAACTTCATCGTCAATAGTCTCGACGAGATTCCCTTAGGTGTCTCTGCAGCCATTTTGTCGCAGTCTCTCTCATAGGAAGCTAGAGAATAGTATACGCCACCTGCGCCAAAAAGAAAAAAATAGCAAAAGGTCAGGACAGTGAGATGCTGACAGAAGCTAGCGAGTGTTTGACTTCTCTGAGTCGGGCCAGAACTGGGAGTTGTTCGCTGAATCTGTAAGACAGACGTTACTCAGACCCTATTTTTTTCGAAAAAATTCGGGAAGCTCACGGGATAATACTTAATCCGCTGTATAGTCCCTGCGGGGGCGAGATGGGTCGGGTATTCCCGACCTCATACCTGGGATGTGCTGCTTCTTCAGCGCACTCGGAACCGACGACACCGCCGATTTCGACGTCCGAACCATGTTGCCCTCTCAATCGAGGTCGATTCGCGTATTTTCACGCCATTTGCGTGTTTACAGGCATGCAATAACCACCACTACTCGCCGACTCGAGGCCGCTGTGCCTGCAACTTCCAGAACCGAAACTGCTCTAACGGAAGAGACTCAAACCAAACCTGTCCCGCAGGCTCCAAACCGTGTTGATATTTGGTCTCGCAGCCAAATGCCTCGATCTAAAGCTATGACCGGACCTCGGTTTGAACAAACCGACTTCGACCTTCAGGTGAGCGGCCATGCCTGAATGCCTTCACTGAAGCATTGCAATGCTAAATCACAGGCAGCCTCAACCTCTGTCAGCAATAGAAATGATACACGAAGAGGCCGTCCGGTGGACACATGACCGTATCGTGGCCTGCGATGGTGGTGATGGCCCTGCTGGCCACCCTCGAATTTTCATCAACACCGACAAACCTGAAATCGCGACGTGCAACTACTGCGGTATTCCCTACGTATGTCACTCTTGAAGCTGCTCCGTGTGTTCTGATAAGCTCAAACTAAAGATGGAACTAGGCCAATGAGCACCATCGAAAGCACCTAGAGTCCCTCCCGAAGACGTCGTATCCCTTATCATGATTGCGCCAACGGAGCGTGCCGAAAGGAATTCAAAGGAACACTATGGGGTTGAGCATGTGCGATACAAGACAAGAGTGAAGGACTGCTTAGAAACCTGCTACTTTCCTCTGCATACAAGTATGCTGGAGAAGGGGGGGTTAAATGTATATATCTCCTCAAATTGATGTGTGGTCCATTGGTACTTGGCGCTCGCCTCCCTCTCCCTCCAGCTGTTGGATGAAGCCACGACCACGGCTATTCATATTTCCTATGATTTCGTCTGTGTGCTACTCTGGCTGCGATTTACCGCGCACAGTAGAATCGCAAATAGCGCATGTTCTGCCTGATGTTGTTCCAGACTAGGCGGATGCGACAACAGAATAGTGCGAGAAACGGAATTCATTGGTCAAGCATTTTCTTCAACACCAGCATATGTATAGACGTCGCCCTCGCAGTGGCGCTCAATTCTAATGGCGTGGTTGAAGCATTTGCCTGCAGTCCAGCCAACTACCGTCCGAGGCTCCGTCAAGGCCCACGGGGCAACCCGTTTGAACATGCCGAAACTTCTTTCTCGCCTTTCACAGAATACTAAATTCTCCAGCTCAATATGTCTTCGACTTCCTCTGGTCCATTAACACGACATTTCTCTGTACAAGGTACCACCAGTCTGGGCAACTAGATAGTAAGAATGTCGGAGCTCTAGAAGGAAAGAGGGGCCTTGAGGCTTTCAAGAGTAGCAAAACTCGGTTCACATGACTTGATAACCATTATCAAATGGCCATTCTCGGAGCTAAGAGTGCATTCCGGAGAGGAATCGAATGCATTCCATTTGAGTACTTGGCTTTGGCGACAATGGCCATTCCTTCGCCGGTTCAGCCGTCCTGGGCCGAACGAAGAAAGCGATACGAGTACGCCGTGCTCTCATGCCAATCGATTCTACATCTTGGCCGGGTCTTTGTGAGAGACTAGGCCGCGAAATTCTTGCGGGTTGTATCGTGGCGCTCATAGACGGAGCGGATAACCCCGGATGAGGTGGCGTGGATTTCCCGACCTTCGATTAATCCATCAGTACGTCAGAGCAGCGTGGACAGCTAGGCCACCTTGAGATGCTCTGAATCGAGCATCTCTGGCATCAAATGAAACACTGGAAGTAACGATGGTCAAATCATGTCTTCGTGTTCGTATCAGTTAAGTGACAAGACGGCAACGATTACAAACTGAATGTCGTTCCCGATATCTTTCAGATGGCCCCTCGAAGCTGACTAGCCAGTTTTCCGGTCCCTTTGCTCGGACCGCTGAAAACAGACAAGAACCTTGACTGCGGCTTCGACGCCTTGGTTGCGGTTTGCCTGCTCAGTGAGAAGCAGCAGGCTTCATACGACAGCAATAATACAGAGACTAGTTGGCTTGGCACCCAATGGCGGTGCCAGAATTCGCGCCAATCTACAGCAGATAGGTAAGACACGGCATGCTTAGGTAGGCCACGATGGCAATACAAGACGTACCTGTGCAATCCTCGCACAGCAAGCACGAATTTGGCCACTGAAGCCACAATCAAGACCGCCCGGTGTGCAATTAATGCCAGCTATTCCGCTGGGTCTCTCTGTTCTTACAAGAGCGTCGCAGCAAAATGGGGTACATTGAGCCCTCGTCGACACAGCAAAGGCCTAGATGTGCGGCATATCAGCTCAAAGATGTGCTCGGGCAGCGAGCTACAACCAACCCACCTCGTCCTTTGGCAACGCAAAGGCGGACCCAAGAACCAAGAAGGTAAAGGCAGAGACAGCAGCCGAGCGGGAAACCATTTTGGTCGATTGTAGAGCGGCAAAATCTTCTTGTAGAGCCGTAGATGTGGTTGCTGCCGGTAAAGTTGGAAGCTATTGGCTTTTTATATTTCCATCTCCTACCTGATACCTTGTACTCTCTGCTTCGCTAACGCCCTCAGCCAACCCCACTCGACGTTAGTTTTCTCTCAATTGTCAGTTTTCGGCTGAGACCTGCATATGCACACATCTGTTCTTGGTGATGGTGGCCACGAACTGGTGCGCGTATACATATTGCGCGGAGTCTGGTCCGTGGGCTAAACAGAATGTTTTATTCATCTGTGAGGTACGTAGTTGTGGCGTCATGATCAGACACTGCCCTTGAGAAAGACGGAGACTGTCAGTTTGCCAATTTGGTAGCTCTGTCGCCTCTTCTTTGCCCGACCGCATACAGCTCATCCTATTCGCTGGCAAGATGAGGCAAGGCAAATATCTGCTCCCTGGCGCATTTTGCGCTCCCTGACAGCGACTTGCTGACAATTAAGGCCACCTTGCTTCAATTTTCGGCTCAGAATCGTCCTTGGCGCAACAGTTCACTGCAAATGACAGCTTCTCTGATGCTCTCCGTCCGCTCAATTTTCGACGAGTCACCTGCAGTGGGAGATGTCTTGGGTCAGGATGTCCCATATCAGACAAGCTGAACGAAGCCAAATACTCACTGAGACATATAAGAAACTTGCACCAAACGCAAAACTGGACGAAAAATGGCACCGGCCTCGTCAGATCTCTTTTCCTCGAGATGTGCGATGGCTGGTGATGCATTGAGCGGGTTTCATCTGAGGGGCGTCGCGACAGACTACTTTTCCATGCCGAGCAAGAATTGGAGTTGCATAGGACCGCGGCGCGAAGATTCACACCCTTCGTGGGTAGTTGAAGATGGTTCCAGGCCACGGCCAACTGGACAAAGGGAATGAATCCTCCAACTCGGCTGCACGTTTTCGTCACAATCCGAATTGCGACTGGATAACGGATTCACCATTTATGGGGAACGTTTGGCCCGGTCATCTCCCATGCGTGGTCCTCCAAACGTGGAGACAGCGCTCACAAATCCAAGTTCAATTTCTCAGCGGGCGAGTATGGGATCAGGACATTGTCTCCGATGAGTTTGGACATGTCGGGGTGTTGCGGTCGTTGGCGGCGGCACTAGAGTCACCCAGAAAAGCAGACAGGGTGCGACCTTCTGAGGATCTCAGGAAAGCTTTCTATTGGCGTAAATGGTTGTCTACTAGCGTCCAAGGCGCACGACTGGAAGCTGCTTCAACTCTTTATGCAGAGAGGAAGTTGTCGCAATATATAGAGGTATTAACACGCCAAACGTAAAGTTTTGGGTCACGTGCCGTACACTTCTAGTGCCTGCCTACCTAGGTAAGTCCCCACCATGGAAACTACTTACTTTGGCAGGTACTTTGGTGCATATGCCTAGGTACCTGATTAGGCAACACAAAAATAATGGCAAATTATTAAAACAAATCAAGATGCCATAAAGTAGGAATAAATAATAAATAAGGAGGATTAAGTATATAATGATCTAGTCGTCTATCTAAAACGTAAACTTATTTTAAATTTCTTCTAAATCTTCTCCTATGTCCCTCTTTTCAAGAAGCCGTCAATCGAAACACAGAAAGTGACTTCCCAAGGCAGCTGCCCGGTACTTTTGATAAAAGTATCCAGGAAAGCCCGAGGCAACCCGCAACATTAAGTACCTACCTACTTAGTAGGTACCCTTAAGTTTAAGTAGGTAAGTAACATTACCTGGGTACTTTACAAAGAACCCCAGCGTTCATCGTGCGACGAGCCGCTGACGTCTGCCAGGTCAAGATGCCGCAACATTCTTCCCAACAGCACCAGACGTCTCTCACCACGACGATTGTGCTCATCCTGGTCCTCTCCGTCGCCTTCTTCCCGAATCTATTCCACAGCATATGGACCTTCCCCTTCACCTTGATCCCGTTCTTCCACTCCTCGTCCAAGGGATATGCTGGAACCGGCAAAATGGCTTGGTTCCAGAAGCAGTTCACGCTCCCCGCCAAGTCTCGCGGCTCCTATCTCATCACCGACCAGGTCGTTTCTCGTCTTCCCGAAATCAAGGACTACAAGGTCGGCTTGCTGAATTTGTTCATCCAGCATACCAGCTGCGCATTGAGCTTGAACGAGAACTGTACGTGACGTTGTTGCCGAACTCTTTGGGCCCGAAACTGAGATGCGATGCAAGGGGACGAGGACGTAAGGGCAGATATGAGTGATGCGCTTGATCGCATTGCGCCGGCCAACGGCCCAAAGGGCGAGGCCTTGTATCGCCATGAGTAAGTCCAGGGTATTTGCAGTTCATGAGCAAAAATCATGTCTGATGGGTTTGCATTGTAGTGCTGAAGGTCCTGATGACATGCCTGTAAGCACCAAGATCTGGAAAGACGGCATGTCCTGGTCCTGGAGACTAACGCGCTTTCGCAGGCTCATATCAAGTCGGCGCTGATTGGGGCCAGCGTGACTATCCCCATCAAAGATGGAAAGCTTGTATGTTACTCGTGGATGAAGTACCTTTCCTTACTCATATTCTGCTGACACGTCACGAGGCCACCGGAACCTGGCAAGGCATCTGGTATCTCGAGTTCCGCGCTAGCAGGCATCAGCGTCATATCATGGCTACCATTCAGGGGGAGAAGGCGTAGATAGGGTAACAAGCAAATCGAGGGCTAAATTAAATGCAACAAGGAGCCACGGTGTCCCACCACAGTCTCCATTGTCTATGATACAACAGTTGTAGCCTTTACGCCGAACGCCGTCGCCTTTTACGTGTTGTGTTTCCAACGCGCCGTAACCATCGCCTAAATTGCACCATTCTCTTCGTTCATGTCCGTATCATCTCCAGCCAAAACCTTTGTCTTGGGCACGTAGCCCTCTGGGGGTCCAGCTCCAGGTGTCATGGCCACAACACTGCCGTCCTCGTCGACAAACTCGAAATTGTAGCGGCTAAGAAGGTGCGGAATGGCTGAGAGTTGTGGCCCGTACCGAGCAGTGTTATCATATAGCTCAAAAAGAGGTACCGCGAGGAGCTTCATGTTCTTTGGCACGCTCAAGACTTCTACCAGATCAGGCGGGTTAACAGCGGGTTCCAGGAGTTCAGCAAGACGCGTCTTGGGACATACTCGTTTTGGGCAAGTGAATGAAGTAGAGTTTCTTGCATTCCTTTGGCCGTGTGACATGGGCTGGAACAAAAGGGTACATGAAGGTCTCGAAGTTTGGGCGCCACCATTGCGCAAGGCAGTCTCCGACTTCCCAGTCCCCAGCCTCTTCACCTTCGCCTATCCTGCCCACAGGGGCAAGTCGTTCGTCCAATCTTGCCTTGAAACCTGCTTCCTCGTCATCTTCGGGCCGGAGGTAGTCTCCGGGGAGCTTGAAGAAGGCATTTGCGATCTGAAGCATCAGAATGTGAGGGTGGTTATGTTCGTGACATACGAGGATGCCCTCACACGTACGACGCATGCCATGCTCAGTAAAATGCTCCTCGAGGCGCTTGAGCCTCGCGATTACGGAGGGATCTTCTTCAGGTTGCGTCTCCTTGACACCGAAAGTATAGTTTGACAGAGGGTACAGTGTCACTTTTCGTGGCTGCTTCGAGTTGAAATCAAGCGGTATGATGGGCGGATAGGCAGACTGCAGGGCAGAGGGGGGTATTGTTGACATTGTCGAAGCAATTTGGTCGGACTGGTGTAGAAACGCTTCCCTGCAATTGAGGTATCGATGAGTGCTCAAGACGCGTCAACTGGGATATGGCTGCGGGCTTGCAAAGGTTGTGGGCAAGAGCATATTTTGCCTGCAAAGCTTCAAATGACGACGAAGTGCAGCTTCAGGGCAGCCTCTCACTCGGCAGAAGGAAGGTTTGTCGTTTGCGACGGCAACGACAGGGTGGGCCATGAAAGGAAGGCGGTATGTTGGGGCCGACAACTGCCAGACGTCGTTTTACAAGTCGTTCTGCGAGTAGTAATTACGAGTGGACAACATTGTGGAGAACTAGGTACCTACATAGGTACCTAAGTTATACAAGGGCTGAAAATGTATCTATGCTGGGGATATCCCCCAACCTGACTGTTGTGGGTTGAGGAATTGACAACTATTGAAGCTGTACCTTTTGCTATTTTAACACTAGGAGCGTACTTTAGCATGTAGCCAATATTACGGATTTAAGTGGCCCAAGCCGCAATGTTCTGGCGCGTTTCAATGTGTTGATTAGTTACGTTCTTTGTTCCAAATGTGCTTGTGCCGGTTTCGAGTTTCAACATTATTCATGACCAACGCCAAACATGGATGAAAGGGACGACGTGGATGCCCCCATGACCTTGCTCGGACTACGGGTACTACTAGTATTTCCGAACAACGCCGGCTCTCCTTGAGACGAATACCTAGGCAGTGGCGCACGTGGCTCGTCTTCGTTCATCCCATCAAATGCATTGTTCAGTTCATCAGGCTGTGCCAACGTCACGTCAGACGTTACTTCGCCGCGCACATTGAGCGGCAACCCGAAAACCACTCGCAGTCGAAGCCAAGGTGAAGGAAGTTCACTGTCAGCCTCGTCGGCCGGCCGGGGCTGGATCAGCGTGAATTGTGCAGCCGTCTAGTTCGTATTCCGGCGGTGTTTGTCCAGGGATTAATGAAGCAGGAGCCCACGGAATGGCCTTGCCTTGACTCTTCTGTACCGAGCAATAGTGATTGCGCATTGAGCTGCGAGAGTATACATCATGATTCATGACCCGTCGTTGCCTTGGCATGCAGATGTCGTTACTTGTCCTTGGAGGCAGCGAACAGGCAACGGGCATGAGCAAGAGACGATTTGCTGTTGATCATTTTGAATTTTACATAGAAATAAGTGGTCACATTGCAGCAGGAGTGCTGAGGGAGATGGTAAAGTGAAGACGTACCGTTGCCCATGACGAGCAAGGTTGAGTCCTGAGTCTCAACCACGTGCGCGCGCCACATGCAAATAAGTTCGGAGCACAAGCCGCTGGTGTACGGAGTACCGTGTGCCCTACATACGGCCAACAGCCCCCAGCCCACGCCTACTTAAGTACTTGAGTAAGCACAATACAAGGCCGTCTCCGCCGTCTGCCGTCCGCCGTCCGCCGTCCCCAGGTCCACCATTAGACCCCAGTGCCACTGTGGTCTCGAGCCAAGGCACCAAGTTCGAAAAGCGCGGCTAGGCTGCCTCTGAACCTGCTTCTCGAAGCGCCCATTGTCCACGCAATTCCCTCCCCTCATCAATTGAACCTGAGCCCCGGCGGCGCCACCTGCCATCTCCGGAACCGCTGATCCTCCACATCATTCACGCGACGCCCGTGAAATTCTGCCTCCACAGTGTCATAGTGGTATTGGCTCATCCTTGGACCTTCACCGTCGGCAAAGGGCCTACTGGCACCTACTTGCGTCGCAAGCTTCTTTTCCATCCTTGGCATCGTCAATTACCCGGCTCCTGGTGTTGCCTGCTCAGCTGCCTAACCGCAGCACAGAGAGCGCAGGCACAGTGTGCTTATTCGCTGCTCGCATTGAACATGGAAGAGACGAGTACGGATGCAACTCTCGGGTTGGGTGCCACTCATGGCCTGTCTGTCCAGTCAGGACCGCATCTCTCCGTCCCAACAGCACGGGAATCCAGCTCTGGCTCTGCGGATGGTGCCGGATCATCAATATCGTCGGACAAGACCGACTCGAAACCACCAAGAAGCGCAATGCGCAGCATTACCAAATTTCCACAGAGCCCGCGCCGAGTACGCTTTGATGTCATGGGCCAAGAGGTGCTCCCGACAATGTCTCCCCAGCCCAGTGCATTCATCTCTGCACGCATTCCCTCACCCGACCCCATGGGCGATGACACGAATTGCGTCTCTCATCTCGCCACGGTCCCTGGAGAGGACGAGGAGCAAGCGTCGCCGCGTAAGATCTCATCAAGTGATGCACTGCGGGCTCTGTCAAGGGCTCCCTTGGAAGAGGATGGGACTGTTTGGACGGTAGTCAATTCGGACCTGGAAGATGCTGCGCCGCATCAGCCGCATTCCTCCTGGCGAGGGAGCCTGGCTGGAGAGACGGCTGCAAAGTCGCCAACCGCTGTGGCCTCGACAGCCACAACTGACTTGGAACCAACATGGACAGCCACGACTCGCCTCACATATACCACCGCCGGCGACACAAACGGCGCATCATCCGATTCTGAAGAAGAGTCCTCAGACGACGACTTTCTCACCATGGGCAAGCTCAAATCACCAGTGTCGTCGGCATCCCGTGCGCAAGAATTGCTGTCTCCTACAAAGTCTGCCGAGCGAGTTACTTCCGCACAGCTGGGCGACCAGAGCAGCCTGTCGCCAAAGACTGGCAAATTGAATACCGAAAACTTGACCGGCGAAGCCAACCATGGCGTCCCAGGGGCGATAGGGGACGAGGACGAATTGTTTCAATTTGAAGAGGAAGGCTTGGGGTTGCCTGCGAGGCCGCGCCAGACCAGAAGACCCGCGGGGAAACTCGATTCCAACGACGGGCAGTCGGACCATGATGACGGGTCAAGTGAAACTCCAACCCCTCAACCGCTTACCCTGTATGCCACGTCGCCTGCAATTCCAATCACAAGACTGGCAAATCAAGACCAAGAGCCAGGTCCTCCGACGCCTGCGAGGGCAAAGTTTGAGTCCCATACTGTCGGTTCCTACAGGGGCAGGCCTTTAACAGTGCCCGTTTTGCGAAACCCCGAGGTACTGTCCCAGCTGGGATCTGCCCGACCCGTCAATGAGATTGTAGGAAGCGTTCATCATCGCGGCCCTACGGACGCATTCAACCCAGCCAGCTTCCAGGAAAGCGCCCAACAAGCCATGACCTTCAGCAGCTTCAGTGAGCGACTTATGATGGAGGACATGATGGAAGCGGCCAAGGCCGGGTCCCTGGCGCCCGGTACCGCACCTACAGAGCGTGGGCAGTGACGAATGATGGAGGCGGCTCTGTTTTACTCCTGTTTTCAAATCTACTTAATTTCTCTGCACGTTGGGGGTGGGGGTGAAGATAAAGGATGTAATCAAGGCACACAAGGAAGAAAGCGGCATTCTAGAGGCGTTGACGTTTGGGAATCACTATGAAACATGGCGGAGTTAACCAAAATAATGGCAAGGGCAACCGTCGACCAAGGCTCTTTTTTTCTCGGATGGATTTGTATCAATGACTGAAGGTGACGTTTCTTGTCGCATCACGCAGCTTTATAGTGCAGCATATCAATCATTAGTCATGGCTGTCCCCTAAAATAATGGACCAAGGACTGAATGTGCGGAAAGCGACGGAAACTTGACTGTCTGCCGTCCTCGTCGACATGTGTGAGCCATGTAAGCTACACGCGAGCACCGGCGTTGGTTGCTAGTATTGTGGTCGCTCGCTCCAGCGCTACATGCGGCTCTTGCGCGGGCACTTTTACACGCGGCGGGGCACTAATGAGCTGGTAATTATGGGGAAGTTGGCACGTCCTTGGCTTACAAGTTTCATCAACCGTCCGTCTCCACCCTGGTCATCAATGCAGACACTTTCAACATCAATATCGACGCATCGACTCGCTCCAAAACCCAACTGCTCACGCCACGCAATCACAATGGGCGGTCTGAACTTGGAAGTGTTCAAGGTAAATTGCTTTGCGCACGATCCGCGTCCCAAGCACGCTGGCCCCCCCCTTTTTTTTTTTTTTCATAGCTCTTAACTGACGTTTCTTCCGGCCCAGTTCGGCTTGTACGTCATGTTCCCCATCGGCATCATGTATTACTTCGGCACGAATCTCGACGACCGCTTCTCAGTGCCGAATTTCTGGCCGAGGCCCGAAGAGTGCAACAAAATTCCGCGCGACAGGGACGAGGTCAAGGCCGAGTACGAACGCATCGTTGCGCGACAGAGGTTTCGACAGGCCCAGCTTCAGGAGGAGCAGCGCCAACGTACTCTGCTACGCGGAGGCCAGAATAACAGAAGTGACTCCTGAACAGACGTGGCCCAGGGCTGGCATTGCTGTATTGCTTGTTTGCGACGGGTTGACGGCTTGGGATTGTACGATACGGCATGGTTGCCAACACTGGAAGAATACGTACTACGACACAGATCGGTGCATTGGGCGGCGTTTGAAATTTCCCCGTTGACGGAGAAGCATGATTACCCATATCCTACCTGGCCTTTTATAGTTGTAAAAAGAAGAAGGAAAAAAAAAATTTGGGCTGGCCTTACTCAGGTCGTATCTACTAAACATCTATGTGCCGCTCTATCTTCTCCCACTCTTTCTCGGTTATGCTACCCTGGCTGATGTTTGCAAAGATTGCCTTGACTTCGGGATGCTCTCGCAACCCAGTTAAAAGCACGTCCAAGCTTTCACCAGATTGCTTAGTGTCGATTGCAACCTTGGTATCTTCGTTTGCAGCCCAGATTATGTCCGACTCGACGACCTCGAGCTCAAATTTCTTGCAGAGTGCCTCCGTGATGGCCATCAAGTGTGCCGGTTGTGTCAACACCAGCAAGTCCCCGTCTGGTAATTCTTGTACGTCGTCGGCTCCGTCATGTTCAATGGCCTCTTCTAGGAGATCAGACAGAGTTGGCCCGCCGTGCTTCTTCTTGAATATAGTTCGGCCGCGCCTCGAGAAGTAAAACGAAGTTGAGCCAACGACACCGCCGGCTCTCTTGACGGCATATTTGACGTCATGCAGGGTTCGGGTCTTGTTGTCGGTTTCTATGTCGGCGATTAATGCAATATTCGGAGGCATGAGTACCTCAAAGGTCATTGATTCTAGTTGCGCGCCAGCTGCTGATCTGCCTTGGCCGCGAGCGATTGCTGCTTCCACAAGGGCCTTGGGGACGCTCGCTGGGGTCGTCCGTTAGAAGAAGGGGAAAAGAAGCATTTCATTTTTCCACGGCTTCGTCAGCGCGTGGAAATTCGGGTCGCTCCCGTGCGTACCTTTGGTGGCAGCTGCTATGGCATTTGCTAGCTGCGGGTTGGATTTGACGTCGTCTCCGTACACTTTGAACAGGTGAGCTGCTTTGTCGACTCGACACGGGCACCCGAAGTGTTGAATTGTTACCAACTTCGCGAGTACATTGCAATGAGTTTGGTGAATGCCGTTCGCTCCGCCATCTTCCTCTTATCTGTCACTGCCTTGATATGTTTCGTCTTGGACCACTTGTTGTGACCTGCCTGCATTGCCCGGCTGGTCGAAAATGATCGCAGACATCGGGGACAAATTTTGGGCTTCGCAGGCGGCCGGGACACGGTCGTGGCAAGGAGTATGGCCAGGGATGTGTTTTTCATCGCCATGATGGCCTCTCGTGAGATGACCGCGCAGATGTTTTGACGTGTCCTTGGAAAACGAAAAGAAATAGACATGCCATCAAATTCGGCAGAAGATCGAAGCTCCCAAGGTTCGAGGTTGCTCATACGGAGCACCGTCAGCTGCATTGGCCTGGCCTTGCTGATTGGCTGGCAAGCTCCAGGCCCCCCCAGCTTCTGCACCGTCAACAGCTTCCCGCCAGCTGGCCCAAGTCCCCGAGTCCATCATCAGATGGATCCAAAAGCCTCGCTTCACCCCCTCTACGCCGCAGACATCGACGGCTTGTTCACTGCTTGCCGAGAATTGCAATTCCTGCAAGTACATGGGACATCCGTCGTCTCAATCACTCGCTCGTCATGTCGTCTAATTCAGGGCCCGAAGGCCCCACGGAGCAGCCGCCGGCTCAGGCCGCCGGCACGACTGCTGCCTCTGTCGAGGCCAAGATCACAACTCCTGAGCTCGACCTTCCCAAATTGCAGGCCTTGCCCGCGGAGCAGCAAGAGCTTTTCTTGCTCTCGTTCGCATCAGACCTAAAAAGACATGTCCTGGGCTTGGTGGCCGACGATTGCACAGCTCAGCAGGTTTACGTCAAGAAGGAGGTCTTCCAAATCATCAATCTAGCATCCCCGGCGCCGTCTCGAGTAATACGGAACAATTTGGGCAAATGCTTAGCTCACGTATTCCGCAAGGGAGATCGAAAATTGCTTTTTGAGACGATAAACGACTTGCTCTCGATAATATCAGGGACCAAGGGAAAGTCTGATGGCGAGACTCGCTCTAAGCATGCCGCAGTGTCTTGTCTTGGTGATGTCTTCGCAGCCGCTGGCGGTAGTGCGATCGGTTTACATCAAATAGCTTGCACCACCTTGCTAAAACTGTTGAGGTCTGCCTCTAACAACGCCGGTCTGCGTGCGGGTGTCCTAAATGCTCTCGCTAAACTCGTCGCAACGGTCCAGGGCAGCATGGACGAAAGCATATCACGCGACATATGGAAACAAGGACGGAATCATGCTGCTTCAGATAAGGGCATGCTTGTGGTGGCGTCTGCATGCCGCTGTCTCAAATCTCTGGTCAAATACACTTCTTACTTTCGCAATTCGGCTGATCTTGATAAGCTGGAGACTGCAATCTTCAAGTCTGTCGACTCGTCTTCTGTCCATGTTCGCCAGGCGGCAGCCGATTGCTTTGCCGAGGCATTGGTGCAAGGCTACACTTCAACTGGCAACGGTGATGTATCCAGGAGCAAAAAGACGAAGCCGAAGCCGAAGCGCTCCTCTCCGCATCCTGGAATAGCGAATATTAATGAAGACGAGGACGACCTTCCGCCAAGATCAGCAAGCCCAGCCGCTGGCGGGAAGCGTGCTCAGGACTTGGCATTGTCTGTGCCCGATATGCTCAAGATCCTGTCAAGCCAATTCGTCAAGCAAAGTGCATCCAATAAAACCCGTGCGGCGATTGGTGTTTGCTACGGAAAGCTGTTTCGTCGACTGGGGGAACGGGCAGTCCTCGCCAAGTATCTGCAAATTGTTGAAAGCTTGTCGACCGAGCTTCTGGGACACCCAACCATAGCCAACAATCGATATCGCCTTTTGATTTCTCGAAAGATAGTTGACACGGTGCTTTACGATGTTGTTGGACGACAGATTCTCGGCGAGTCCGGACAGATTAGCGCGGCTGAGGTCCTTGTCAACAGCATCCTGAAAAACTATCCGCAGGCCCTCGCAGAGCGTCCCGAACCCTCCAAACAGTTGCTTATTATAGCTCTGCGAGCCGTAGCATCCCTCCTCACGTCGCTTGGCTCAGCATCTAACAGGTTCGCCGAATCTTGCCGGGACGGACTACTGCAAGCTCTTCAGCATCCCAGCTACTCTGTTCAGGTATATGCTTCTTATTGCCTGAAGACTTTTGTTCTTGCCTGCCCTCAACAGCTTCTCCCGTGTCTTTCTGTGTGCATGAACAGCCTTGCCCGCGAACTCTCGCTTCTCCACGGGGGACGAAATTCACCGAGACGATGTCTTGGATTTGCTCATGGGCTGTCAGCTACTCTCAGCACTAGCTCCGCTCGACCTCTTTACGGATCTGTGGACATAAACAGCCGTGTTCTGACCATGGCCACAAATTTACTCAAGTCGAGCAGCCAGTCAGAGCTGCGTATTTCCAGCATTCAGATCCAGGTCGCTTGGATTCTCATTGGCGGTTTAATGTCTCTCGGTCCAAATTTTGTCAAAATCCACTTGTCACAGCTTCTGCTTCTGTGGAAGAATGCGTTACCAAAGCCCCTCGCGAAGGATAATACGTCAGCCAGAAGTCTCCTCGAAGCTTCATTCCTGACTCATGTGCGAGAGTGCGCCCTTGGCTCCATCATGTCATTCTTGGAGTTTAACAGCCGCTTGTTGACAGTTGATGTATCAAAACGCATTGCCGCCATGCTCCAGAGCACGACAGCTTTTTTGAAGACCTTGCCATCCAAAAAGACGACGGAGGACATATCGCAGAGGCTGACCCCCGCTCTCCAACTTTATGATCTGGATATGATGGTTCAGCGCCGAGTACTGCAATGCTATATCAAACTGGTCAACCTGAGTCCTGCTGGCGGCAGTGAAGCTCTCTTGCAATCGAACCTGCTCACTCTAGCCATTTCACTCTTTGCGGACCCAGAGAACTATACCCCTAGCTCCCTCAGTGCGTCTATTGCCAACGCAGCTGGTACGTTTGACTCGATATGGGACGTTGGCGACAACTCTGGCTTTGGAATTACTGGCTTGGTTTCCGGGTTCAACGTGAAGCAACTACCTGGTCAGCATGAGTCATCTAGTGGGACCGGAAATGAAGTCGAAAGCCCAGAGGATTCTATTAACAACTTATTGAAGTCTCCCGTGTGTGGAAGTCTCGAACATGACGCATCGATGCTGTACATTGGCGGCGTGGGTGATGCTTCGATTCTTCCAGATCCACCAGCTACAGAAGTTATCAACAATGCTATTCAACTGTTCGCCTTTACGTTTCCTCTCACGCCGGCCAAGGTACAAGAGAGTGTCCTGGAACAGATAAAGACGTTCACTTCTGCTGGTTTGCTGCAAAGAGATCCTGGTCGCAAGGCTGCTATCAGCGTCAACGTTTCTCTTGCCCTCCTTTCGAGCCTGAAGGTAGCTGTCAAAGAAACTCAATCTCCTGCGGGAAATGTCTCAAACCTGGCTGTAGAGCGCTTGTTGCAGGATATTATTCGAGACTTTGTTCTGGATCAAGACCAGTACGTCCGCAGTCTAGGGTATGAATCTGTTGCACGGCTGTGTAATGTATACGGCAATGCATTTACCAACCAGGAAATCAAGTATCTCGTCGATACTATTGTTGGCAACCGAGAACCCAGTGCAAGAGCCGGGTGCGCAATGGCACTTGGTACCATCCAAACCAAGGTCGGTGGCATGGCTGCTGGATATCACTTGAAAACTATACTTGGTATCCTGATGTCTCTATGTAACGACCCTCACCCGGTCGTTCACTATTGGGCTCTTGAAGCTCTGTCGTTGGCTTCAGATGCCGCTGGGCTTAGCTTTGCAAGTTACGTTCCGAGCACATTAGGAATGCTGGCCCAACTATATGTGTGGGAAACGCATCATGCTGAAGTTTCCTCGGCCATCACTATGAACCTTGAAATGGAACTTCCGACCATCGCAGCGGTAGCGAAATGTGTTGATTCTCTCGTCAATGTACTAGGCCCCGATCTGCAAGACGCGAACAAGTCCAGAGACCTCATATTTACACTCGTCAATCAACTCCAGGAAGAGGACGACGTTCTCGTTGAGAAGGCCGCTTTGAGTTGCCTCGAACACCTGTCTCTCTATGCACCTGGTCAGATGCGATTCGCTGAGTATGTAAGATTGCTCCAGAAGTATCTCCAGTCTGAGAATGCAACCCTTCGGGATATCTCAGTGGACGGCCTACACAATATAATGAAACTGGAGCCACTTGACGTGCTCAGAGAGGCCGAGAATGGGTTCGAGGAGCAGTTATGGCTAGTTCTCGACAGTGTACCAAGCCACGACGGTGTCAGAAATATCATACGAAACTGGATGTACCAATCATGCATTTCTGAAACCAATGAGTGGCTGCACAGGTTCCAGACGGTCTTGAAAATGACAAGAGCCAAGAAGGAAGAGCATGGTGAAGTCAGACCAGCAGGTGGAGTTCCCGATCTTCAAGACGAAGAAGTTGCCGGATTTGCAGCCACCGTAGGTGGTGCCCAGGAGAGCAAAGACAATTCTGCGCCGTCGGAGGCCGAACCACTGCGGTGGCAAGTTAGGACATTTGCGCTTGGTTGTATAACCGACATATTTGCCATTGTCGCCAAGGATGTTGCGGCAAACGGAGAATCAGCAGCGCAGCTGGCGTTGCAAAACAAGGTTGCTGATGTAGTCCGTATCGCTTTCTCAGCTTCTACTTCTAATGTGCTGGAGCTGCGAATATGGGGACTGAAGATAATAGGTGCTGTGCTCCGGATGTTCGGGAAGACACCCGACCCTGACTTCGAGGAAGCTATGCTTCTGGAACAATATCAAGCTCAAATCAGCTCGGCCCTGACACCAGCATTTGCGGCAGATTCCTCGCCAGAACTGGCCTCAGAGGCTGTAAACGTTTGTGCGAGCTTCATAGCTATTGGTATCGTTACAGATGTGGACAGAATGGGCCGAATCCTGAAAACTCTCGTCACTGCCTTGGAGAACTTTTCCCATGATCAAGAGAACGCGGGGATTGGGGAACTGAAGGGACTCAGCAGCAATGCGCAAGTGATGGTCAAGATATCCGTATTCTCCGCCTGGGCAGAATTCCAGGTAGCCAGCAGTGAGCAAAAGTATCTAATGGATGTTCTGAAGCCTCACATCGGAACTTTGACTCCACTTTGGCTAGAATCACTACGCGAGTTCGCTCGACTTCGATTCGAACCCGACATTTCCATGACACTGGGGCCACCATCTCTTTCCGGGAGCTTAGACACGATTTATGCGGCCTTGAATCGAGAGACTTTACTTCGGTTTTATCAAGAGTCGTGGCTCAAGCTTGTCGATGCAATCGCCAGTCTCATTGAACAAGATAGCGAGTTCGTTTTTGATGCTCTGGACGGCAAAGAGTCCCGAGCTCGGGGAACCAACGGTGACCCCAAGAGCCCTGCTATCAACTACCGAGACGAGCCTGTGGCATTTTTCTTCGTGCTCTTTGGGCTTGCATTTGAGGCTCTCGCCATCAGGCCAGGCCAGGCGGACTCGCTCGCCACGAGAGAGCAGGCCTTGGATATCCTGAAGGCTTTGAAGAAGATTTTGCATCCCAGCGTGTCCGGCCACGCCATTTACAGACCCGACGTCTTTGCCGAAACCATGGACTTGCTGGATCGTCTGGTTCTCACCGAGGGGCTAGATATTCAGAGCGTCATCGTTGACATAGCGCGAGCACTCTGTGTAACACACCCATCCGCTCGAAGGCAGTCAGAGGATGAAGGCGATCTCTCCGAAGACATAGATCAGCTTTTTGAGCTGACGCGAATCATTGTATTGGTTTTGTCTGGACTTCTTCCCAATCTCTCCGAAGGTAACCAACCTGTCCGACATCAGATGAACGAAGAGGCCGTCGTCCTCGTTCGTAATTCTTTAGATGCTCTTGTGGACGCGGCCGAAGTCTTTCCGTCAATCATTAAGACAGATCTTCACGCATGCATCATTCACATCTTCGCCACGATTCTTGCCACTCCCTCGTGTCAAGATGTGATTGTTCCCCAATCACTAGCCATCTTGAAGCGATTTGTCGCCAGCGCGGCTTCAACAGCCCGCGGGGATGACGACAATTTACCGCCTCAAGCACAAATTCAGAGCTGCCTTGGTCGCTTCTTGTCGATATACCTGAACGCACAGAAGCGAGAGGAACCGACTCCTTTGGCATGCATCAAAAACAGTTTGCTTGCCACGACCATTCTGCTTGCCAGTGGAAAGAATCAGTTGCCCGCTAACCACCCACTCGTCGCACGATATCTTGACGAGCTGCTCGACTGTCTGACTGATCGAATGGTAAGTAGACTGCTTGTTGGAATCCTCCGCGGCTCTCGCTAACACGCCGTCCCAGACCGCCAAGATTGCCGCCAACTGTATCCGATCTCTGCTTCTACAATCGTCGCCCACATCGGCGGACTTGAGCATAGCTCGCTATCTTTTCCCCAGACTGGTCACCTTTGTCACAAACGTGGAGCCAGAAGACCCGGAAGGAGCCCGTTCCCTCGTATCCCACGCTCTCTGCCTCTATGTCGGGATGACTCCCCAGGGTCGTGTCCCCGCAGCAATGGGCTTGGTCATACCAGCCCTGATGACAAGGGCAGCTGGCGAGGGCGAAGAGATGTACCGAGAAATAAGCACAAGGCTTCTAGAGCTTGTGGCTGTCGATCACGCGGCGTTCAAGGCGACAGTTGGGGCGATGAATAGCGGTCAGCGAACCTTTTTGGAAGAAGTTATTCGTTCCGGGCAGCAATCAGGAAGCGAAGCGAATGCATCATCTGCCGGCGAGGCCGGCCGACCGAGTATCACTCTCAAGATGGACTTTGGCGGCTAGTCGCACATGCGGGCTGTACCTACACGAGACGTCAAGTAAATCCTCAACATGCATCGGCCCGGACGCACATTATTGCTTGCTGACGGCCGAACCGACACTGCTACCGCTGTCACGGTGAGACAGACGCAGAACAATGAGCCTCGTGCCTGCCAAGTGGACGGGCTGGGATAGGCTGGGGGTCCCATCCGCCTTTGAACGACGGCGCTCTTTTTCTTTTGACATGGGCCTGTTTGATGTCACACCGCAGGTGGGCGCACGCGGAACGGTGGTGGATAAACCGGTCAATAAATGGTAGATGAAGCGGTTTAGTGATGAAAGAATACGGCTGGCGATGCCAGATTCCCGCCGGTACAGATAGACAGACGGCCTAGCCTCATGATAGAATCAAATTAGGCATTTCGTGCAAGATGATGGATGTGCCGTTGATATATGCTTCATGTAGGCTTTGTGCAGCGCGACGCTGTCGTGCTACGAAGTCGAAGACCGTGTTTCGGACATTTGCCAATAATGTGATGCATATCGTGTCATCATGAGTGTTGCAGGGCCCCCCCCCATACCCGCCTGGCTAGTCTAATGCTGTGTGATGCTATACAAACAAAAAAAGAACCGAAGACAGTCTGAGATAGATGTGCAACCCCCTCCCGCCGGCAGATGCGCCTTGTTGAGAACACACAGGTTTAGGGCTTGCATTTGTCCGTTTGTTACGCCAAACCGACCCCGCCGCTGCTCGCTTGTGAAATCGATCAGAAACATTTGCTGCACAAATTTGGGAAACTGTCAATCGGATCTCTGGATGCGGGCGTTCCTTGGTGCTCGTCGGGTGGCGGGAGGAATGCAGTACTACATTTTATCGTCTTCTCCGGGTCGATGATCCATGGGCAATGACTGGTCCCGTGGGTTTGACTGTATCCTCCGCCGTCGGGGGCGAGGGTGGAGCATTAGAGATCCGGCTTGGAGTCTTTTGGTCCTTGGAATCGTGGTTGTGTGATTTGCCAACTTGTCGTGTGGACTTCCTCGTTTCCTTGAACGACTGGGAACGGTGATGTCTTGATCTCGGGTCCTTGAGAGGCTTGAATCGTTCTGCATCAGTTACACCTTCCGTCGTCAGCCTGGTCGATACGACTCGTCCTTGGAAAAGTTTCTGATCCAGGATACGGATGGCGGCTTCGGCAGCCGCCGGGTTGGTCAACGTGATAAACGCATGTCCACGTATCCGGCCTTTGGGCTCAACCAACGGTATGTCAATTCCTGTTATCGCCGACGAATATTCGCCCACTTGGTGACGGATCCAGTTGGCCACCTCGCTCTGGCGCGCTTTATGCTGTATAGACGTCACAACGACTTTGCACGGTTCTTCTGCCGTGTAACCCAGTCTCTGGTGCGCATCGCTGGATTTCAGGCCGGCCATGGAAGGAGGGTGATCTGGGTTTCCCGGGGACGTTCGAAAGTAAACGGATGCGTGGGACTGGTGCGGACTGGCATACTGCGAGTCGGCAGACTGAGATGCTCCGTACTGCGAGCAGCCGCTATAACGCCCGGCCGGCATGACTCCAGTTTCCGGAAGGGGCTCGTAGTAGCCAAAACTCGGCGCATATGTCAGAGTGTGGTTTCTCATGGCTGCTATAGTGCTGTAGGATTCTGCCATGGCCGTATATGGATCCAATCCTGGCATGTTGCCGTATGCCATGGTCGTCGCCACAGGTCCAGCAGGGCAACTGACGGGCAGAGGTAGTCGACCAAACTCGTGGTCCATGCCGAGCTGGGCAAGACCATATGCTGTTAACCATTTGTAGTCTTTGAAGTTGCGATTGTCAGATGTGATGGGGACAATTAATATCAATCGTACCGGACTGGTCAGAGATACTGCTTCCTGCATGCAACTCGCAGATGGAGGCAAGGCTGCCTCGGGACTCCGTGACTGTCCCACCGTCAGGTCCCAATGTCCTGACGTGCTGTACTGGGCAACTCTGGAATCGACTAGTTCCTTGATCTTGATGGGTTCGGTTCTGTTTCTGTCCGAGGCGATGATTGCTCGGTTACGAAAATATTCCTTCTTCACTCGAGCTAGATGTCTTGGTCAATGTTTCATCCGGCTCCAGAGACACGCAGTAGAAAAGAGGAAGACTTGTGTGAAGTTGGAGTCCATCTTACACCATGCCTTGTTGAAATTCTCCTCTCCACGAAGCCGTATCCATCCTGACGTGCTAGACTGGAACAGCTCGACATGGTCAACATCGCAATCAACCCGTAGCCAGTCTTTGAAATCCTGCCAAGAGGTGCCAAATGGCAGCTAGATCATCTCCAATTGCGTCAGCTTCGAGGTTGAGAGGGGCGATGATAGGGTAGGCAAACTGAAACAAAAAAGTCAAATGGCCACCTTCATACGAACATTACATATTGGCATATAGTAGACTCCAGTCTTGTGTCCTGGCTCGACGTCTGCCATTATCACCTTCTTCTCCGATGCTCCCTGTCGGGACATGTTCTTAAGTGTGCGTGCCGGGCCGGCAACAAATACAGTACAACACGGCTGAACTTATATGAAAGGGGGCACGCCTGTAAAGCCCGGCAAGAGGGTCTATTGGAGACAGGCAACAGACGTCCCGAAACACACCCTCTTGTCCAGGATGTTTTGGATGAGGGTCGTATGGCGGCAAGAGGCATTCAGTTAAAGATGCCGACGCTGCGGTAAAATCCTTCCTGTCGCGCAACCAGGGATGCGTGTGAAGCTGAGCAGAAACAGTTTGTGACGACGAAGAAACTTCGGCAGTGGCATCAACAAGGAGATGCCGGTGTGTACAAAGGCCGAGAAAAGCAAATACTGGTGGTGGCAAAGATGGCAGCAGCACACACGTCCAAGCCACCCAGGCCAGCGACGAAATCGAGTTTTATACCTGACTTGACCAGACCCCCAGGGGCCGGGGCAAACAGAATAGGGAACGAAAATGGACCATGATGCCGAGCAGGAGACATGCTGAAGACGAAGGCGCTCTGAGTAGCTACCGCCCACGGCCAAATCGGTTTCCTTCTCAGACCTGCACTCAACGTTGAAGCGGGACAACAGCTCCTCGCATGCACTGTCCCGCCATCGCTCCAAGACCCAAGCCAACTAGCTGGTTCTCTGGGCTCGCAATTGGTCATGGATGATTTGCTCGATCAATATCAATAGAATGTTGGGCAACCTGAGCCAGGCAAGTGGCTGGCGGAGGAATGGTCTTGACCGTTGCTGCTAACTTTCTTTGCCTGGGAGCTGGGAGGCAAGCTGTGCGTTGGCATCCAGTCTCTTCGGCTCGAGTCATCCCAACGGCCGCCCCGGTCTCTTGAGCTTCCCAACATATCATGTCCTCGCCGCTTGCTTCCAGAATTACAATCACTTCCTCTCTCTAGCCACTTACGACATCCAGGGCTTGATGTTGATCGATCTCTGATCCAGATGCTTGCCCTGAGAGATGCGCCGGCCAACCGAAGATCATCTCTCGCCTTGGCTCCGTACGATTTCTTCGTTTGCCCCCATTCGCCCCCCCATGTCTCTCTCTACCTTGACACTGGGTCGGCACCACGAGCGGCAATGACCCGCCCACAAAGTGGGTGGCAAATGCTTGTCGAGGTACGGAGTACGGAGTCGCAATACCCGGCAAAGGTGTAATAAGTACTAATAAAGGTGGTTGGCTGGTTAGGGTGTGTGGGTGCAGACCAGCTTCCAGACCAACTTCGCAATACCCTCCGGCTCTGTCCTTGTTCGTCAACAAATTTGCACAGCATCATTTTCCTCAAGGAAAAAAAAAAAGAACTCACTTGGCACCGTGTGAGCAACTGAATGTGCCACGTTTGTCAACCAGCATAACAAGCGCGAGAAAAGAGGAAACATGAAGTTCTGTTGCAATGTGACTGACGCGTTACGCTGTTTGTGCAGAATGGAACGCCACGCTGCAACTAGCCAGATGTAGAAATCAGGGGTTGTTGTCCTCCTCTGCAACGATGTATGGAGTACGTGTGGCTCCTGGCAAACCGCAAGTTGGGCCGTCACCTCTAAGCCACTCTTTGGGTTGCTTGATTTGAACACAGGGGGGGGGGGGTTTGACTCAAAAGATCTGGCATGCCAGCTTGTGGTTTGGGAGTTTGGACTGGCTCGTTTGATTGGCCAGCGCTCAAATTCAAGTGTGTCTGAATGAAAAAGTATCGTCTAGATCCGAGATATCATCCGCCAAGACAATTGGCCTCGCAGAGCCTAGACTTTCGGCCTCGTCCCGTCCCGACGATGGTGCCAGACTCGGTCCATCCAACTCGACCCCGCCCGCTGCAGCCTCCCATGGGCTCGGTTCGTGTTCCGCATCCGCGAGGGACAGCAAGACGTAACTCTGTGAGTTGGACAACAACAGTCCCAACGGTTCGGTTTCATAGTTCAGCCACGTGACCTGCATCTTTGACGAGGAGTTGGACGCAGGCAGATATTGCTCGGCATGAAGCGGTGTTGGACCCTGCGACAGCGGATCCCACACATACGACATGCACGACTCTTTATCGTCGTGGCTGGAAATCAGCAGTGTTTCTCTTGCTGATGGGTGCCAATGAAAAATGACTGGTGAATGAAATATCAAAGCCGCACGAAGCTCTGCAGCAGCCAGGTCCCAGATCCACAACGTGCAGGGAGAATCGTCGAGCCTCGTGGCAAGAAGAGTGGAGGATGCATCAAACGAGATTGAAGAGCACCCGCAGCGCACGTCCGTGGATTGCTTGGCGGTGGTGGTGGTGGTAGTACTGTCGACAAAAGTCGGCGGGGAAATAGTTTGCGTTGCTCTCGAGAAGGAGTGAATATTCCGTCCCTCAGCTCCAACACTGACCTGCTCCTGCCATACCTAGATGCAAAACCCGCGTCAGGACCGCATGACATGGCAGAAATGGCGGCGGGAAGACGACATACCTGGAGCGTCTCTCGCGGTGCTATAACGGTGGGATGCGTCAATCTCATCACTGATCGCCACTTGCCAACCTGTAGGAGGGTGATTCCCCTGCCATGGTCCCCCGCCGCACACAACTCTGCGTTGGAGCTGAGCTGACAGCTTTTGATCCCTGGTTGCATGTCCGACTCGGGATCGGTAGTAGGGTCCGGTCTTAGGGCGGTTGCATCAAGGATTCGGAAAGGCTGCCCATCTCCGGTGTAAACCAGGAGCCGGCTGCCTTGCGCTGGCGACTCCCACAAGACGATCCATTGTCCATCGGGGGTCCACGCAACGCCTTGAGCATCGAGAGTATCCGGATACCATGATCTCGTAATCTGCCGTGTTAGCGGGTGGTGTATGCTCACCATGTCCTTGCCACCCACCCTCGTCAGCATGAGGAGATGTCCGGTGTCGGGGCGAAGAGAGAAACCTCGCGAGGCTGACGCTGGATGATGAAACTTTGGGTTGCTAATCTCAACAACTTTGGACGTGATTATGTCAAAAATAGAAAACTTGATGCCGAAAGGGGCACACGCCAACACTTCGGTATCACGGCTTCCAAATTGAATCATTGACAGCTTGCCGCCAGCCGGAGCCGCAGGGCTTCGAATGATGGCCTGGAAGGACGAGTCGCATGCCGCAAATACTTGGATGTAGTCACCTACGGAGACGAGCACTTTGGATGACGACGGGGCCCAGACGAGGTTACTGATCGAACCGGTGAGCTCTGGGGCGAGTTTCACGGCATGAATGGTCTGCAAGGTCTCGGTTGACCGAAGAATAACGGTGGATGAGCTCAGGACCGCCACAAGACGTCCATTGGGACTGGGCTTGCAGAGCGGGGATGCTTCGATACAACGACAACAGGTTAGTTGGGAACTTGTCAAGTTCTGTGTGATTTGCAGCGTCTCTCTTACACTCGAATGGGCGGGTGTGATGCATCGAGCATGGCGCAGCGACCTGCATGTTTGCCATTACTGGCACCACTCGCTGCAGGAATAAGGAGGACGTTGGCGACAGAATGAGAGGTGCAGGTATCCGTTTTAACCTGTCAAGATTGCCCAGCTGTGATCTCGGGTGCAATCATGACCCGGAAATGTGGCTTACATGCACCATTGAACCCTGTTGACACAGTCTGCGCGGGAGGAAGAAGCCGACATCAAGAGGCTTCGCAGAATCAGTCGGGGGTGGGAACGTGGTCATCCCCAATTCGTATCGGGCGTGGTTTCTTATGAGGAGAAGGCAATGAAAATTTCTTCAGCCATGTCTCAACTGCGAGTCGGGCATACAGTCCGGTCTCAAAACCTTGCGACAAGTTGAAGCCGTGATATGTTGGAATTTGTGTGCAGCCAAGTTGGTGTTGACCAAGTTGCTTGGTTTTCCTGTTTGGGCTTAGCGGCTTCACCATCGCTTTCTCGCCCACCAGCAAGCCACTCTCCGCAGAGCAAGCGACTTCCCTTCAACATTGCCTGGGCGGCGCATGTATTTACTATATTATGCATTGAGTAACGGCTGCTTGCCATCCATGCAACAAAATGCCAAACAAGCAGTCCTCTCTTCCTGAGTCTTGGCCTTCGGGACGGGCCTCCTTCAAACATGCGCGACAGACTTGATCCGCTGGAGTGACGCCACCGCGTCCAGCCATCTACACAGTGTGGAGGACTCCGTGATAGTACTTAGGTACTTAGGCTGGGTACCTAGCATGTTCCCGTGAGAAAAATCAGGCGTCTTCCAGCTGACTCATCTGCTATATCAGTGGCCGAGGCCGTTTCTGGCAGAACAACATCCCCTCATCCAACCTTCATCCAACCCCGCCGTCGGTCGCATTGCATCTTGCTCTTGTTCCCGTGGAAGTCGCTTCGTCCAGTGTTCCCGGCTCCCAGCTCGTCGACCCGTCCAGCATGGAACGTGGTGTAGGCAGTTGAAAGCAGCATATCCCAGACCTTTGGGAGGCGATTGCAGTGGCGACTCGGCCGGCATCATAGACCCGGACCGACTCTTCTCAGGCCCAGCTTGGCGTGCCGTGCTCTACAATGCAGACCACCGCCAGGATGCCTTTCACTTCGGTCCGACGTGTTGGTCCTCGTGGCAGAGTCTTGATGTCATGGCGGTATTCTTCTTACTCACCCAGACGGCAGCTCGGAAGCTCTGCCTTGGTGGGTGAGGATATTCCCCGTGTATCAGGCTCGCTAGATACGGCTGTATCCCTCTCACGCCGAAATCGAATTCGCAATGCAAAGCCGTTCTCGGAGTTTTTGACCGACACATTCAATCGCCAACATGACTACTTGAGGATCTCCGTTACCGAACGATGCAACCTCCGCTGTGTGTACTGCATGCCCGAGGAAGGCGTTCCCCTATCTCCCAACAGAGAGCTTCTCACGACGCCAGAGATTGTCATGCTGGCAACCGTTTTCGTCTCTCAGGGAGTAAACAAAATACGTCTCACTGGCGGCGAGCCTACGGTTCGACGTGATATACTGTCCCTGATGCAACAAATCGGTGCATTGCGGCCTGGCGGCCTGAAGGAGCTATGCATAACAACCAATGGCATATCGCTCCATAGAAAGCTGGACGGCATGGTAGAGGCCGGCCTTACGGGCGTCAACCTGAGCCTCGACACCCTGGACCCGTGGCAATTTCAGATAATGACTCGAAGGAAAGGCTTCGACGCAGTGCAGAAAAGTATTGAGAGGATACTGGAGATGAACAAGGTGGGCGCCGGAATTAAGCTGAAAATCAATTGTGTGGTAATGCGCGGGATTAATGATGGCGAGGTGCTCCCGTTTGTGGAGCTGACTCGGGAAAGGGATCTCGAGGTACGATTCATTGAGTATATGCCATTCGACGGGAACAAATGGAACAGGGGCAAGATGTTTAGCTATACCGAGATGTTGGATCTCATCAGAGGACAGTATCCCGGTCTAGCAAAGGTCAAAGATGCGAAAAACGACACGAGCAAGACTTGGCATATCCCGGGATTTGTTGGCAGGATTGGGTTCATCACAAGCATGACACACAACTTCTGTGGCACCTGCAACCGGTTGCGTATCACGGGCGATGGCAACTTGAAGGTGTGTCTCTTTGGCAACGCCGAGGTGTCCCTGCGAGATATATTGCGCAAGTCGAACCGTGGAAAGCCCATTGACGAGGGAGCATATGAAGTATTGAAGCAAATCGAAATGGACCGGAAGCAAGGCCGAATTTCCCCAGACCAGCCTCTAGGTGTGGCACCCAACGAAGCTGAGTTGCTGGATGTCATTGGCGTAGCAGTCAAGGGGAAGAAGGCCAAGCATGCTGGCATCGGGACCCTCGAGCACATGAAGAATCGGCCGATGATACTGATAGGTGGGTGAGAATGGATTCCTTTGCCGTGCTTGTACAACGACTATGCATATTTCCGGGTCTTTGCTTTTCCTTTTTGGGCTTGTCGGTCAGCTTTCGAGCGCCTGACATGTTGTTCTCGTCGCCATTATTTCGTCAACATGAGGCATACAATATGGGCCACATCAAATCAGATACGACTTGGCACTTATTTGGTTTGGTTTTCATGCGTACAGGACCTCTTGGGGGCAATTGCTGAGTAGTACATTGGTAGAGCCCACTCCAGCATCACTCCGAGACCAAATGCCACCCAAAGTTGGCCGCCTGATTAGTGGCACTGGGATCCTTGGTCAGACACCGTACACTATGCAGACCTCTCGTGTTGCTGGTTGTAGGATGCTGTCCTCAAGTCCACAGCGCCACAAGCAGGATACTAGCGAGGGCAAAGAGAAGGGGGCAGTCTCCCTGACGCACGTGTCGGACACTGGCTCAGCTCACATGGTCTCGATATCAGAAAAGTCAGTCACGTCGCGGGTAGCCACGGCAGCATGTACCGTCCGCTTCTCTAACAAGACGGCGGTATCACTGGTTCGGGACAGCCAGATGAAAAAGGGCGATGTGCTCGGCGTGGCCCGCATCGCCGGCATCATGGCAGCCAAGCGAACGCCAGACTTGATACCGCTATGCCATCCAATCGCAATATCGCACGTCGCGATTGATCTGGAACCCGGGGAAGGGGGGGACACAATCGACATCCGAGCAACGGTGACATGCGATGGCAAGACGGGAGTCGAGATGGAGGCAATGACGGCGGCTTCAACAGCGGCTCTAACGGTGTATGACATGTGCAAGGCGGTAGACAAAGGCATGATGATTGACGGCGTGCGGGTCGTGTTGAAGGACGGCGGCAAGAGTGGACGATGGGAAATGGACACATGAGATGGGAATCAGTGCCAGGACCTGGGCATCAAGAGGCGGGGAGACGGCCCCTGAAGCAATATTCACGGTTTCACCCACCCAGTCAAGCCCATCGTCATCAGTCGTGCGTCCTACGGGTTACCTCAACGCCGTCCCCGTCCTCCGCCATCGGGATGCCGAGCTGGCGTGCTATTGATATCGTAGGCCAGACCCAAGTTAAACGGTTTATGATATGCATACTGCATGTACGTAGGTAAATTGCAAAAAGTGAAATGCCATGTACATGTACAAGAGGCCCATAAATTAAGCGCGGCGCAGGTATTTTATGAAGCGTCATGTGAGAGCTGAGATGCGCCGTCGCAGTTGTATGTAGTTGCAGGGCAGGGCACGGCAGGGCAGGGCACGGCAGGGCAGGGTTAGGGGTGGCGCCTTGCCGCCTTGACAATGATGATGTGCTGCACTCATCTAGAAAATGGAGGAGTACAGACATCATGTACGCATCTCATAGCCTGAAACCCATGTTCGGGATGGGTTCCAGGTGAGCAAAACGGGTGGCGGTCAAGGCAGACTACCCGAAAGGCTGACCGACGCACCCGAGGATAAACACGACGAAACACACTGAAGACGACTTGCTACCCTTACCCTCATCGGAGCAGTAACACATTGACGCGACGCCCGTGAAAGTGAAGTGATGTACTCCGGAATCTGCAAGCACGCATGTCTTGGGTCTTGGCGCCCATCAACACCTCCGTTAGGTCGAGCGAGAGAGACCGCAATCATGGCCATCAAGACACGTCGCTCAGCAAAGGGTTGCCACTACGTCACGGTCGACTTGCGCAGGACGGCATAACTTACGGAGCTCCCGAAGCTCGAAAAGGTTGTGCGCTGCGAAGCGACGGCCGGGGCTCCCCTGTGTGCGTCGTCCGGAGCACGTAACTGCGCAGTTGGCTCCACCCATCACCGAGGCCAGCCTGTGCAAACAGCCAATCATGTATTGGCGATAAGACGGACGAAACCGGGCCAATCCTGATCGAGGCCACTGAGTCCTGACAAAGACAAAGCCGAAGATTGACAGGCGAGCGGAGACGCCATGAATCAATTCTCAGGATCCAACCGAGTTGACGGCAGCAGTACGTCTGCGCGGCGTTCTGTACCATGTGCTCTGGAGTTTGTACAGCGCATATGTGCCTAGGCATCTGACGCCCGTCAATCTATGATCGTGCTACCGGTTCCTGTACGCGGTAGGGAAGTCTGGATTTCGATGGCGCATGTCCTCGTAGGAAGCTGACCTTTTCGCAGGGCATGGATGCAGCATGCAGAACTATCAAGGAACGAAACGGAGGCTTCCGGCATACGTACATACAACCCTGAAACCGCCATCCTGGGTACCTAGGCAGTCATCACCTCTCAGTGCTCACGCGTTCGGATCGCAGAGCGTGCCATGCCACGCAGAACAATTGACAGTCGGTTTGAACCCTTGCCCGCTTCAGCCGAGGAATTCTGGTGGGCCGGGCACGGAGTGGTATGTATAAATCATGACAGCAACCAACCACCACCACCAAGCATTGGGCGCACGGTCCCGGGGATCCTTTCCGGTGTGGGACAGGGAAAAAAGTCGACACGGCAGCGTATCTGAGACCAGATTGACAGAGCCGCCGCCATCTGAACCTGGTGGTGCAGTGCAGTACGATTCATCGAGCTTGGATCGTCTGTCGGATCGTGGACGAGACGTCAACACCAGGAACACATACAGAATGACGTGCAAAATCACGACGGAGTGGATTGTCTATGGCAAAAGAAAGCTTTGGCCCACCGTCCACCGCCAACCATTTGCAGAGCCAGAGCCGCTTCAGCACCATCTCGCATGAGCATGATGGCCAGAGGCTGCTGGCTGTCAAGGGCCGCCGCAACTTGGCAACAAGTAAAACTGATACTACGTACTCCGTATTGCGAATCCCAGTCGCGCTGCTCACAGCCTGGAGCGTCGCATCCAGCGTCTGTCGCTTCTTGCCGAGGGCCAACACGACAGGCATTCCATGGCGGGTACTTTGCAGTTTTCGTTTTCTGTTCCAACTTCCATACCCATTTCCTCGCCCTAGGCTCCGAGTAAGACTTGTCAGAACTTAGAAGGATGGCCGCCCACCAAGCACAGACCGGATTTATTCACCGGTGAGATTAAACAGCCAGGGTAAGGGGGTTCGAAGTGTGGGCAGGGACGTACAGGCCAAGGGCCAGGCGGCCTGGTCGCTCCCGTCGCGGACCCTCCAACGCTCCCTGCTTGCCCGCCTCTCCCCAGAAGCCAGGGTCCTGCCGCCCACTTGTCCACTCGCCCATTGGCCCATTGGCCCATTGGCCCACTTGCCTTCCCCAGCAGACACAGACAGACAATTGGCGCACTTCTTGCAAGTGGCGACTTGGCCGCGACTTCAGTTTGCCGTCACTGATTTTAGTCGGTGTTTGTGCGGACTAAGTTCAGTCCGCAGCCTCCGTAGCCTTCAAAAGTCCCCCACGGCCAGGCCCTAGCTGTCTTCGAGTCGTACCGCTCCGCCAATTGCCACCCTGCGATAGTCAGCCAGGCAAGTTGGTTTCCCGTCGCTCCTTCCACATGTCACCACCTCCACACCCTTCCGCCCGCGTCGGTGCATCCGACTAGACTGACTTTTTGTGCTTTTAAAAAGCAGCCGCCCTCCCGCGATGTAAAATGCACTTGCCTTTTTGCGAATGCCCTCAACTTCTGCTCTTTGGCCCCCGAGTTCCGGCCTCATCAGTGCGCAACAACAGGCCGCGCAGACATCTCATCCTCGCTACAACAACGCCCTGGCCACCTAACGCAACCAGCCAGACCACCCCGACGAGCCGCTCCGGGCGACGGATCCCCGACGACGTTGCGCTTCTTCCACCCACAACAGACACATACCCAGCCCGCCCTTGATCAATATCGCCACGAGCACTACTACCTCGTCTCGTGCCCCCCTTGCACCCCGCCTCGTGGCAGCATAAGAAGATTTCTACTTGTCAAGACCGGCGGCCACCCTTGCTCTCCTCGCCGCTCAGTGTCTGCTTCCGCTCTCTGGTCCCGCCGTCATGGCAGCGCAACTCGTCATGCCCACGCTGCCGGGAGATCAGCAGCAGTCGCGGCACTTCCTCCCCAACCAGCATCACCGACCTCCCCACGCTCGCTCCCAGTCTTACCAAGTTCCCCGAGGACCTCAAATCTCGCCCCTCGACACCTTTGCCATGCCTCAGCACGAAACTTTGTCCACTCCGCCTTCCCCCAAGGGCCGTGGCCAGCACTTTCGTCATGGCGGTCAACCCATGTACATGCCTGCCGTCCTACGACCCTGCCATGAGTTCACGTCTCGGGAGGTGACGAGATGTAAGACGGCCGGCTCTACCTCCTCAACCGACTCGGACTCGACCCTCCGCCGCGTCAACTCCGCCTTGATGAGTATTCCTGGCTTGTCTCTTCTTGGACATCGACTGTCGCGGCGGTCTGCCGACGAGGTTGGCAGGACTCTGGATGGAGAGTGGAAGCTCGATGCGTTTCCGGAGGTGAGGGGACTGCCTACACGCGTCCATTGGAAGGTGAGCTCAACCTTGCGAAGAGATGATGTACCCTCGACGTTTTCCACTCGTTCTTACCGCTTTCACACCGCAGCCTGATTCCGAATCCGCCGTCTGCGACGACCCGACGTGCAAACGCACCTTCAACTACTTTGTCCGCCGCCATCACTGCCGTAAATGTGGCAACATATTCTGCGACTGGCACTCCAGCGCCGTCGTGCCCCTCGACCAAGACGGCAGTTTCAACCCTCGCGCTGGCCCTTCACGTACCTGCAACCACTGCTTCGAAGTGGTCAAGGCCCTCGTCCACTGCAGAAACAACAGCCAGTCTTCCACCTCGACAGAGTCGGACGCGATGCCTCCAACACCAATCAACGCTCCGACAGCGCCTGGTGTTACGCCCCCGCACAAGCCCGAGATCGCAGCTAGTGTTCCTCGCGACTGGAACTGGAGTACTTTTTAAACATGCACTGTTATCCAGTATGGAATCAATTCGCCGCGACGTGTTATCGTGTATGATGGGATTCGGAAGTGCCGTCTCTTGCGCCTTATTTCTCTCAGCGACTACACTGACTTGTCCCCAGTGGACGTCAACACCTCACGGCCTACTAGCATAGAAGTTTTCTACTGTCACGAGACAGTCTCGGCCCTCGTTGGCCATCGCGTCCCCGGCATCGTCAGGACACAGAGTTTTGAACCATGGTACGATTCGATTTGATTTACAGCGTTTGCAGCGTGGCGTTGGGAACGGATTTGCATTACCTGATCTACTCTTGAATCATTTTGGTTCAAAAGTCCCTCATCTAGATGATTACAGGTTGTGCTCATGGTGTTTTGGTCACCTACGGACGATGCGCCGGTGCATCTGTTCGATTTCGATTGTTTTTTCTTCATTTTCCCTTTTGGTTGGTGGTCAGAATACCCCGGGTGCTGAGTACATTCTCAGTTTTGGCATGGCGTAGTTAGCACTAGTGTACCCCTTTATCGCTTGATGTCATCGTCTGCTTTCAATCGCTCAAAGTCAGTGACGGTGACACTTGTGTTTCCAGAGAAAAGGACACATCAGTGATGCACATTTCGTGTTCAATCTCCATCCGTCCACGTCTACACATCGGCCCTCTTGTCGAGCATGACAAGCCAAAAGTGAAGCATGTACCCCCTATCGGTCAACGACGTCTATTCTTTGCAAACAGCCCAGTACCCTTCTAAAATGAAACAAGGAATAAATATAAATAAACAAGCCAACTACCCTTCATCGTCGTCACGTAATTGCTCGAAATGATTTGAAACTCCCTCCTATATGTACATAGATATAGCTCAACCGATAGGCCAGTGGAACCCCTTTCCTACAAACGCAAGCTGGCAATTTCTGAAGAGCATTCGTCGAGGGTGGAGGAAATCAAAAGAATTGGCCTCGGGTCCCACCATTTACAACAACGCAGCGCAGATGCCGTTGGGTGCAAAGTGGCGAGACATCAAACGGTAAAGAGAGCTGCATCGACTCACGGGGTCGCGGTATCGCCTGGATCCCTCACTCCTTTATTCCAGCGCATGATGGCCTCTCCATCCACCTGTTTCGTCATGTCCGTCTTCTGGCACGGTCGCTGGTTTTTGTTGATGCTGCCTCGTCCGCCTCGTCGATGGCCTCGATGCGACCATTGGCATGGCCGTTGACCATGTTTTCACCGCCATAAACTTCCCTCTCGATACCACGGGCAGCATCCCAACCGGCTTTTTCGGCCAGAGTTACATTGCTGAGGCGGCGGTTGGTCTTGCCAGGAATCTTGTTGTTTGCAGTGCTGCGCTTGACATAGCTAGCAATGAAGAAGCTAACGAAAAGGTAGGTCAACGGAGCGAGGTACAAAACATTGAGCCAGATGGCAAATGTCTCGTTGGCTGTAGGAATACAAGGCTGAGCCACGTGAGAAGTCTCGGTTACAAGAGCAGATTCCTTGACCGTACCAGAGGCAACCGAGTCCAATGCAGCTGAGCCAAAGATGAACTTCCTAAGTGAGTCCAAGGCACCGGTGGCAGTGGGCGCGGCAGCGTCGGCGGATGCGGCTGGCAGTTCGACGGCGATCTTGGTGACCGTAATGGGAGCGACGTAGGTGACGAAAGAGTGCAGAATGGCATACGACGCACCAACAACGAATTGGGTGATTTGCATAGTGGTCAGGGTTCGCTTGACCACCATGGGAACCCTGATTGAGAAAGCCGTCAGGGTGTAGTAGGCGTACATCAGAGCATGGATGAACGAGTTGACCAGGACAAACACCCAGATAGGAGCTGACATGTAGCGCATACCCGCCCACATGCAGAGCATGGCCCCAGCATGATGGTAGGTCTGCAGGGTAGAACTGAACTTACCCTTGGCGAGGATGATGAAGGTATCCAAGACCTCGTAAAACTTGCTCAGGTAGAAGATCCAGCCGTAGTAGTTGAGACCCTCGTTCCAGATACGTCCCATCTGCGTGCTGCTGGGTTGGCTGCCGTCTAAGCTGGCGATGAGAGTGTTGGGGTCCGCGCTGTCCCAGTGAGACGAGGTGTGGTTGAAGTAGAGAGAGCCTCCCAAGCCACGAGGACCATGAAGACGGCAGAGGCTGTCAACAGTGGCAGCAGCGCCGCCGGCCCCGAATGGGCTCACGATGCTGCGTCGCATGGTACCCAGCATGCCCCAAAAGGTCCACGCCGAGTAGACGGCGAGCAAGACATTGTGAAAGACAACGAAGGCGAAGAAGGGCTTGGTTTCGCTCATGGCCCAGGGCTTTTTGTTGCGGGAGGCATTGAACTTGTTCAGAGCCTTGGCGGTCACTGCGTACAGCGCCGCAATAGTCAACGGAACATTGGGGTCAAGGGCCGCCTGGTAGATGCTGTCGGGGATGTTGAAGGGCCGCATGATGGAGACGGCCACGGGTGCAGGCGAGAGAGGTGTTGGTTCGTTGGTCGGGGGAAAGTTGAACAGGCTGGCATCTGGCATTGCTGCCACAACATATGCTTGCGCCGCCGACATGTTGGATTGTATCCGCTGTACGCAATACTCGTCTCTGTCGTGGGTTGCAAGGGACGTTATCGTAACCGCTTTTGAGTTGGGGGAGCAATGTCGTGTTCTCGTTGCTCGCTCGATATCGACGGCCTGTGTAGACAAAAGGGAAAACCACTCCTCGGCTCCAAACAGATCCAACAGAGAATGGGGTCTCTTGAGAAGATGGAGGATTCAGAATGGACAGCCAAGATCTAGGGCGGCAAGAGACAGAGTCCGGTGAGGAGGCCGTTTTCTTTTCTAGGGCAGTCTAATAATAAGTTGGGATGCTCTAACGGTATGGGTGGAATAGCAAGGCAAGGGGCGTGCATCTATCCGCTCAAACGTCGAACCTGCCCAGAAAGCTTGCGCGTCTTGGGCTGGAGAGGGGCGAGCAAGGAGCAAGCTTGTTGAATTGGCGGGAACCCCCAACCTGTAGGGTGTGGCCTTACGAGACTCGGATCTGGGCGTTGTTGAGGAAGCCATCCGCATGCAGTCCCACGTCACCCCAGCGCCTTCCGTCTTCCTCGGCACCTCACAAAGAGAAGAGATGGAACACATGCAGATTTCACGAGTTGAGCACTCCCTACGGTCACTGCGGAGCACTGGAGTAGTATTAAGTTGTTAGTATGCAAACGGGTAAGACCCAAGAGGGCAACGAGGCAACAGGGTTCGCGACAACGACGGGACCTGAACCAGCCTCGCGGGTTGTTCCAGCTGTCCGTTACCATTGAAAGCCACAAGCACGGTGACGACACGATACATGCTCCCTAAAGCTCGGGCAAACGCGCATGTTCAAGTTAGAGACTGGGTAGGTCTGTACTCTATTTAATCTCGTCGGCGGCTTGGTCTGCAATTGTCTGCCATCACAATCAGCTTTTATTTTAGCCTGGGGCGTGTAAGTCGGCCAAATTGCCCAGATAAATAGATACTTAAGTACCTACTTCCCACTCCTCACCACGCTAGGAGCCTACCTACGTACCTAGGTACCTAGGTACTTGAGTAGCGACAGGTACTCCGTACCTTTTAGAAGATATAACGTTTGTGTGCGGGACAAGTTCCGCTGCCGCCGGCGGGGCCCGGGTGCGACGAATTGAAGCTAATTACTCCGTACCCAGCTGGATAGGTAGCTGCCTGGTAGGTAATAGCGCCGCTTAGTTTTTTTTTTTTTTTTTTTGGGGGTCAAGGGGCCCAAAGATGCCTGGCAGAGCGCACGCCCGCCCAAACTCAAGAAACCAGGGCCTTGTCACAGCTTGGCCGCGCCGGGGTCAGGACTCGCCTGTTGTTGCGGTGTTGAAAGCAGTGCATGTTTCCAGGTGACTGTTGAGCAATAATAGAGTAGATGGATGCTACGGAGTACATCTGTACTTAAGTAAGTAGTTGAAGGAATTCGTACTGCAGGCTACCACTACTACCACCTGGGTACGGAGCACATCCATTCGGCTAAGAACCTAGGTACTTGAATAACGTACATGAAGCAGGGGCATGTACAATGTCAAGCCATGTAGCTACATGTTTTTGTTCACCTCACCTACCTAGTGGTGCAGAGTGACATAGGTAGGTATCTATGTAGGTACTTCCTGTTCCCGTGCTGGTGCCGGGTCGCGCTGAGTTGACATGCTCGTTCCTCAACAATTTCGGCCCCAAGCCCAGTCGCAACGCGGCCAGGCACTCCCGGACTGCCGGTTCCGCCTTCTCCCAGCCTGGCCACTCACAGCGGGCTGGCAGTACGTGGGGGCGCCCCGCAAAATCACCCCACAAGCAGCCCAGTACGGAGTACTACTGGCGAGTTCGAGTTCCTACAAATCACTCTTCGACAAACAAACGGCCTTTGTCCTTAGCTGGTGAAGCTATGCGCTACGCTATGTTTGACTTTTGCGCCAATGTCCTTCCCGAAGCCATTGTCACTTAGGTAGGCGCTTTGGGGGAAAGGAAAGATCGAGGGAGATCGAGAGAGATCGAAGGCTCCCCTCCCCCTTTCTTCCGCAGGTCGCATAGAATACGCCTTTGGGGAGTAGTACTTGGGAATGCCGCCGCGTCTGTCTTGACATGGCCATTTTGTTGGTGCTGGCACTCTGGATGCGTTGTCCTTCAACCTTGTGTAGACGGAATCCAGATAGTTACATATATGTCGCACAAAAAAATGGCGTAGCCACCGGCCACTTTCGTGTGCGTTAATGCCCTCCTCATCTTCCGACAATATATATACCTCGTAGTTGGGCAAGTGTCCGACGTTTACATAGTTATATGCCCGCCAAAAAATGTCAACTGGTCTCCGGCACTTCCGGCTTTGCTTACCGAGTAATATTAGCCAGTCATGACGTCAGCACGACGCAGCTTATTCATGCAATTGATCGACTCTGCTTGCACTAGAGCTAGTGTTCAGTCATTTCTTCTATTTGACTCCGGTGGAACACTACATTCTGGCACAGCCAAATGGACACAACTCCCCCTAGTTCGATCTTCTATGCATCTCTTGCGTCATTCTGTTCCTGCAGACATGTGGCCCATTCATTACGCCTTCAAGCTGCCACCCAACCAGCGGTTGAGGAAGTCTAGAGATGCCTTGGGCTGGTCGAAAGGGGTCATGTGGCCGGCCTTGTAAACCTGAAGGAATGATAGGTTGCCGTACGACTTGAGCTTACCATACTCCTTGGTCTTACTGCCGGAGCTAATCTTGACACCCTTGCTGTTGGCCCCAGAGAAGCCCTTGTGGCCAGACCATTCGAGCTTGTTCGTCCAGGCTTGGTTTCCAAGCCAGTTGCAGATAAAGTCGGCGTCGCCAGCGTAGATCAAGACGGGGATCTCGTCCAGGATCTGAGGAACAAGCTTGAAGTACGGCTTCATCCAGTCACCCTGAAGCAAGAAGTTGCGGTTGATGTCAAAATTGCAGCTGTCGTAGGTTTCAACCTCAGCACCGAGAGCCTCCATAACCTCGGCCTTGTTCAACCACTCAGAAATATACTCAAGTTCCTCGTAGCACAAGCTACCGCCCTTGCAGTCAATGCGAACATCATAAGGATTGCGGCCGCTGCGTTGATAAGGTCCAATCATGGCATTGTTGCAGTAGATGCTGGCGGGAACACAGGTCCAGACGCTCTCAGAGTTGTAGCAAGATTGAATCAAGGACTGGCAACGAGGGAGGGCGTTGTCGAGGCTGCGGCACTGAGTCTCATCAAGAACGGCAGGGTAGCCACCTTCGCCACATGCCATTGGGCGATAGTACTCGTACTGAGTGTAGCCATCGGTCAGACCATTTCCAATCAGGGCGCTCTTGAGGTTAATGTTGCGATCCTTGTGTGACAGAATTTCCGAGGCGAAAACGGGGATGTAGTGTCCGCCGTAAGATTCACCAGCAATGTGGAAGTCCTGCTTAGCGTACTCTGGGAACTGGTGGAAGAAGAGGGTCAGGAGGGCATAGATATCCTTGCCGGCAGCGACAGTGTTGCTGACTGTACCACTACCATATGAGTAGCCCACATTGACGGGCTGGTCGAGGAAAATGACCGATGCGTTGGCATTCCATGAGTATGGGTTGTGGACGACCTCGATCTTGTCATTGATGGAAGCAGGGCCGAGCTCCATGAAAAGTCCTGTGAGTGATGAGCAACCTGGGCCACCGTTAAGCCAGAGGACCACGGGATCGTTCTCGGGGTCATTGCGCGATTCAAAGAACCCTGTATGCTCGGTCAGCATCCACTTCGTAACAACCCGACAAGCCATCATCAATCACTGGTGACGAAGAAAAGAGGAAGGGGATTGTCGGGGAATGATGGGCGTGCTTACAGTAAAACAGATGCTTGTCTTGTTCATTGTCGTCGAGGTAGCCGCTGTACTGCTTCACCTTGTCGACGCCGAGCTTAGAAGGATCAACCTTCTTAGCACGAAGACTGAAGTTGTCGAGCTTTCCTCCGACCTTGCGGTGAGACTCGCCCCTTTCGTTCTCAACCCAGATATCCTGGACATCAGCGCCATGAACGACATGATCCCACTTGTTGTCAGAGATACGCGAGTGCTTCTTGGGCTTGGAATTCATGACATGCTTCTTGAAGGCATCGACGGCATCGGGGGCGAGCATGGCAACTTCGTCCCATATCGCCTTGGCCTCGGAGGTAGCCTCGCCAAATGCCTCCTTCAAGGGCTTAGTCCAAGCATCAAAATCCACATTGCCAACCACGTTGAAGTCGGAGCCGAAGGTTGAGGACTTGGGTTTACTGAGAACCTTTTGGTCCTGCAGACCGACCGCGGACGAGGCGGCACCCAACAGGAGGGTGGAAGTAGACAGCCGCATGGTGTATTGGCGTCGCCTGCTTGCAACTCACGATGCAGATAATTGTAGGGTGGATGATGATGACGTTGATGGAATGTAGGGCGGGAGACTGAGGAAGAGGTTGTAAAGGAGAGGAAGGGGACGTGGCCGCCTCGACGACGTGATGGCACTAAGAGGCTAGAGCACTCGCGGCAAGCCTGACCGAGACACAGCTGACTGTGCCAGCCATACGAGAGGCTCACAAGTTGCGACAGACAAAAAGTGGGGGCACTTGTCATGTCACGTGCACACTACGTATTTTCCAAGAGGCAGATAGACACTGGGAATACGGAGTATTCAAGTCTAACAACCCTGAATCTAAGGCATCAACATAGAGAACACCAGTTGCTCCTAAGCCTATTCAAAAATAGTGACGCCGTTTAATATGCCAGCTCGAAAAGCGTTTCCGGGGAAAAAAAAAAGAAAAAGAAGAAAAAGAAGAAGAAAAAGAAAAAAAAGAAAAAAAAAACCATCAAGACGGAGCAGCGCACTGCTGGCCAGTCGCCTGATCGACGCAAACCTGCGAGAGAATCGTCTCGCCGCCCGACTGGTAGTAGTAGCCTTGAGACCGTCACGGACTCACACAAATGCCGTCATTTGCCCTGCGGCTTGTCCGAGCCTGTCAACAGTTCCATCCATGTGCTTCATTTCTGGCGACGCTTGCCCGGAATACCAGACACCGATGGCGTCCATCTTCTCTTTGGCTTGCCGGGACAAGACACCTCCGGCCATGTCTAGTAAACACCACGCCGGGCATATTCTGTTTTCAAAACTGCCAAGAAAGCCCACGTTGTGCACTGTGTAGCTCGTTGCAGTCCCTCACCTCGAGGCGAGCAGCGCTCGATTCTTCATGCTTACTTCCAAACGGGTGGCCATGCTTACCGACAGAAACATAAACGCCATCACGCATATTCGGTCTGTTTTGTCCGAGTCCAAGATTCGGATGTCGGATCACCTTGTGAACACGGCCGGGTCAGCCAAGGTGATGAACTCTATTCGTCTATAACAATAGGCATTTCTGCTCTATGCTCCACTCCCTTCCGTCGTCGCTGTCTCCCTTTCCTTCGCTTTTTGGGCCTTCTTGGCTGCTATTTGCTGCTCCTTGAGAAGCTTCTTCATTGCATTCTTGCTCAGCTCACCAGTGCTACCTGTATCGCCGTAAGGAGAAACGCCGTCAGCAGCCTTGGTGACTGGCACAACGAGGTCTGCCCGAGGAACCCGTGGGTTGCCTTTCCACTCCAGTGGGCGCACCGACATGAATTCGTCAACCACAGCATCGCTAACCTTTGACCGTCGTTCTTGAAAGGTGCCGACGTATTTTTGGAGGTGTTCAATACAAATCGCTTTGAGCTGTAGATGGTGGAACGGTGAGTGTGCAGCTGACAAGCCTTGTGAGGGGAACGTACCTCGCCGGTGAGCAATTTGCCGCTGCTGTATTCGTCCTTGATTCTTTTGAGCTCCTTTTTCGTTTGTTAGTCGAAAAAGAAAGAAAAAGAGAAAGGAAAAAAGAAAGAGAATATTCTACAGTTGCCGCCCGGAGAGGGGAAGGGGGGGTAGAGCTAATCGTACATCATCATCCTCCAGGAAGAACGTGAGGTATTGGTACGCAACATCTACATGGGCATTGCCGCCCTTTTCGCGGTGCTCCTCCACTGTCTCGCGACCTCCAGAGAAAGCATATCTAGACGACTTAGCATGCTGATTCGGCAAAGGTACGAGGGTGTTGAGCGCGCGGTCTCACTTGTTAATCTTGGTCTTGATCTGCTTCGCAGTGTCGCTTAGAAAAATAGCAGAGTTATCGTCACTAGCCGACATTTTTGACCCCGGCCCTTGCAAAGCATCCAAGAACCGCATGTGAATGAGAGCTGGTTTGGCAAACTTGAGACCCTGGGCACAGTCTCTGGTCAATCGGAAATAAGGGTCCTGGTCGATGGCACACGGGATCAAACAGGGGATGGAGCTAGTCTTCTTTTCGTCGGGACCAAAAATGTGAGGGAATGATGATGCGAACGAGGTTGCGCCCTGGATGCTGGCAAAGTGAATCTTGCCAATATTTGAGCTGCCATCAAATCCGAAGATTGCCTTGGCGGTGTTGTATGTGACTCTTTTGGCGAAACGAACAATGTTCTTGTAGAAGGCGCCTCCAACGTAGGCAAAGTCGGAGAAGATGAATGTCTTCTTGGGGTCAAAGCCAGCGGCAATAATGTCCATGGCATTGGTCCTGCTATATCCCATGACCTCTTCTACCGTTCGCTTCTCGGAGAAGAGGTACTTCTCATCTAGTTCGTGTTGGTTGCATGTCTCACGTGTTCAATGACCAAAGGGGCTCACCGTCTGTCAACATGACTATCAGAGGTACATCCAGTGTGTCTTGCAGCCATCTAGTCGCACATGAATTCAGTCCCGTTGGTCTCCGTTTAGCCTCCTGTTGGGTATTCGTACTTAACAAAGTCAAAAACTTGGGTGTGTCCGATGTGCATGCTATCACTGCTAGGTCCACGACCAGTATATAGAAAGAAAGGCTCATTCTAAAGGAAGACGAGAGAGGTCAGCGACTATACAGAACGTCGTAAAATCTTGGACTTGACAAATCACACCTTCTCATAACGGTCCAGAATCATGTGTAGATCTCGATGACTGAAGAAAATACCACGGCGCATAAACCGGTGAGGTTTCTGGCCCGTGACTCTCTCCCAGCGCTGAAGCAGTGCATCGTCGATCTTGCTGGTGCCAAACTCATCAATGAGCTTGGTATAGTCAATGGCCTTGACCTTTCCGTCGTCGCCAACTTCGCCGGATACTGACCAGGGGTTGATGTCCTGCTTGGAGGGTTTGGACTCTGGAGAGGCAACGTCGTCGGCAGGGACGGGGTCAAGGGGCGTGGGAGCGGAGTCCATGGCGAAGGGGGTTGTGCTTCTGCTTCAGCTGTGCAAATATTCAGATGCAATTCCAGTGCCTCGGTCCGGAAAGGAAGTCAGATGCGTGCGTACTGGATAGTTGTGACTCGACAGTGAAGAAGTCGAATGCGCCGCGAGATGCACTTGCATGTCCAGGGTGCAGGCAAAGGCGGGGCAGTTTGAAGGATTTCACTTGGTCGCATGGCATGGCGGGGTTGACGGGGAGAAAAAAAAAAGGGAAAGGAAAGAACCAGTTGACATCTCACTGTTCCTAGGCGGTGTCACAGGGCCCGCGGGCTCACGAGCAGATGAACGAAAATAAATCAAACAGCAAATCGTCGTCGTCGTCGCCAAATTACTCCAGTAAGTGGAAGAAGTACGGTCAGACATGCACAACTTGTGAGGTGCTGTTTCCGTGGCTGCGTTTCTGGCAACCCTAACCCTCTGACGCAGAACAGAAAAATAAAAAATGAGTGTCCATTGCGCATTTACCAACCTATGAGTCAATACTACCCCCAGTACTCCGTGCTCCGTAGACCAATCTACTCAGGCACATTCAGGGATCACAGCTCAGTGATGCGGCGATTCTGTCGACATTCGCAATTTGCAATTTGCACGTCGGCTTTTTTCCTGCACCTGTGAATTAATTACCTACCCGGGTGGGTACCTTTCATCAGTAGCAACGCGCACAGCCCGAGCTAGCAGCTGAAACGTGCGTGCCTCATCAGTTTGCAAAAAGACAGCTGCCCCGCCACGGACATCGTCATCATACCTCCATCAGCTTTCCCACCAAGCTTGCTGGCCGGCCCCTGCCGACCTTCCTGGAAATCTCCTCATTTGCGTTGCGTTGATCGCGGCGGCAGCGGGCACTCTTCATTTCCTCCTCCAGCTCAGGCTCGAGCCGGCGCCCACACCGCCCGCCATGTCCCGCCAGATCAACCAGCCCTCCAACCAGATCAAGCTCACAAACGTGTCGCTCGTGCGCCTGAAAAGGGGCAAAAGGCGCTTCGAAATCGCCTGCTACAAGAACAAGGTCATGGAGTGGCGCTCCGGCATCGAAACCGATCTCGACAACGTCCTCCAGATCCCCAGTGTGTTCCTCAACGTGTCCAAGGGCCAGACGGCTCCCAAGGAGGATCTCGAAAAGGCCTTTGGCAAGGGCAAATCCACCGACGACATCGTCTTGGAAATCCTGAAAAAGGGCGAGTTGCAAGTCGGCGAGAAAGAGAGGGCCGCGCAGCTGGAGCGCGTGCACAACGAGGTCGTCAGCATAGTGGCCAGTAAACTGGTCGATCCGAGGACAAAGAGAGTGTACACGTCCGGCATGATCGACAAGGCCTTGGACATGCTGAGCTCCCAGGCACACAACACCGACAAGGACAGGAGCGCTTCGGCGAGCGGCGCAGCGACCCCGGCCGCGGACGACGACGGGGGGGCGAAACCCATGACGAGGGAGCACAACTGGACCGGCGTGGTGACCACCAAGAGTGCCAAGAATCAGGCGTTGGAGGCGATGAAGGCCCTCATTTCCTACCAGCCTATTCCGGTGGCAAGAGCGCGCATGAGGTTGAGGATATCGTGCCCGACAAGTGTGTTGAAGCAGGCCGTCAGGCCGGCCAAGGGGGCTGCTGCAAAGGAGGAAGATGGCGAGCAAAAGGCCCCCGGGACGGTCAAGGACAAGATTTTGGGATACGTAGAGCAGGTGGAGAATCAGGATGTCGTGGGCTCCGAGTGGGAAGTCGTCGGCTTTGTTGAACCAGGCGCCTTCAAGGCCTTGTCGGATTTCATTGGCAACGAGACCAAGGGCCAAGGACGGGTAGAGGTCTTGGATATGGCTGTTACGCATGAAGATTAAAGCCGAGGTCAAAGAGACTCCGTTGGCGAATGATGCCCATGCTGCTCTTGCTTTTGGGTCCATCTCTGGCGCTCCCGCAGCCTCTTGTCTGTTGTTGCATAGACATGACGCTTGGTGGTTCTTGTCGACTGCGTTGCTTGTTGCCCGATGGCGAGGGCATTGCATCGTGAAAAGGCCTATAAATTGCCAGTACCAAGAGAATCTGAATCGTCTCCGAATCAGCCCAACTGATTTTCTGGCATGCACTCTTTTTTCGCGTAGCAAAGATCCCCTCCAAGGACTACACTAAGAGAGCCCTCGACAGCACAAGTGTTGCTTGAATACTTTTGATTCATGACGTCTGATCTAGAGTACAGCTATGAGCCAAGCTGCATTGCCCGAAAGCAAACCTGTGTCCAGATATGAGCAAAAAGATGGAATAAACCCAGTCCGTCACGCCCTTCTACACCCATCCCAATGCAGTGATAGTCACAGCGTATAATTTAACCACCCTTCTTCTTGGAGACACCGACAGTTCGACCACGGCGACCAGTGGTCTTGGTGTGCTGACCACGGACACGGAGACCCCAGTAGTGGCGGAGACCACGGTGGGCGCGAATCTTCTTCAAGCGCTCCAAGTCATCACGCAGCTTGGAGTCGACACCGTTGGCCAAAATCTGCGAGTCCTTGCCGTCCACGATGTCGCGCTGTCTGTTGAGGAACCAAGAGGGAATCTTGTACTGGGTAGGGTTCTGGATGATCGTGACGATCCGCTCAAGCTCTTCCGAGGTGAGTTCACCGGCACTATCGAGTACGGAATCATTAGCATTCTTGCGCTGCTCCTCGTGCTCCCTTTTTTTCTGTCTCTGTCTCCCGCGTAGCTAGTGGAGGACAATAGACCGTACCGCTTGTTCAGGTCGACATCAGCCTTCTTGCAGACCAAGTTTGAGTATCGGCGACCGACACCCTTGATCTTGGTCAAGGCGTACATAACCTTCTGCTTGCCGTCGACATTGGTGTTCAGAAGACGCAAGATCTATTTGTCCGGGGTGTTAGCTTCCACTGTAACCAATACAAAGGAAGTGAATTCTTTGGCACGTTCGATCATGTCGCTGGCACCATCATAGCGAGCGACTGAAAGAGATTGAGTGGAATCGTCGAGCAATCGCCAAGGATGATGGAGGCAGTGCATTACTTACGAACTGAAAGTTCGTCTTCTCTCCCGAAACGAGCGACATGATGGGCAACTGTGTGAGTCGTTGCCGTGTGCTCGATGATGGTCAATGGATTTGGGTTGAGGGAAGAGAGGCGGAGATTTGTCTGCCCTCGCTTAACTTGGCGGGATTTTTCGACCCTGTGGGGGCACAAGTAGGGCAAGCTGTGGGTGGGTGCACACACTAAAAATCCTGTCACGATAGGACCACGTGATATGAATGGCTTACTAAGCGGGTTGGTTTACTCCGTAATGCTTGGGCAAATTACGTTGGTTTCCGGACCGGGAGGCCACCTTGACCTGTGAACAACACAAATCCAAGCCAAATTGGCGCAATCATTCTCCCCATACATTTTGGAGCCTCAGTTCCCGGTATGTTTGATGCTGTCGGGCCTGCTCAAATTGCGAGCAGCTTTTACGCGCAGACAGCCTCACCCTTTGACGGTAGGTGTTGATTCTCGTAGCTTATTTTCTTTGGCTCGTCTTCTGCCATCGCTCGGTCAATCCATCTAGAGGACAGATCTTGAGCCGGACACCCTCACTTTGGTGTGTGAGTACAAGACAAGAAAGAATTTTGACAACGCTTTTTGAGTACGAAACCTTCAGTGAATTCACCAAATGGGGGTTATCGTAATTTATCAGTTGTTACATTTTCCGTCTATCCATTGCACCATGTCCCCCCAGAGTACTTGAATAATGTTCATTACTTGTATAATGCTTGTCCCCTTGCTCCTATAGGTATGACAAATTCCCGAGCACAAGCTCGGCAATTGATTGCGTCCCTGAACTCTCGAAACATGCAGTGCATTCATTGTATGCCCTTCTTTTTGTATATGCCGTTCAAATTGATTTTTTCCTAAAGGCTCAGGGCAGCTGTCGAGTCCTGCGACTAAATGAGTTAGCCTTCGCAATCAAGCACAATCCCGCCCATGCATGTACGTACTTCTCGTGGTTGTGTAAGCTGACTTGTCAGCAATTCCCAAAGGCACACGCGATCCATCTCAACGCCATGTGAGCTGCTCTTTGGTTGGACGTTGAAGACATGGACATCTTGGAGACCACGCACGAGCAACAGCTCATCCAGGCCCAAGACGTCCGCCATCCTAATATTTCGATAGGCCAGTGGGAAATATGATCGCATCAAGGTGGCACGTTCATTCAAGTGCACCAGCGTCGACTTGGAAATATTGAGTGTCAGAGACTGTAGGTTAATCAACTGTGGGAGTAATTTGAAGGTATTTGCTGATTCTGGGCCACACCAGTGGACTGCGATGTGGCGGACGTGATCTGCGAAGTGCGAATTATGATTTATATGTGCAAGAAGCTCACAAGTGCAGCGAAATCGGAACTTTTTCTTACGAAAGAAAATCCGGTAGAACTCTTCATCTAGAGCTGTACCTAGCAGTATCGGCAGCGCCTTCATCTGGGAAGTCTGGAAGACGTTGTCCCTTTCGAACCTTGGACACCTGCAACCTGGCGTTTTCCCAGCCGGCACTACTATTGACGTTCGGAATGTGTTGTCGATTATGAGCTCCAACGTTCTTGCCCGAATTTCTATTGGCATTTTCATGAAAGGAAAGCCTTGGGTACAGCTTTGCCTGTCTGCGGCTGCGTGTAAGACAAGTGTGCCCCAGACTGGCCATGATTCGCGGCGGCTTTCTCACCTGCAATGTCCAGAATCTCCGTGCACATCTCGATAATGTCAACGCAAGTCTTGACCTCTGCGGGGTCCTTTTTGAGGATGTTGGCACATTTGGTGATGGTATTCGCAACGGCGGCCCTCCGCCGAGGGCTTAGACGAACTAGTCTTCCGAGCTCTTCAACGTCGAGGCTTCCGACATGGTAACTGTCGAGGCCCTCGAGCAGAGTCTGGATATTTCGGGACAGCTGGTAGCGACTCGGAATGGCCTTTGTCTTCAAGACGAAGAAAGACTTGGAGGCCATGGCGGCGGGCGGGCTTTTACCGGCGTCTCGTCAGTCAAACGACGCCAATGGACAACGGTGAGGAGTAAATGGGTCATCCAGGCTACGGGATTGAACCCAGCGTCGCCCAGACATTGTTTTTGATTCTTGTGGAGACGTTGCTTGCCAGCTGGCTTCAAATACGGTAAGTGCAGTGAACCGTGGATGCGACGGCCGTGGCAGGTGGCAGACTCAGATGCAAGTCACCAGAGTCGACGAGCATCTTGAACAGTGACGCATCGTTGCTCCTTCCGTCTGCGTGGTCAAGCTCGGCTTCGGGACCGTCTGCTGAATCCAGCGACGCGAGGAATGAATGCCTGTCAGTATGTACCTGGGTATGCCAAAGTTTACAACTACCATCGGGTCGCAGGGACTTGGATCAGGCGTGGTCAAAACATGATGCCAAAGTTTACAACTACCACCGGGTCGCAGAGACTTGGATCCGGCGTGATCAAAACATGATGTATTATCGTCTATGCCAATGGGGTATTTCATGTCGGCAAGTATAAGCCAAGGCTACTCCGGGCACCCTTTTTAAACAAATGAAAGAGCATGCCATCATGTGCGCGACTAGATATGACGCATGCGTCGGTAAATAAAGCAAAGAAAGCGGGCGGAATGATCCGCCATGACTGCCGATGAACCGTATATACCAAATGCCCGATATGTGCCAACGCTTGATGCCCCCAGGTAACCCATAGTCCCGTGTTAGTCATGCCCGTTCGTATAGTACATGCGGCACGTTTTATGTACTCTTCGCCATGGCCGTGCCAGCCATTGCGTAGTTGTGTGCTCTAGTGTCCGTCCGAGGGTCGTGAGAACTGTAATGTAACAGTTGTTGTGGCGGCCATCTCTATTGTGATGCAGTGTAGTCCTCTAATTTCTCTAGGCTTGCTTTCTTTCTTTGTCGGTGTTGAAAAAAAGGAACCGGGGTTGGGAGGGGGGGAGGAAAGCGAAAGAGACTACGACGCTCTAGGCTGTTGCGTATGAAGTGAGCAACTGGCGTTGGTCTCTGCATGATCTGCAAGGGGCCGCATATTTCGGCCACAGCACGGAGACTGTGGCCTTGGTGCTCGGTTGGTGGCGCTGAGACCAGCGGTGTATCCAATAACTCATAACTCTGGTAGTACTTTGCCTTTCGAGTGGTGTCTATATTTATCGGCGCCAGACAAGAGGTGATAGAAGTCGTACTCAGTAGCACTGAAGCATTTTTCGCCGTAGATATGCGGCGATGCCAATTGTTCGCCTCGTCAGTCTCGGGCCGAGTCGGGGCTCGGCGAGTCCGTCAGCGAGGCGATGATCTTTGCCCTATCGATCTCGAGGCTGGGCGCGCGCGTGCAACACGGGCTCACACCAATAAAACTGGCACTCTCAATCTGGCTCGGGTCCGTGGCGCCAAAGGTCATGGTGAAATGGCTCAGCATTTCTTGATGCTTGAGATTTTGCAGCGTGAGAGGTCGTTGGCTCGGGTGGATTTTCTTGTTCCTCCTGTTCCTCCGGGATTCCTCATGTGACTCGTCCTTGGAGCGGCGGGCAAACGCAAAGGTTCTGGCGAATTTGCTGCTAGTGATTGACTTGTGTAACGATGACGTCTCGCTGGTCGTGGTTGTGGTTGTGTTGCTCTCTGTCTGCGAGATGGTGGTGTCTGAGCTGTCGGATTTGCGCAAGGCACGACGGAATCGGTCTCGGATAGACATTGTAGCGGCGATGATGATGTTGCTGTTGTCGAAAGACTACGTGCGGCAAGGCGGAAGGCCAATTGACCAACTTTTTTGTTGCAATGTAGACGTTGTAGAAAACTACTGTCGCAGACGGAAAAAGGGGGGGCAGATCTAGGCCGATTATAAAGGGAATCGGGGAGTTCTGGGCAGCCTGGGCACGTTGCATGGGCATGTTGCATGGACATGGATGGGCATGGGCAGCCCAACGCCCTCTGGGGGGGCTCGTCTCTTCGCGCATTGCGGGAACATGGAAGTTACTCCGCAGTCGGTGGCAACTCTTTTCGGCCCATTGTCGTCTTTCTGTGGAGAGAGCGAGCGCGACCCGTGGGAAAAAGCATGTGGGAGGTGGGAGGCGGAGGGCCGAGGAGGAGCGAGGGCTTGGGCGGTGTCACTGGTGAGTGTTGCCACCAAGTACGCATGAAGGAAGGGGGCGGCGGCGTGTGGAGCCGTCGGGGCTCTGGGGCTCTGGGGCTCTGGGGCTCCTCCTCGGAGGCTCTGGAGTGCGGAGACATGGACGGACTGATTCGGGGCCAGCATCAATGGCCAGGGCTCGACGCGGTGTCGGTCTCAGGTGCTGGTGTCGTCTGGGCGGTCCGGCGCTGGGCCTGGCGTCGACGAGACACCAACAGCTGCATTGGTGTGACAGACTGCACTCATGCGCGCGCGCGTGCGCATGCGCATCACTCAAGCAGGGCCCAGACGTCCAGACGTTCCCGACACACGCATGCACACATGTCGCTCTGGTCCGCGCGGTGAAGGGTGGTGTAGGTGTGGCTGATGGAACAGCAAAAGAACATGCGTGGAACGGCGAGAGAAATCTGCGCATCCGGGCTGCGAGTCTGCGAGTCCGACGGCGTCCTCCGGCAAGCCTAGGCCGTTTGCGGTGGAGCCTACTGACGACTAAGCCGCCAAGTTCCCGCGGCTGCCATGGATAGGCCCATGGGGTGTTTTCGCATTTTGGCACCGCCACTAGCGCACCAGGCCGGGCCCACACTAGCACTCCGTACGGAGTACTGCTATGCGAGTATCCGTACTGGCCAGCCCAGCCCAGGTGCGGGACTCGACTCGACACCGAGCTAGTGCCTCCCCCTCGGAAAGCGTCATGTGCAGACGCAGACGCAGACGCAAACAAACACTTGAGACGGCCACCCCAGATGGTCCGGCAGAAGCCACAGCCGGCGTCAAAACTCTGCGTGCTGCCCCAGATGCTGTTCGTGTTGCCAATCCATTCTCAGTGGTATAGAGAGGGAGCGCCGCAGCGTATGCATTTTCCGCTGTCGAGTCATTTGCGTCGGCCGCCAACACTTGTCCACTGTGGCTTCGACGGGCATGCCGCGATACGGGTCCTTGCCCATCCAAAAGTTGAAGCGCGGCAAAACTCGGGACGAGGGTGTTGGTTTGTGCCACTTTAGCAGTACTCGGTACGGAGCACCTATCACTGCTGCTACTGCTACTATTGTTACTCCTAATCGACCACCAACCAACGGAATGGAGCAACTTGCGGCCAGGCCTGGGACCGGACCAGGTTTGCCAGGAATCCATTCAGTACGAATGCAAAACAAACAAGAAGCCGCTTGCCCGGACGTCTGGATCCGGTCTCGACGTCATGGGGTCCGTTTCGTGACGTTTAACATTTGTGTCCTTGGCGCCAATCCCTCTGAATCTGCACGCTGATTGGCTTCCGATTGCTCGCCTCGACGGAGAGTCTTGTCCCACAGCGCGCTTGTCGGTCCGCAGTTGGCTGGGAGAGGCTCAATTAGTTATCTGGGTTTCCTCGAAGTTTCTTGGCTGTCCCTTCGAATCGTGTACACCCACCGTAGCATTGGCTCCAAGCGAGCTGGCATTCCATTGCTCCTACACTACACTGTAGGCCTATCACGAAACTTGAGGTACAGCTTCTTGTCCCTCCCGTTGATATAAGCCGCTTGTCTGCTCGTGCTTGGTTTGAATTGTGCTTAGTATCTTGAGCCGAGTCGTTTTCGCATATTTGGTCGGCTCGATTTCCAGAAGCCGAGTCTCTCGTTCCTTTCTGGAAGCGCTATCCTCTGTCCCCATCACCATGGCGAGTCTGAAGATGCCCATTTCAAACTGTGAGTGACAGTCCGTCCCGAAAGAGCTCCTGGGCGGACACGTTGCTGAATACGTCGTGGGGATCTGTCCGCGGTAACAGAGAAGCTGGGCGGGATTCGTGCAGAGGCCTATCAACGTTACATCTACCAGAAGAGACACCAGCAAGACATTGCACCCAGCGACGAAAGAAAACACGACGAAACAAACCTGAAATCGATCTGACGAGAAGAGAGAGCGTGTCTCGAGGCTACCGTTGAAATAAAATTGTAGGTCAACCAACTGGTAGTTATAATGCCGCCCTGAAATGACTTGGTCCGATATGATTGGCCGAAAGACCGACGATCCCCGCGTAGGGTACGGACTACCTTCAGCTACAGCTCAACCACACTCATGACCAGGTCCCTGTACATGGCTTGCCCCCGTGCTGCCGTCGGGCCCAATGAAAGGCGACGACGTCGTGACAAAAGGAAGTCACTGACCACATCACCAAGTCGCGTGGCTCGCTTTACTCAGCACCACCAGCAACAGGTCGTTACACCAAAGTCCCGTCGAGTGCGCCGTCTGCTGTTTTTCATGGACTCGCCTGCTGCACCATAGATCATGGTCCGGTACCGTCCGACGCCCTTTTGCGCAAGACTGGCCTTGCTGTAATACCGGGAAGTTGCGCCGTCGAGCTGCGCGTCCTGTGCCTTCAAGCTTGGACGAGACACCACGCCGTGGGGATTGCTCTCCCAGCCTCCGCCAAATCTCCATCATGGCTAGCCTGCGGGAACGCAACGCCCAGGATAGAGAAGCCGTCTCTGAAGCAGCCAAGTCGCCGCCGACTCCAGGACAGCTGGATACCGCCGACGCTGAACCCAGCCGCACTACATCACCACCCGCCCCTCGCTTGGGCCGCGACGTTGGTGAGGACTCACCTCTCCTCAGCAGCAACGACTCGGATCCAGGCGATGCGGCAAGACCTAATCCCGCATCACATCACCTTGATGGGATGCAGGAAACCAAGGGGCTATGGTACATGGTTATGCTGACAATCAGCATGGGTGGTTTGCAGCTTGCCTGGGCGGTCGAGCTGTCCAACGGATCGCCGTATCTACTGTCGCTTGGCCTCAGCAAGTCACTCATGGCACTGGTGTGGATTGCTGGGCCATTGACGGGAACCCTGGTTGTGCCGTACGTTGGCATTATTAGCGACAACTGCCGCATGCCATGGGGCAAACGCCGGCCGTTCATGGTAGGCGGCACCATCGCCACAGTTGCTGGCCTCATGTTCCTCGCCTGGACGCGAGAGATTGTCGGGGGCATATTGGGGCTTTTCGGCGCGGATTCCAAGTCAGAAGGCGTCAAAGTTGTCACCATCGCCGCCGCCGTGATTGGCGTCTACGTGCTCGACATTGCCATCAACACGGTCCAGGCTGCCATTCGAGCCTTTTTCGTCGACTGCGCGCCTGCTCATCAGCAAGAGGAAGCAAATGCAATGGCGAGCCGGGCTACTGGCATCGGAAACATCATGGGGTTTGTTGCGGGATACGTGAACCTCCCCACGTACCTGTGGTTCCTTGGAAACAGCCAGTTCAAGATACTTTGCGCCGTAGCCAGTATTGGACTAGCAATCACGATCGCACTCAGCACGGCCAGCATACGCGAAAGGAATCCCCGGACGGACGGGTCCCCCATCAAGAAGACGCCGAATTTCGTCACCTTTTTCTTCAACATCTTCAAGTCCATCAAGCGGCTGCCGCCGCAGACCAAACGAGTCTGCCAAGTCCAGTTCTTTGCCTGGGTTGGATTTTTCCCGCTACTGTTTTATACGTCGTCGTACATTGGGGAGATTTATGTCCAGCCATACCTGGAGGAGAATCCCAACATGACGCCCGAAGAACTGGAGGCCTTGTATGAACAGGCCACCCGCATCGGGACCTTTGCGCTGCTGATAAACGCCATAGTCAGCCTGCTCACAAACATCTTTCTGCCCTTCTTCATTGCGCCTACTTTTGACAGCCACCCGGTGTCCGTCAACACGCACACTGGCCAACCTGTCGCGACGAAGACGACTGCATTGCCGCGGCGGTCGTACCTCGACTACTTGAGACTACCAGGATTCACACTCAAGCGGGCCTGGCTCGGATCGTTGGTATTGTTTGCCGTCTCCATGTTCTGCACCGTCCTCGTCCGGTCGGTTGCGGGAGCCACGGTTTTGATAGGACTGGCCGGCATCACATGGGCCATGGCGCTGTGGGCTCCATGGGCGATTATCAGCGGTGAAATCAGTCGGCGAGACACCATTGCCCGGGTGAGGCAGCTTCAGAACATGGCACCAGGCCAGAGCAGTAGCCGGGGTGCGCCGTCGCCCAGCGGAAGCTCGCAAGGCACGGTGGATGCCGAACTGCCCGGTCAAGGTGAAGAAGTGGACCAAGCCGGCGTCATCTTGGGCATTCACAACATGGCCATTGCAGTTCCCCAAGTCGTCGCCACCGTGGGATCAAGCGTCGTCTTCAAGTTCCTGCAGAAGCCACGCGGTACACCCGGCGATCAGAGTTTTGCCATTGTCATGGCGCTCGGAGGCCTGTTTGTCCTGGGTTCTTGCATTTTTGCCATGAGAATCAAAGACGACGCAGATGCGACAGAGGAGGCACTTCATGACGAGGCCCGGGGTGCTTTGCTTGCCGACGAGGCCACCGGGAACTAGCCCCCATACGTACACGTCTGATGTGATTCGGACGCATGGGTAGGCGCAATTTCTAGCCGGTTGGATTTACCCGTCCCCATTCACATTCACCTGCTTGCATAGACACGCTGCATCAAACTTGAATCAACAATTTGCAGCTAGTAGCCATGTGCGTCCCTTTTGTGTGCCTCCGTCGACATTCAAACAAAACAGCCAGCCGTTTCCTCGCAGAGTCGAAGCTGCCATATTGCTCGTCACCCCACCACGCCCCTGGCATCCCACAGTCAGTCTTGGATCCGTCATGGCAAGGCCCCAGAGGAGCCCTCGTCTCGCCAGGAACTTTGCCCAGCGGGGGACCATATGCCGTTGTCCCTCGCCATTCGTGGCACCGCCCTTGTCCCATGCTCGTCGCAGTACGTGTAGTGACAATCTGGCCTGTGCCGCGACCGCGGGTGATTCTGGGTGTCGGCCGCCACGCGACCCGGCCGACCAGTGGCCCGCGACACCGTGTACGTAGTCGTGACGTGCTTGGGGACGGCAATGCCGAGCGAGACCACGGGGGCCTTTGGGCGAGCAGGTTCCCCCCGAGCGGAGACGCCTGCGGCGTAAATTGGAGCCAGGAGGACGATGAGCTTGCCGGAGAGCATTTTAATAGTGTCTGGTGTGTATGTAAAAGAGGTCAAGTCGGGAGGAGGAAAGACATGGCTTATCATCATGTTCTCCCCTTCTCTGCCCCGTATCAATCAGGCACGAGAGACTCAAAGGGTAGGAGGAGGTGGACCTTTTTTTTTTTTTTCATTCTAAGCTATTTCTAAAATCCATGTAGGGCACTCTGGGTGAATATCGTCACGGGAAACAAAACACGACACGACGCCTTGCTCGGCCGAGAGGAAGTGGCGGCCGCCGACGGTCGTGATGGGCGGCAGCAGCAAGCAACGTGACGCCATGCAGAAGTACAGGTGCGACCTGAGCAGACGGGCCGTCTGTTACGTTGTGTGCGGCTGAGCCAAAAAAACAAAAAAAAAAAAAAAATCACTGCATGGCCTTGATGCCGGCCTTTGCCCACATGGTCAGGCACAGCGTCACGCTGACAGTCCACGCTAGGCTTCGCAGACCAGCTAGCTTTCTGTTCTCGCCGAGCTTGACGTAGCAGAAGACGTAGGCGAGCCGGGAGGCGAGATAGCCGATGCTCAGGGTGTTGAGGAGGCACGCGTGAAGACCGGCCTGGTTGGCGGCGACGACACCGCCCGCAAAGAGAGCTAGGGATTCGAAGCCGTTCTCGGAGGCGGCCTTTGCGCGGAGGATCATCTGCTGGCGCTGGGAGGGGGGGGAGAAGGTGTCAGCCGGTACTTGTTGTCGGGCCAAGGGGACAGGAGTGCAAGGCCTACGGGCTTGTCGATGGTTTCGCTCTTGCAGACGGCGTCGCGCAGCGCTCGGGGGTTCGCGTTATCGTACGCTTTGCCGGAGCAGGCGACGGCGATGCTGTGAGGGCCGAGGCATGTCGCGATGAAGACGGCGGGGATCTGGGTCAGGCGTGCGTGGTGAGTTTCTTGGAGTCTGGACACACGAGGAGCGAGGAGCGAGGGCTCACAGTGAAGTAGGAGAGGTTCTTGCTGCAGTCGAGGCCGATGGCGGACATGATGGGCGCTGGAGGTATTCTGGACTTGAGTTGGTTCGGTCGGCGTTTCTTGTTTTTTTTTTTCTTTTGGGTTTTGGTTTCGGAAATTCCAATTGTTGAGAAGCACGGTTGCTGGAGTCGATGATGGATCGAGAGTCGGGGAAGCAGTCAGAAGCCGTCGGAAGCGGGCTGGAAACTGTCCGTGCTGTCTGGGCGTCCCGACGGCCCGACGGCTCACAAGACGGAGAACGGAGCCCCGCGCGCGCGCCGCCAAGCTCGTCCGCCGGTGGACCGCGATTGATGCGACGATACCAGCTTACCAGCGCTTCGTCCCTCAAAGTTCATGACCCATGAATCTCCGTCACGGCCCGTGTCATACACAGCAGACTTCGTTGCTGTTGCGAGCCCTCCGACTGCAAACAAAAAATCTTGTTCACGCCAGTCAGCCATCATCACGCCCGCGGAATGCGCCCTGCCGCTCAGCTGTTGTTCTCCAAGCAAGCAAAAGTGCTGCACATTGCCTTTTCCCATTCACCACCAGAGGCACTTGGGGTTTCATAGTGGAAGGCTTCTTCATTTCATGCAGTTGTCGTCACGAGCGCAACTTCTAGTAAAGCTGTGCTTATATATATACAATGGAGTGTGAGTCGTGGCGGCTCTTGGGTAAATGGTGAAATATATACCAAACATTGAATGCAATATGAAACAAGACGAAATCCAAAGAACGTACTGTGGCAGTATCGTCGTGCTTGGCCTGTCAATTTATTCAATGGGAACCCGCCCTGGGTACCTTTGTTCAACAACTCTTGCTCGCATGCTTGCCCCAACTGCGGCAGCTCAGCTTCTTTTACACATGCCGCTCAGGCGGAAAATCGTTTCGCAACAGCCCTAATTCGTCTTTTGGCGTTCCAGCTGCCACCGTTCCAAACTTTCCCATTCCATGACAGGTCCTGTCTGGGTGGCGGAGGCGGCGGCTGCGAGCTGGCAGCTTGAGGTTGAGTAGCTGGCTGAGTCGGCCGAGGCTGGACCTGGATCTGCGCAGGGGTATGGCCTTGATCCTGAGGTCCCAGCAAGTCTGACGGCGATCCCGAATCTGGCGCCGAGTAGTGTTGGACTGGAACGGGGTTGCCTCCCTGCTGGTAGACTTTGATCGAGTTGACGGCCCAAAAGGCATTCGCAAACTGTTCAGGGTTGGCAGCAACATAGTCCTTGCAGGTAGGGGCCAGAGCTGCGCACTTGGAGTCCGACTTCCAGACTTGGGGGTTTCCGGCCCAAGCGCCACAAAAGGTGGTGTCAAAGACAATCTGGTGGTTCTTGAAGAAACCGTCAATGTTGCAAGTGTTTCCACCCACGAATCGAGCAGTTGGTGCTCCCCAGCTGCCGGGATTGGGATTCTGGGAGGCAATGTCCTGTGGAATCTTCGACCGAGGGAAGAACCAGACCGCGATGTGATCCGAAGTCCACTCAGTCGCATAGACACCACCTCCAATGGCGTTGAAGCCGTCGCCATAGTTTGAACTGTCGGCGGTGCGTTGTCCGCAGCCACTCGAGGCACCCGAGGCACCACAGTCTGCAGAGGCAAGCCTGGTAGAAGCAATGGCGCCCTGGTTAGACATTGTGCAGCCAGCCTTGGTGTGGAGCGAAATGGCGTTCTGCGTCTGGGAATTGACACCCTCCAGAATGTCAATTTCACCAGAGTTTGGCCAGTCTGCGCCGAACATCCAGAAGGCTGGCCATGCGCCACAAATGCTACCAGGCATGTGGGCAACATCCGCAATGAACAGGCCGCGGGTGAATGTCTTTTTGGACGTCACACGAACTGACTTGCGGCCATTGGGAGGGTTCTTGGTCTTGGAGTCGACACCCATGTAGATGGCCCCCTTGTCGTAAACGGCGAGGCCCTCCTTCTTGGCAGTCTGCCCATCAACATATTCAACAAATCCCTCTGTAGGATCTTTGCCCGTGAAGAAGTCGAAGCTGTTGAAGAAGTTGGTGGTATCGTAGGTGGTGTCAATGCGGTAGCCGGCATGAACGGTGCCTGCAGACAAGAGCACGGTGCCAGCAAAGGCAGCGAAGCAGCCCGTAACGCGCATGAGGATTGGAAATGGATTGCCTTCAAGATGTGGTGTAGACGGTCGGCCTAGGAATGAGGCGAGACAACCCGTCTTGTTTGAAGCGGCTTTGCTGTGTGAGCCGGCACGACAGCGTCAAAGCAAGAAATCCGCGAGACTGTCACGGCGACGCCAAGTGATGCGTACGGTTCTTTTATGAAGATGCCTCGAGGTCCCTCTGCCGCCCTAGACAACTTCCCGGAACCAGAGCCTCGTCTCCAGGATGGGCTTGGATGTGAGGGAAGATAAGAGAGCGAGGCCCTGTCACAGTTGCTGCTGCAGCTACTGGGAAGGCGGACAGCAAGCAGTCTCTTGGTGGGGTGACTCCGAGTTGCCGTCAAAGTTCCCAAGGCGGAGAACAGTAGTTGGGGCGCAGTGAATGTACAGGCGAAGGCGACAAGTTTGTGACGTCCTCAATATAAAGGATCAAGGTGATGAGGAACTGAGATCAGGGTCCAAAGGAAGGGAATCAATTGTTGAGAGCAGAACAATGGCAACCAGCAACTGGGTTGACAATTGTGGTCAAAAGACGTTGCTGTCGTTGTTTTCTCTCCAATAGGGAGTCTGGCCGGCCGAAAGAAGGAGATGAATCGATGCAAGACGAGAAATACGCACAATCTTGACCAAGCTGCCGGAAGGACTGGACGGCAGACAAGATACAACAAAGGGCGCTGGAACCGTCAACGGAAGCGAAAGAAGGAAAAAGTAACAAAGATGATGGAGAGTATCGAGAAGAGACATGTTAGACAACGGACGGCAAGGCAAATATCTAATAAATACGTACGTGGCCATTGTTTCTGGGGTCGCCTGGTTGTGTCTGCTGCGTCGGTCACAGACTCGCAGCCCGGCTGGTGGTGTGAATGCGCGCGCTCTTCCTCCCTCCCCCCCGGTCGGCCCCTCGCTCCATGTCTGGTGTTTCCGTGCGTAGGGGCACACTCCGTAAAATAAAATAGAGTCGTTCCCCTGTTGCTTTTTGCGGGCCGCGGTTGGCAACTCGTTTCCGACGATGTTGCAGTCGTGAGGCAGAAGCGTTCGCATGAACCTGACACTCTGGTGGTGTCGCTGGCGGGCCAATCAAAGCTCATGACCGGCAACGCCAAGAGGCCGAAGGGGCAACTGCAAGGGCACTGCTAAAGCCCATGTCAGCAGCCTGCCACAGGCGCCGGGCGGGGTGGAGCCGCGTCCCGCAGCGTTCGTCCAGGAAACAACACACACGACGTCTTGGGTCTCATTGGGCAGTCACGGCCGGTCACGACGGAGCTTCGAGGACTGGTTCGTCCATTGTGTCCTGGGCCTGGCCTTGGCGCGTGCCTTGTACCCCGTACCCCGTTAAGAGGTACGTACTTGGTTGGACAGACAGACCTGAAAACCGGACAAGGGCCCAGATGTTAGTTCGGTCCATGTCCATTCATCCACAAGGCCTCCCTTCATAGACACGCACGACGTCTCGACACAAACAGAAGGCCTCTTCAGTGAGGTCTTGCGCGATCGCCCCAGTCCAGTCACATGTTTAATACCCAGGCTCTTTGTCCATCTGGAACCGACAAGCCTGGGCGCCTCCGACGTCCATCAAGGTCTTGCAAGAGTCTCGATTCTTGGCATCGAGTACAATGCGACCGCCGGGCGGTTCACGGCAAACACCGTGTGTGCGAAGATTCGGAGAGAGACTGAGAACCCCCAAGTCACCCTACGAGGCGACCCTTGGCGATGAAACGCCCAGGCCAGAGGGATGCAAGGTTGAAACAAGTCTGTTTGACAACAAAGTGAGTTGGGATTGCTTACGGAGCAGGAACAAGAGAGTGCCTGGGTGGCTGACAGGCTCTGACCGTTGCACAAGCACTGAAGTCGTCCGTCGGTTTGTTACGCGACATTTACTCCTCGCCGAGGTGCCATACCATACCATGCAACTACGAATTGACACTGGCCGATGACGGACTCTTGCGCGGTTGAAATATCCGTCTCCATACTCTACCCTGATTGATTCGGCGGCAAGCCCATGACTTTTCTCCACATGGCTCGCGGGGGGGAGCCAGGTCATGACGAAAATAAGCGCCGCGGGCGACAAGCCAGCTCCGCCAGCCAGGTCATAATGGCATCCGCCAACTGGTAATAGTGACAAGCACCTGTCCTGCATAACTGCCTACAGTGGGTAGTAGTAACAACAGCTTGCCAATATCGAACCAGGTGCAGGATGGTGTTCCTCGAGCGAGGCATTTCCTACGAGCACGGGATGCGGAGCACACACAGGCGTGTTCGAATTTCAGTTGACTGCCACCTCTCCTTTTTGCGTGACAGAGTTGCGTCCATAAAGTCTCCGCGCCAGCCACAACAACCAGAGCATGGCAGGGTGGGGTGCATCCATGACGATGAATTTCTCCCTTTGCATCCTCGTTTGCATCTGATTTTTTTTTCCCATTACTATAATCCCACAGTCCACAATATTCAGTCCGGATTTCGCTGCCAACTTCGGTTATCTAATCAACAAGCGACTCGGCACCGACTTGCAAACGGCCAGTGCAGCCACCCAGCACTCGGGCGGACCACCTGCCGTCCGTCACGCATCACGGCAGCCATTGCCGCTCGCCTTCTCGCCCGGCAACCTTCTGCCGTGCTACACACAGGTCGATCTGGCTGATCACTGCCCATAAAGCTGTCCATGGACCCGTCCCCTGTTTCAGCCAGAGCGCATAAACACAATGCCGCCCCAGACGAGGCTTTCTTCGTTGTTGCAAAAAGGCTGTGCTTGCAGTCGCCGGGGGCCCAAAAGAATTGAAAGATGTGAAAAAAAAAGTTAAATTTTAGACAGCAACAAAGCCGTGACAAGACAAGCCCAACATCTCTCACGTCGTCACCAATCAATCCACCGTACGGAGTCCAACGAGCCAGGACCCATCTTTCTCTTGTTCAACAACCTCTCGCCCCTGTTCCGAACTACCCGTGCTCCTGGATTCACAACGACTCATGTTCCCTGTCAAACGCATCAAGATGAAAGATGAAGAGACCACACGTACTAGTCCCCGGTCTCGGCACCTCGGCATCTCATCTCTGCGACTAACGACATCAGACAGGGCGCCGTCTCTACTTGCCCGGCTCGTTTCCATCAATGCGTAGCGGCGCGCCGTGAATCGCGTGGCCGTCTTTATGTACGGATCCCATCGCGGATACTACACCACATGTCACAACAGTGAATCTGCCAAGAGCCTTGATGTCGTCTATTGCAAACAAAGCCACTCCAAAGTTATACAAGTGCCATACATAAATAGACAAAAAGCGGTACCAAAAAAAAAAAAAAAAAACCGA